TAATATCCAAGAAATGACATTCTTCAGGGCTCAAGTGTGTGATCCTACCCTAAGACAGAGATAACAGACAGGGCTGCCAAGTTTGGGGGATGAAGGAAGGCTGTAGGAGAAGGCCTCCCACTGGCAAATGAGCCAGACTGGTCCACCGTGGACTCTCAAAGCCCGGCACACCGTCATTCTGATGTACAGGTTCAGAAGGACTGACCCGGGACAGTCTGGGGGGCTTTTGACTTCTGTGCTTTACATCTCTAGAAACAGAATCCCGGGGTCCTCCCTCCTGGGTGGTTTTGCCTTGCTTCTTCACGGCCCACGATGCCAGCTGAGGCTGTCAGTCAACGAAGCCAAGCTGACGGGGTGGGAGCAGGTTGCTCTGCCATTTCCTAGGTCTCTGAGCTGCACGTCGAGTCGAGGGCTGATCACGCCACACTTGTTCAACCTGCCTGTGAGGTCCACGACAATTTCCCCAGCTCTGTGGTCATCGGTGGTTTCAAGTTCACCAATGTAACCATGCTTCATCATCACAGTTTGGAACCGAACGATGACTCTGGGGCGGGGCCTGATGAGGACCTGGCGTTTGCCTCTCTTCTGCAGTTAAGAGGACAGGACCTGGTTCAGTTCCCAGCACCCACGCCATGACTCACAGCTACCATCTGCAACCCCAGCCCTGGGTGATCTGATGCCTCTCCTGGGCTCTTTGGGTTCCTACACACACACACACACACACACACACACACACACACACACACACACACACACTTGGTTTTTTGAGACAAGAGTTTCTTTATGGGGGCTGGAGAGATGGCTCACAGGTTAAGAGCACTGACTGCTCTTCCAGAGGTCCTGAGTTCAATTCCCAGCAACCACATGGCAGCTCACAACCATCTACAATTCAATCTGGTGCATGTCCTCTTCTGGCATGTAGACAAACTGTATCTGTAATAAATAAATAAATCTTTTTTTAAAAAAGAGTTTCTTTATGTAAAAATCTTAGCTGTCCTGGAACTTGATCTGTAGACCAGGCTGGCCTTGAATTCACAGAGATCCACCTGCCTCTGCCTCCCAAGTGCCAGGTTTAAGGCGTATGCCACCACCACCCAGCTGCATTTTTTTTAATTTTTAAATAAATGTTGTGAGAGTTTACTTAGCCAAGGAATTTGGGCTGAGTTATCTAGATGAGAGGAGAGAAGGGGGCGGGGGATTTCTTTGGGACTTTTCCATGGAAGTCACAGCTACTTGCATGTGTGGCATGAACTAGCATCTAGGACAAGATACCAGCTGTCATGTCCCTGTTCTGGAGAAAGTCAGTCAGAACAAAAGCCCCAGGAAGGAAACGATGCCCTCACTCCTCAGGAATGGCTTGATGAAGAGGGCCAGCGCCCAGGCGTCTGGATTCTTTTATTGATCGCTGGGCAGACTCTCCTGGAAATGCTCTGCGACTGCCCAACCCTGAGCTGTGTAACGTGGACATCACAGTCCAGAACTGCCCTCGGGGGACACAAAGTCCAAGTGGCAGAAATGGGTCCAGGCTCCGAGACAGTGACAATTACGGAGGAGTACCACGGGAGGCACCTGACCCGGGTTTGCAGATCAGGGAAGGTTGTCTGATGAAGAAGGCACCTGAACTGAGTCCTGAGAGAACCAGAACCGTGTCAGCAAGTAGAGGGAGGAGGGGACAGGGGAAGAGCAGGGGGAACTACGGGGGACAGCAGGGGAACCGCATGAGCCAAGGTCTGGAAGCCAGCAGGTGGTTGGGTGAGTTAAAACACCTGCGAAAGGAACGTAAATGTAAGCCCAGGGCGGAGAGGGCCTAACGACAAATGTGACGCCATGGGCAAGGTAAGGAGGGACAGCCTCCAGGACCCCAGTGGGAAGCCACAAGAGGGTTACAGGCACTGGGAGACTCACCAGATTTGCAAAGGCGTCCAGCTGTACGGCGAGTGAAGGGATGGAGGGTGTCAGACAGGACAGACTTGTGCTGCGCTTCTATGACAAACAGGCCCAGAATCCGGAGCCCTAAAAGCACTAATTAATATTTGGGCTGCAGAGATGGCTTAGCAGTCAGCACTGGCTGCTCTTCCAGAGGACCCAGGTTCAGTTTTCCACACCCTCATTCGGTGGCTCTCAAACTCCTGTAACTCCGGCTCCAGGGAATCCAACACCCTTTTCTGACTATGGCAGGTGACACACACACAATTAAAATTTTTTACATGTTCTTAACTTTTATGACTTTTTTTGTTTGTCTTTGTTTGGTTTGGTTTTTCGAGACAGGGTTTCTCTGTATTGTTTTGGAGGCTGTCCTGGAATTCCCTCTGTAGACCAGGCTGGCCTCGAACTCATGGAGATCCACCTGCCTCTGCCTCCCGAGTGCTGGGATCAAAGGCGTGCGCCACCAACGCCCGGCTCTTCAAGGCTTCTTTTCGATAGTGTCTGCAATCTTGATCCCCAGCTGGACAGACCTCCACCGCTGGAAGTCTGCAAGCTTCCAGAGTGGGAACCATTACACACACTGTCCTGTAAAGGGTATCCACGCTACAGCACAGCCCCAGAGAGGCTGGGTAACAAGGAGAGCAGGGTGGGGCCTGTGGATCTCTCTGGGAAGGGGAAATAGATTTTACGGGTGACAGGGGGCAGGTGGAGATGCGAACAGGAGTGACCAAGCTGGCAGGGGTAGCAGTGGCGGAGGGAGAAGGTACTGGGAGAGATGGCTGGAATTGGGGGATGGAGGAGATTTGATCGGAAGCCCAGTGCAGCGGAACCCCCCCCGCCTGGAGTGTAGGAGAGTGACCCCAGCGAAGCCTCCTAGTTACGGGAAATAGGGAGCCCAGACTGGCCATCTTCTATAGCCAAACGAGGCTCCTAACAGTGGGGCTGGGACATCAACCCAGCCACAAAACCTTTGACCTACGACCTGCCTGCCTGCAGGACCGGAGCCACGGTAGCCCAGAACTTGTGGGAGTGGCCAACCGTGAGTCAAACTTGGGGTCCAGCCACGAGAGGGAGCCCGTGTCCGACACTGCCTTCAGGGCCAGGAACCAGAGGCGGGAGGGACAGCCAGAAACCAGGATAGAAGTGAACATGACCCAACCTATGGGGCCCTGGGCAGCGGATCAGTGTCTGTCCCTGGAATACAAACAGACATCATGTGTCCATAGCACAAAGAGGGATGCTCTCTCAGCCTGGACTCTAAGGGCAGTGCCTGGACCCAGCCCTGAGTGAAATGACAGACTCTAGATATCCCCTATGTGGAAGGAAGTGGGGATAGGGTGGGAGGCTGGGGAGATGGTGGGAGGGTACGGGAGGAGGGGAGGGAGAGGGAACTGGGATTGACATGTGAAGCAAGCTATTTAAAATTAAAATAATAAATTTTTTTAAAAAAAGAAATAGCTTGGCTGTAGAAGTAATCCATTTTCACTGTAGAAAATTTGGAAAACATAGAGGATGACCATGAAGGAAATAAATTATAACTTCTTAAAAAAAAGAAGTAAACATGACCAACAAAAAAAAGTCAATTAATTATTCCTAACGATATTCTGCTACAATCACAGGTTGGCGCCCAGCCCAACTGTCATCAAAGAGGCAGATGCTGAGACCCACAGCCAAACACGAGGCAGAGCCAGGGAAACCCCAAAGAAGAGGGGGAGGAAGGGTTGTAGGAGCCAAGGGGTTGAGGACACCAGGAGAGCACCACCCACAGAATCAAGTAAGCAGGACCCGTAGGGCTCACAGAAACTGGAGAGACAACACAGACCCTGTGTGTGTCTGCGCTGGTCCTCTGCATACGGTATGGTTGTGTAGTGTTCCTGTGGGACCCCAACGGCGGGGGAGGGAGACTGTCTCTGACTCTTTTGACGGTGCTCAGGACCCTTTTCCACCTTCTAGTTCCCCACATCCAGCCGTGATATGAGGGTCTGTGCCCAGTCTTGCTGTATCTTTTTAGACCTTGCTCTGTGGATACCCGGGGGAGGCCTGGCTTCTGTTGTGGTGGTTGCTTTGGTTTTGGGCAGGGACAGAAAAGGAATGGATCTGGGGCAAAGGGGGGTTGGGGGAGGGGCTGGGAGGAGTAAAGGGAGGGAAAACTGCAGTCAGGATGTAATGTATGAGAGAAGATTAAAGGTTTAAGAAAAAGTCATTTTTCACCTGGCGGTGATGGCTCACGCCTTTAATCCCAGCACTCGGGAGGCAGAGGCAGGCGGATCTCTGTGAGTTCGAGGCTGGGCTGGACCGACAGCCTCCAAAACAATACAGAGAAACCCTGTCTCATGAAAACCAAAAAAAAGAAAAAGTCATTTTTAAATCAAGATTTCTCCAGACACACACACACACACACACACACACACACACACACACACACACATATATATATATAGAGAGAGAGAGAGAGAGAGATTTTGTTGTTGATATTTTTGTTTGTTATATGACTTTAGTCGTGGTTCATTTTGGGTGGCACTATTGGGACTTTGGCCTAGGGTCCCAGGCATGCTTTAGGGGAGTTCTGTTACTTAGCTACACCCCAGGATCTTTTTTTTATTTTTCATTTTGAGACAGAGTTTCACTACGTACCCTAGACAGAACTCAAAACCGTGATCCTCTCGGGCGAGACTCCCAAGAAGATAGATCGCAGCTGTGTGCCCCCACGGCCTTCGATACTGTTGGGATTGTTTGTTTGTTCGTTTGTTTTACATTTGCTATGTGAATATGCCCCCAACAAATTAGCCAGTCTCCTGATATTTACCCTATTCCTAAGGTTTATTTGAGCGGTGGGTGCTGCTCCTGGGGATTGAAATATATATATATATATATATATATATATATATATATATATATATGTGTGTGTGTGTGTGTGTGTGTGTGTGTGTGTGTGTGTGTTCAAGTATTTGTGTGTGTGTAAGTAGAGGCGCACACGGAGGCCAGAGGTCAGTCAGCAATGGGCTTCAAATGACATCCACCTAAAGAAAAAGAAATTCACTGTGTAGCTCTAGCTGTCCTGGAGCTCACCATGTAGACCAGGCTGCCCTGGGGATCATAGGAGGCCCACCTTTCTCTGCCTTCCTAGGGATGATACAGGACCTCACACCCAGTCCCGCCTTGCTTTTGAGACGTGGCCCCGTACTGGCACCTGGGATGTGCGGACAAAGCTTGGCACCGGGTGAGCAAGTCCCAGGGACCCACCTGTCCCCACCCCCCTCCAGGACTGGAATTGCAATCACAACACTACAGCCACATCTGCTTCTTCTGCAGCTTCTAAGGACCTGAGCTCCGGTCCTCACGCACAGTGAATCATCTTCCTGACCGCCACCTCCACGCCAATGCCTGAACTTTGTTTCTTTGTGTGTTAGTTTTGATGTTACAGAATATTTCGGTTTCTGCCCTGGAACCAGCCTCATGCCAGCCACACGAGTCAATCAAGACCTTCCAGACAAATCCTTTGCCGTGGGTAAGGACATGCAGGGCTCCTCAGCTGGCTCAGCAGGGGGAAGGCACTTGCTTGAAAGCTTGACAAGCCAAGTCCAAGCCCTGAGACCTATTCAAAGGTGGAAAGAGAGAAAATAACCCCACAAAAATGTCCTTTGACCTCCACATTCCGGCACAAGCACGGTTCCCACACACACGTGTACAAGCACATACACATTAATGAATTTTTCTGCCGGGTGTTGGTGGCGCACGCCTTTAATCCCAGCACTCGGGAGGCAGAGGCAGACAGATCTCTGTGAGTTCGAGGCCAGCCTCCAAAACAATACAGAGAACCCTGCCCCCCCCAAAAAAATTCCTTTTTTTCCCAAGATTTATTTTCAAGTGCATTGGTGTTTTGCCTGCCTGCATGTCAGTGTGAGGGTGTCAGATTCCCAGAACTGGAGTTACAGACAGCTGTGAGCCACCATGCGGGTGCTGGGAATTGAGCCCGGGGCTTTGGGAAGAGGCGCCAGTGCTCATAACCTCTGAGCCATCTTCCAAGCTCCCTCACACGAACAATTGTTAATACGTGACATGCATTTATCATTTTGGAAGATGTGTGTGGACAGAGAAATGGCTTGAATTATTGATCTTACACACCATCTCGGTTCAATTCCCAACAGCCATGCGGTGGCTCAAAACCCTCCAGAACTCCAGTTCTAGGGAATTTGATGCCTTCTTCTGACCTCCAAGGACACCAGGCACTGTGTAGGATGCACAGCATACGTGTAGGCAAAACACTCAGACACATGAAATAAAATAAATGAATCTTTAAAAAGTTTTAAATCTTAAGAAAAAAGACATGCAGCTACATCCCAGCTTCCCTGCCCCAGGCAATTGATTGACAGCCCAGCCCTCAAAGGGCTCAGCTCGTGTGTGTGTGTGTGTGTGTGTGTGCATTTGTGTATACATGTGTGTGCTCATGTCTGTGCATATGTGTGCCTGTGTGTATGCATGTGTAAGCTCGTGTATGTGCTTGTGTGTGTATCTGTGTGCTTGTGTGTGCATCTGTGTGCTTGTGTGTCTGTGTGTATGCATGTATGTGCATTTGTGCATGCACTTGTGCATTCATGTATGATCTCATGTGTGTGATGTGTGTGCATGTGTGTGCTTGTGTGTGCATGTATGCCTGTGTGCATGCATGTGTGATTTCATGTGTGAGCTCATGTGTGTGTGCATGTGTGTTCTTGTTTGTGCATCTGTGTGCTTGTGTGTGCATCTGTGTGCTTGTGTGCATGTGTGTGCTCATGTCTGTGCATGTGTGAGCTCATGTGTGTGTGCATGTGTGTGCTCATGTCTGTGCATGTGTGAGCTCATGTGTGTGTGCATGTGTGTACATGTGTGTGCTTGTGTGTGCATTGGTGTGTGCGTGCACATGGGAGTGCAGGAGTACAAGCATGTGTGGCTGTGTTGCATGTTTTCCAGCAAGGAGATACTCATGATTGGTTACATAATTAACATAAAATAATCCTTCATTAAGGTCGCACCAGGGAAAGAACCAGCGAGGCCAGTTCAAGCAGAGCCACCTCCCTTGTCACACCTGCCTTGTCACACCCGCCTTGTCACACCCGCCATGTCCCTGGTAAGCCTGCCTGCTGTTGAAATCTGTCCCTCATGCCAGACCTCATAGCGTGGGAGAAACACAGGGAAGATTCACTGTCAGCCTTTCTCCATGACTAAAGATGACTCTCCTTCCTTCTGCTCCGATCTCTCCAATAAAAATGTACTTTTGAGATGACATCTCACCGTTTCACCTAGTTAGGCCCTTGACCTCTTGGCAGTCTTCCAGCCTCAGTCTCAAAAATTCTGGGATTGCATGCATAAACACTGATGCATTGTTTATTCAGTAAATTGGTTTTCTTTTGTGGTGTTGGGAATGAAACCCCAAGTCTTGTGATATGCAGGGCCACAGCCCCCAGCCCCTCACTGGGGGATTCTAGGCAGGGGCTCTACCACTGAGCCACACCCCCAGCCCCTCACTGGAGGATTCTAGGCAGGGGCTCTACCACTGAGCCACACCCCCAGCCCCTCACTGTGGCATTCTAGGCAGGGGCTTTATCACTGAGCCACACCCCAAGCCCCTCACTGGGGGATTCTAGGCAGGGGTTCCACCACCCAACTACATCCTCAGCCTATACTGTAGGCAAACACTCTGCCCACTAAGCTATATCATATTCTGGAAATTTCTGACTCGCTAGCTTGACACTCAGATCCTCCTGTGTGTTTCATAAGCCAGCAATGTGTGTGTTGCCTGGGAGATATAAGCAAAGAAAACAGAAGATACAGGCTAGAACCAACAGTTGATGCCCATCACTACACGCTCTGCCCATGCTCCTGTCCCACAGGACTAGCACTCATGTTCGTGCTAGCCTTGGGAAGCCCACGTGATTACAAAGAGGAGACAGTGGGCACACAGAGATTACACACATGTGATTACACACATGTGATTAAAAGAGGAGACAGTGGGCACACAGAGATTACACACATGTGATTACACACGTGATTAAAAGGAGACAGTGGGCACACAGAGATTACACACATGTGATCACACACATGTGATTACACACATGTGATTACACACATGTGATTAAAAGAGGAGACAGTGGGCACACAGAGATTACACACATGTGATCACACACATGTGATTACACACATGTGATTAAAAGAGGAGACAGTGGGCACACAGAGATTACACACATGTGATTACACACATGTGATTAAAAGAGGAGACAGTGGGCACACAGAGATGAAGTCAGCTGCCCAGTCCACCTAGGCAGTAAAAACAGGATGCAACTGCTTGCCCATCTTCTTCCTGATCTAATGCAAGCCTAGGACAGACACGGATTCCAGCATTAATAATGCAACTCTCACCCCACCCACCGGGAAGTTTATCCAGTCATTCATCGAGGCAATTAGGATTACAGTTCACTGACAACGGAATCTATCCTAATGATAGGGCCTATGTGGGTGGGGCCTAGGAAAAAATAACTTTCCTGTGAGGGTTGAGGAAATGTCCAAAAATGGCCAAAGATAATGGTTGGATAGATAGATCAGTGGTTAAGAGCACATATTACTCTTACTGAGGACCTGAGTTCAAATCCAGCACCCACATTGGGTGGCTCACAACCACCTGTCATTCCAGCACCAGGGAGTTCTAATACACATACACATACATGCACATACAACACACACATACACATACATGCACACACAAATAAAAATAAAACTTTTTTTAATCAACAGCAATGCTATCCATGATGGTGCACACCTTTATTCCCAGCATTCAAGAGGCAGAGGCAGGCAGACCTCTGTGGGTTCAAGGCCAGCCAGGTTTACAGAGCGACTTCCAGGACAGCCACCAAAACCACAAGGGTTTCTGGGCGCTGGTGGAGCACACCTTCAATCCCAGTACTCGGGAAGAAAGGCAGGTGGATTTCTGTGAGTTTGAAGCCAGCATGGTCTACAGAGCGAGTTCCAGGACAGGCTCCAAAGCCACACAGAGAAGCCCTGTCTCAAAAAAACAAAAACAAACAAACAAAAAAAACCCACAAAAATTGATGTGTGGAACCCGTGCCAGACTCTGTGGAAATTACAGGAATATAATTGAGCACTGGGAGCACCCTGCATTGGTTTAGATGATTTATGAGATCTTATCTTCATGCCTGTATTATGCGGTATGCACCGTTCTTCAGGTGAGGCAATACTGAAAACCAAAAACACCATTTAACATGCTCCAACTCATTCAGCAAGGAAGTAACGGGAGAGATTCAAACAGGGTATTTGAAAGAAAGAAATGAGGCACAGTGATGAACACCAGTGTCCCCAGCCCTTGGGGAGTGGGAGCCAGAGGATTGGGAGTCCCATAGGTACTTTGTGGGTTCAAGGCCAACCTGGGTTACATTATGCTCTGTCTTTCAAAAAAAGTACAAAGAATGCATATATACCTCTCAAAACATGCAAGTCTGAACCAGGAGGATCTTGTGTTCAAGGTCAACCTGGGCTACATAGCAAGGCTTTCTATAAATAAGTTATTAATGTCTATCCCTCATCAGTTCTCTAATATTATGTTTTTTATTCTGAATAGCATGAAAGTTATTGGCACACTGCTCCTTTAGCCCTAAATATCTGTATCTTAAATGCACATTATGCACACACAGAAATTAATAACTGAGCACACATGAACTCAAGTGTGGATTGTTGAGGGTTTTTAAAGATTTATTCATTTACCTAATTTTGTATGACTGCTTTGCATGTCTCGTGCCTGCAGAAGTCAAGAGAGGGCCTTGGACCTCCCGAAACTGGAGTCATGGAGGGTTGTGAGCTGCCTGATGTGGGTGCTGGTGTCAAACCCAGGTCCTTTGCAAGACCAGTTAGCGCTCTCAGCCACTGAGCCGTCGCTCCAGCCCCTCTGCGTTATGGAATACGCGTTTTGTACACTCTGAAGATGTGTCTTTGCCAAGGCACCTTCTGATTTGTTTCATAAAAGAGCTGACTGGCCAACAGCTAGGCAGGAAGAGGTTAGGCAGGAGAGTCAAGCTAAGAGGACTCTGGAAAGAAAGGCTGAATCATGGGAGTGGCAGGAAGACCCGGAGAGAAGCAAGATGAACATGCCGAGCTAGAAAAAAAAAAGATACCGCCATGAGGTAGAGCGTAGATTGTAAGAGCTAGCTAGTAACACGCCCAAGCTCTTGGCAGAGCATTTATAACTACCAACAAGGTTCTGTGTGGTTATTTGAGAACCAGCTGGCAGGACAGAGCTGATCAGTGGTCCCAATGAGGAACTCTACCTACAAATGGGGTCCCACTCTGTTTACACCTGTGCTGAGATTTCTTTTTACTTTACTTATGGTAATATCGTGTGTGTGAGGCACTGAGTGCAAGCCCCAGCCCCGCCCCACACCCCACATCCCCAAAACAGTTTTGCAAGTGTCTCAGTCAGCTCGACTTAGGACTCCCATCCCTCCCTGCACCTTGAGGGCTTGTCTGCTGTTTCCATGTGATGACAGTCAAGTTCCGTGTGTCTTCTCTGCCCAGCTTAACCCGTGTGACGTCTGTTTGTTCCATGGCTCCCCGTGTTTCTGATTACTTGGCTCAGGTGGCGTTGGCCGTGTTCTCTCTTACGTCACTGTTTCCATCTGCGGTATTTATAAGTGTTGGTCTAACTGGAGCCTGTGGGCGTAGCCTGTGCCTCAGCCGAGGGCGTCTGTTAGCGGTTTTTGACTGAACCAGTGATTGCTCTGATGAGGGCTGTTCTGTCATGTTTTGACTTTATCTATACTTCTTTCAGATTTCTTTCTTTTTTCCTCTTAGTTTGCTTGCTGGTTGTTTTGTTTTGTTGTTTTGAGACAGGGTTTCTCTGTGTAGCCCTAGCTGTCCTAGAACTCACTCTGTGGACCAGGCTGGCCTCAAATTCACAGAGATCCAGCTGCCTCTGCCTCCCAAACCCTGGTATTAAAGGCGTGTGCCACCAGTGCCTGGCTGGTCAGATTTTTTTAAATGGTGTGTGTGTGTGTGTTATAAATGCATGCACACGTTTGTGTTCATGTGTGTAGGTGTGTATGTGTGAGCTTGTAAATGTGTACAGGAAGTTTGGTGGACAACGCTCAACCTGGACTTCTTTCTCCGTTCTCTCTCTCTTTTTCTTTGAGACAGGGTCTCTCCCTGAACCTGGTGCTCACTGCCTGGCAAGGCCAGCCAGCAGCCAGCTCAGGAATCCTCCAGTCTCTGCCTCCCCTCTTACGGGGTACACCACAGCCAGCCTTTACCTGGGTACTTGGGACCCAAACTCAAGCCCTCATGCCCCAACTGAACAACCTCAGAGCCCCTTGCTTTTCTGTTCTCTGAGAATCATCTCCCTATGTCCCTCAGACTGGCCTTGAATTGTCAGTCTTGCTGACGCAGCCTCCCAAGAGCTGAACTGTTAGCTGTGTGCCACCATGTCTGCCTGGATAGTTCTGCAGTTTTCATTAGTCAACTGTGGATCACAAAAAAGAACTTTCTGCCGGGCGGTGCTGGCGCAGGCCTTTGATCCCAGCATTTGGGAGGCAGAGGCAGAAGGATCTCTGAGAGTTCGAGACCAACCTGGTCTACAGAATGAGTTCCAGGACAACCAGGGCTACACAGAGAAACCCCATCTTGAAAAACCAAAATAGAAAAGAAAAAAGCAAGAACTTTCTTTTCTGCTTTTTTTTCTAGCCCAGGCTATCATCCAACTCACTATATAGCCAAGGTAGGCCAAAAAATTTCTGACTGTCCTGCCTTCCACTGCCAAATGCATTGCAGGCATGAACCAACTCACCCAGTTTTATGAAGTGCTGGGGTTCAAAGCCAAGACTCCCTGCATACTAAGATGTGTAGTGGGCCAGGCGGCGGTGGTGCACACCTTTACTCTGGAGGCAGAGGCAGGTGGATCTCTGTGAGTTCAAGGCCAGCCTGGTCTACAAGAGTGAGTTCCAGGACAGCCTCCAAAGCCACAGAGAAACCCCGCCTCAAAAAAACAAACAAAAAAGACATGTAATGCTACGTTATTTATGACTTATTAAAGCTTGATGGAGGATTCAGAAAGCAAAGTCAGCCTCAAGTTATAGAGATCAGGCAGTGGTGATACACACCTTTAATCCCAGCAGCCAGAAGCTAGGAGGTGGTGGTACACACCTTTAATCCTAGGACTCAGGATTAAGAGACAGACGGATCTCTGTGAGTCTCAGTCCACCCAGATCCACACAAGAGTGAATCAGTCTAAAAGAGAGTTACAGATCACACCTTTAATCCCAACATGAGGGAAGTATGTAAGACAGAAGCAAGGTCTCAGAGAGGCGTTCATTCTCCAGCCACACCAAGGAGAGGCAGCAGTCAGAGACTCGGTGAAGAGCTCGTGTGTGGATCAGCCCTGTCAGCCTGAGCTAGCGGTGAGTGCTAGTGGCCGGCTGCTTTGCTTTCCTGATATTCAGCTTGAAGCTTGAACCCCAATATCAGTACCTGGGTCATTTATTTATTCGTGCTACAAAGGCAAGCATTCTATAAAGTCACCCCCCCCCCCGCCAATTTTCATGTCTTTTTATTTATTGGGGTTGTTGTTTGTTTGTTTGTGTTTGTTTGTTTTGAGACAGGGTCTTAAGTAGCCCAAACTGGCCATGAATGTTTGATCCTCCTGCCTCCACCTCTGAGGCTCATCCTAGTCCCAATGTCCTGGTTTGCTTATCTGTTACTGGGATAAAACACTGACCAAGAGAAACTTGAGGGAGACAAGGGTTTATTCGACTCATACTTCCAAGTTGTCGTCTTACACTGAGGGGAGACAGGGCAGGAAGCTGGAGACGGGAACTGAACAGAGGCCATGGAGGGGCCGCTCACCGGCCCTCACTCTCTGTGTCTTGGTCCGCTATCTTTCTTACACAGCTCAGGTCCGCCTCCCTGGGGATGCTGCTGCCCACTGTGGGCTGGGCCCTCCCACATCAACCAGAAATCAAGCCAGAGCGACGGAGGCCGCACCGCAGCTGAAACTCCGTCTTCACAGACCTGTCCAGGCTGACACAAACTACAACATCTGGCTCAGTGTTTATATGTTTGTATCGTGTTGGCTTACATTTCCCAATATGGACTCTTATGCCTTCTAATACAAGCCTGCGTTTTTTTCCATGTGGATTACTTTTAGTTTGTTTAGTGTTTACTTGGTGGGTTATAGTCCTTTATTTATGGTTATTTAATTTGAAGCTTCTACTTGTGCTGGATTTGGTCACAGTGACCTCTCTAAGACACGCCCCTTGTCCTTCGGCACCCACCCTACCCCCTCTTTGAGTATTCTCCAATCTTCTCTCTGTGTGGGCATACGCACACACATGCGCCGTCACCTGCCCCCCTCGAGCACTGCTCACCTCGTTACTTAAGATTTTGTTGGGAGCCGTGCAGGCCAGTTTTGAGCCAGTACGTGAGTGCTTGTCCAACAGGTCTCCAGATGAGGCAAAGGCCCGCAGGGACAGTCCCACTTTGCAAGGACCGCAGACTTCGGGACAGCATGGAATACTGCCGGGACCCCACCGCCTGCATGTTCTCCTCTTGTTATACTAATGATTCTCTTGGCAGTTTTAGTGTCATTTTATCAGTCATACATGGGACAGATGTGATCATTCCTGGAAAGCCCAATTCTTCTTGAATATTTTCCCCTAAAATTATTTGGAGCTGATGCTTCTTGGGTTTCTTGTCCAGCAATGCCAGCTGTCACTCCCGACCCTAGGAGCTGTCCTAATTCGGTGCTGACAGGATGGCAGCAGATCACCCCTATTTCTATAAATATGTTTTGAAAGGGATTGTTATCCTTGAGAATGTGTGCCTGTGTTTATCACCTTTTCGTTTTGTAAAGACAGGATGTGACTGGTTCAATATTTGGCCAAGCTAGTGAGATGGTAAGCGTTGTTTTTTGTTTACAGGTGCTTTAATCCAAAATTTGGGAAAAATAAAACCATATTTGACATATTTGGTTTTTCCAGAGGCTAATGCTGGAGGATGGGCTGGGAAAAACTTGTTCGTTAGTATGGAAAAACATGCATGCTTTTGATGTATAAACAAACATGGCTTGAGCTATTTGGGGCCAGTCACTTGTGTGAAACTCCTCTGGTGGTTGGACAGCTCATTTCTTTGAGCTAATGCCTCTTCCCTGTCTCAGCACCTGAACACAGACTGTGACAGGACCTCGGCAAGAATTACTTATTTTTATGTGTGTGAGTATTTTACCTGCATGGGTCATGTGCACCACGGGTGCAGTTCCTATGGAGGCCAGAAGAGGGCATTAGATACGATAAACGGTGTTATTGAAGCATGGGAGCAGCCACCTGGGTGTTGGGAACCCAACCGGATCCTCAGCAAGAGCAACAAGGACTCTTTACCTCTGAGTCATCTCTCCAGACCCCCACCTTGCTTCTTGAGACAGGACCTGCCCATTCACCTGGAACTCTCAGCTGGCTGGCTCCTTGTCCCAGGAATTCCGTCATTCCATCTCTACTCCTGAGAGCCGGGATGATAATTAGGGGGCCACCGCGCCCAGCTTTTTCTCGTGGATTCTGAGACCACACCCAGATCCTCATGCAAGCACACCCAACCCTACTGGCTGGGCCATCTCTGCAGACCTCTACTGCTTTGCTTTCCTGGTCACCTCTTCTTAAAACGAAGATGCTAAAGTGAGGTGCTGACCTGTAATCCCACCACTTTGGAGACCCGGTCCAAGGCTAGTGGCAGATGCATGGTGGGTCTTTGCCTCAAGGGTTCCAGGCTATCCTGGCCTATGAAGCAAGTTCGGGACAGCCAGGGCTACATAGCAGAACCCATTTCAACAAAATAAAATATGTTGAACAGAGTGACTGTGTGGTCTAACTCATCTAACAACTCTCTCAGGCCTTACCTTCCCTCCTGTCCATGTTTAATTCCTTATAACCTGTGCTTTTGTTTATTTTGCTTGTGGGAAGGGGAACACAGTTGTCATGGAACATAAGTGGGGGTCAGAAGACAAGCAGTTCTTTTTTCCCCACCATGTAGGCTTCCAGGATTGAACTGAAGTCCTCAGGCACCTGCTCCTCAATGATCCATCTCAATAGACAGAATTCCATGTAGCCCAGGCTGGCCCTGATTCTCCTGCCTCTACCTTCCAAGTGCTGAGACTAAAGGCATGTGCGGCCATATCCCAGCTTTCCAGTTTTAAATTCTATTCAATATATAATGATTGAGGGGGGGACGACAAGGCGTTGCTGTGTAATCTTGGCTACCCTGAAACTCGCTAAGAATGGGCTGTCCTGGGCCGGGCATTGGTGGCGCTCGCCTTTAATCCCAGCAGCACTCGGGAGGCAGAGGCAGGTGGATCTCTGCGAGTTTGAGGCCAGCCTCGTCTACAGAGCGAGTTCCAGGACAGCTTCCCAAACAATACAGAGAAACCCTGTCTCGGGAAAAAAAAAAAAAAAAAAAAAGAATGGGCTGTCCTTGGCTGCATTTTGAGAAGAAGAAGAAAAAAAGGCGACAAAGACCTTGGTGTGGAAGATGAATGACGTGGAAGAGACTCAGTTAACTCTCTATACAAAGTAACTAAATCTTTATTGATGCCTTCCTGTGCCAGCCCGAACACAGAGAAAGGCCCGAGGCAAGTCCCTGCCCTAGAGTAGTAGTTCACAGTCTCCTCCGGGAGGCAGGAACGGGATCCGTGCAAGGGCTGCAGGCAAGTACAGCATTCAGGGGAAGAATCCACCGTCCAGCTGCCTGGCAACCTTCCGGCCTAGCTGTGAACACGGGAAGAGGAAGACAGCCAGGGACAATCCGGGCCACCCTCAGCCAGTAGATTTCGCCTCCCCCTATCCTAGTCACCATGGGGGGGGGGATGCAGTTGCTGCATCAAAAAGCTGGGCCACCCCAGCAGTGTATTTACAACATTAGTAGGCTGTTTCCTGGAACCGGAGGACGGGGGCTGAGGCAGTCCAGTCCAGTGAGAAACGAAAAGCGTCGGTACCCCAGGCCCAGGGAAGCATTGGCGAGCTGGACATTTCGAGGTGAAACGCTCACAGCAGCGCACGGGCAGCCACAGTCAACAGAAGAGCTGGCAACCCAGACCCCAGAGCCACAGAGCCTTCGTTAGCCGGGATCTGAGCCCCACCCTTCGGGGGGTTCTTCCCCACGTTGCTGCGGTCTTGGTGACCCGCAGCGCCGCCAGTCAAACGCGACTCCTCTTCCAGGGCAGCTTCGTGCTCCACTTCACGGGGAGACGTGTGGCTGGCTGGGGCGGAGGTGGCCTTGGTGGCAGAGGAGGTGGCAGAGGAGGTGGCCGTGACAGTGGCGGAGGGAGCGCCCGCGGAGGTTGTGCTGGAGGAGGTCCGGGCGCCAGTGGATGGGGCCAGGGTGGTCGGAGGGGGCAGCAGGACTAGGGGTGGGATTCGCGGGGAGAAATAAGTCTTGTTGCGGAGGTCGGAGTTGCAGCGGGGCCCCTGGCAGCAGGAGCCGCTGAGTGTGAACCCTGGACCTGTCACCCCATCACGGGTGCAGGACTCATCCTGAACGCAGCCCCGGACGGGTAAGGACACGGTCACATTGGCTGGGAGAGAGACACAGAAAGGTCTGTCATTGGACAAGTAGGAGTTGGCACAGCTTGGGTAAAACCGGGGCGGGGGTAAGGGGGCGTGTCTGGAACAAGACAAGAGCAGCAAACCCCGAAATGAGACAGCGGACCGTGCGCTCTTGAGTTCAAGCATCTCAACCCTGGCCGCGCTTTCTGCAGAGCACTGTGCTCTCCTCATCTGCCCACAGCGACTATGTCCCACTAAATGCTTTGGGAGGAAAAGGGTGGAACCCAGGTTTCCAGACGTGTCTTGGAACAAAGGTGTCAACAGGGACTTCTGTGATCAAAACTCAAACATAACCTCGCCTTTTCCTTTCTCAACTCCCTGCTAAATTCTAGTTTTAGAGTCTGAAACAGAGCTCCCGAAAAATACCTGGCACCAGAAGGGATTAAAGAACTTCTCCCATGGTGAACCAGCCCCTCACTGGGGGATTCTAGGCAGGGGCTCTACCCCTAAGCCACGCCCCCATCCCCTTATTGGGCAATTCTAGGCAGATGCTGTACCACTGAGCCACGCCCCCAGCACCTCACTGGGGCATTCTAGGCAGGGGCTCTACCACCGAGCCACACCCCCAGCCCCTCACTGGGGGATTCTAGTCAAGGGCTCTACCACTGAGTCACACTCACAGCTCCTCACTAGGGGATTCCAGAAGGGGGCTCTACCACTGTGCCTTGTCTCCAGCCCCGAACTATATCCCTTAATATTGTGGAACAAGTGAGACCCCTAAGTTTTCAGGGCCCAAACCAGATTTCCCATGGCACACAGTCAAAAAAGCATACAAGCTTAAACACAAGTCTCGCTTCATGGTCTTCCATTCCATACCCGGCAGTGTTCTATAGGAATGTGCACGCACACACACACACACACGCACGCACGCACGCACACACGCACACACACGCACGCGCACGCACACACGCACGCACACACGCACGCACGCACACACGCACACACACGCACACACACGCGCGCACGCACGCACGCACACACGCACGCACGCACACACGCGCACACACACACACGCACACACGCACACGCACACGCACACACGCACACACGCACACACGCACACGCACACACACGCACGCGCACGCACACACGCACGCACACACGCACGCACACACGCACACACACACGCACACACGCGCGCACGCACGCACACACGCACGCACGCACGCACACACGCACACACACACGCACACACGCACACGCACACACGCACACACACGCACACGCACACACACGCACACGCACACACACGCACACGCACACGCACACGCACACACACGCTCGCACGCGCGCACACGCACACACACACGCGCACGCACACGCACACACACAGACGCGCACGCACACACGCACACACACAGACGCGCACGCACACACGCACACACACACGCACACACACACACGCACGCACGCACACACGCACACACGCACGCACGCACGCACGCACACACACGCGCGCACGCACACAATCGCGGGGTCTATAGGGTACTAGATTGCATTTCCCATGGGGCTGTAGGCCAAGGCAAGCACCAGACTCGTCCCAGCGTTTGTTGTGGGGGAGGAGGGTTGGACCCTTTGGCAGCCGCCAACTCCTACGGGTCTGGAGCTCCTTCAGCGGGTTGGCTCACCTGCCGTCAAGGTGACGTTGCCGTCGAAGCAGCCCTTGTACACGCGGCCGCTGGCGTTGTAGCAGTTGACAACCTGGGGCGCGGTGCCCTGGCACTGCTCGCGGCTCTCGCCCAGGCAGCTGAAGCACTTTGCGCCGTTGGGCTCGTAGGCACTCTCGTTGCCTGCGGAGGTTGCGGGGGACAGCGGGAAGGAGTAGAAACACAAAAAAGGAAGGGGCAAGGGAAGGCGCGGGCCTGTGCTCCCCCTACCCAGGAAGCCAGGGCTGAACCTGTGACTCTGCCGCTTTCCTCCTACGCCCCCCCCCGCCGCCGGCAGCGACCCAGGCTGCACACAGCGGTCCACCACCCCCCACCCCCGCAGCCCTGCCTCAGCTTGCAGGAACCTCAGCTACCAGCCTTAGTCCGGCTCCTCCGCCTCCACCGACCTGCAGGGTTGAGGCCTCGCAAGGTGAGGTTGAGCTTGTTGTTGCATCGGTCCTCGGTGCACTGCTGCAGCTGGACGAAGGCCAGGAGCCCGTGCAGGTCCAGTCCTCGGTCGTTCTTGCCCTGGAGTCCGGAACCACAGCCCCGCACGGCCAGGGAGAATTGCCCGTGGACTACAAGGGAGAAGGGGGCGGGGCGGAGCAGTCAGGGCCTCGACGGGGCGGGGCTTTGCATGAACAATGCTCCTGGGTCTGCGGGGCTTGGGGGATGGGGGGACCTTAAAGACTGCAGACCCCTAGGAAGAGACCACAGGAGGAGGGGAGAAGACGACGAATGCACTCCAAAGAGAACAGGCTGAGGAGTGGGGCTGAAACTGGAGCCTCCATGGGTACGTCAGAAAAAGGGGCCGGGCGTTGGTGGCGCACGCCTTTAATCCCAGCACTCGGGAGGCAGAGGCAGGCGGATCTCTGTGAGTTCGAGGCCAGCCTGGTCTACAAAGTGAGTTCCAGGACAGCCTCCAAAGCTACAGAGAAACCCTGTCTCGAAAAACCAAAAAAAAAAGAAGGGGGGCGGGGAGAAGCCTCCGCAAGTAGCTTCCGAGGGATTCAGTTAGGAGACGTGTTGTTGGTGCGAGCGAGCCTTGCAGCCCCAGCTACGGGGGGAGGCGGAGGCAGGGGGATCCGGAACCCCCTCCGGCTTTTAGTGCTTAACGAGACCCTGCCACGAGCCAACAAAGCCGGACCTGGTGGTGCGAGCCTGCGATCCCGGCGACCCGGGAGACTGAACCTCATCGGAGTGCTCACGGGCCAAACCCAGCGGCTTAGCGAGACCCTGCCTCATAGGCTATCTAGTGTGAGTTCTGGAGCCCGGGTTCAGACCGCGTGCAGATGCCTAGAGGGACGGCATCGTGGATGACCTGGGGGGCGGGTGGGGGGATTGCAAAGGAATCTGGAAACTTCAGAGTGGAGCCTGGGTGGTAAGCCTTCCTGGAGGGAGTGAGGCGGGAAGTGGTAAAGGTGTCTCGGTGACGGGCGAGACGGGTGGTGGGACTGTGCCCCGGCAGCCCTGGTCAGTCCCGAACTATCAACCCACACACACCCCGGCCCCCTGCCTAAGCCCAAAGAAAGAAGGGCGATTCTGCGCTGCAAGGTCTGACATGGAAAGGCGTGGCCTGAATCGGAAAGATCTGCGAGGAGGCGGAGTCTCGCTGGAGGAGTCCGAGGGGACCCCCGGGGTGGTACTTACTGGTCTCCACCGCCCCCACCGCCTCGGTGCAGACGTCCGCTCCGGGACCACACTTGACCGTCTTCATCTTGTGGGGAGAGCATCCGTCATCCGCCTTCTGCACGCAGCTGTAGCACTCCAGCGCCTGCGCTCCTGCGGGTGTGGGCCGGGGAGAGCCGGGTGCTCTTTGTTATAAAACTTATCCCAACACGGAGAAAGCCTCTGTCCGGGGGTGAGACGGTCCGACCGTGCAGCCAGAGCAGCAGGAGAAGCCTTCCCACAAGTCTCAGGGCGCGGGGCGCACAGGACGCTCTTCCTTCCCAGCCCCTGGGCCAGCATTGGGAGCTTTCCTCTCCCATCTGCTTATTCCCAAGGGGGGAGACCCCGGCCGGGGAGCCCCTGTCTCGGGAGGGGTGTGTGGGCGCCTCTCTCACAGTTGCCTGCTCAGTGTGGGAGAACCTTCCCCGCAGCCCCTCCGCCCAGGATAGAACGCACAGCCCGGCTTTGGCTGGAATCAGCTTTCCTTAAGGACTTCCTGTGAAGGCTGGGGGACAATCTTCCTTAGGAGCCCCCCCCCCCGGTGGCGCGCTTACCTTCACACAGCAGTAGCGGCAGCAGCAGCAGCCATCCGGTGGTCCAGACCACCGGCTGCACATCTCCTCTCCTGGCAGCATCCATGGCTGCGTCCTGCTCTCTCGGCGTCCCCCCTGGGTGTGCCGCCTTCCAGCCCGGGCCCTCTTACCCGAGCCTCAGATGAGTAACCTACCCCGGGGCAACCCTGGCCTTGCCCAACCAGGCCAACTCAGCGTCCGCGCGCTGTGGGGCGGGCCCGCCTTGAGGTGCGTCACCCACAGGGAGAGCGGGCCCCTGCCCTGTGCCCTTGCCAAGGAGAGAAAGGGGGAGCAGAGGTTCCCTGACAGTCCCCTGGATAAAGTATGTGTGGGTTTGGAGGCAAAGGGAGTACCAGGGTTCAAAGACAGACGGGGGCATTCGAGGTGTGCTCGAGTCCTGAGCATGTTGGGCAGGCGTGCCTGCCTTGGCCTGCTGATTGGGGACACTGAGGCAGAGCCCCTGTGCGTCTTCACAGAGCTCCTAGTCGGATGGCAGAGATGGACATTAATTAAATAATTGGGAAAACTGTTATTTACAAGTCATTTATTTATACTCAGCCGGTCATCAGAGCCCTCAGGGAGCTGAGGCAGGGGATTGCCAGAAGTTCGAGGCATAGTGAGTTCCAGGCCTGGCTGGAACTACAGAGTGAGATCCTATCTCAAAGAATCAAAATAAACATCTCGGCTAAGAGATTAAGACTTTGGAGAAATAAGGTAGAGAACTGCAAGAGGGGTTGGGATTTAGAAGTGAGTACGACTCTCAAGATGGTTCTGCTGGGAGATAATATCAAATATCTACCAAGAAATGACTGAAAGGGTCTATATAATCAAAATGCATTGTATACATAGGTGAGTCTCAAGAATAAGTAAAAATGAAAAAAATCTTGAACACCTATCATGTGTGCTGGGCACTGCAATAAGTCCTTTAAATTAAAAAAAATAAAAAGGTTATTGACAATCTAGAATAGTGGCCTAGGGGTCAGTAGTAGAACGGTAGCCTAGAATCCCCCAGTGAGGGGCTGTGGTGTGGCTCAGTGGTAGAGCCCCTGCCTAGAGTTCCCCAGTGAGGGGCTGGGAGTGTGGCTCAGTGATAGAGCTCCTGCCTAGAATCCCCCAGTAAGGGGGTAAGATAGTGCTTCCTGGTAGAGCACTCAGCTGGCATGTATCAAGCCCTGGGTTGCATCCCCAATATCATCCCTCCCTTCCAAAAAAAAAGGTAAAACAAATGTGAAAACCAACAGTGGTCCCTTCATTCAGTTGCCCAGCAATGGAAAGTTTCAACGGACGGTATCCACAGCTACATAGATGGATATTTAAAACTATGTGACTCAAAGAAGCCGTAAACAAGACAACACACAGTGTAACTTTGTTCATTTGGAGCTCTGAGACAGACTAAACTAACCTACGGTGTGAGAAAAATGAAAGGCGTTCCCTCTGAAAGAGTCTTGCCCCAGAAGATGCCTCTTTCGTCTTCATCCAGGGAGGGCGGCCTCGAGTGTGACGGGAATGTACAGAACTGCTGAGCTGTCTGTTTAGGCCCTCATGGATGCACATTATCCTTCCACAGAAACACGAGGAAGCAGAGCCTGGGCCCGGTGGCCCAGTCCTGTAATCTCAGCCCTTGGGGGACTGAGCATAACACGATTGGCCAGCGTCAGCTACACAAAGAGACTATCTAGAGAGAGAAAGTGGGTGAGATGGTTGGGCACATAGAGGCACTAGTCTCCTGGCCTGACAACCTGAGTTGGGCCCCTGGATGCTACAGGGTGGAAAGAGAGATGTTGTCTTCTGACCTCCACATGTGTGTCGTGGGATATTTTGAAGTAACCCCCCAACATACCTGCACCCCCAACACACGCACTAAATAATAAATAAGTAAGTAAGCATAATGAGAAAGGAGCACAGTGTGAGCCTGTCCAGAGATCAGGGATAAGAACAAGGAGAGAATGAGGGAGAAGAGAAAAGAGACAAGGCTGGGCGTAATGGTTCGTGCTTACAATCCCAGCCTCAGGAAGCTGCGACCGTAGGATTACGTTGAGTTTGAAGCTGCCTGGGCTACCTAGAACCCTATCGCAAATGCCCCTCTGGGCTCGCCAAAGGGTGCAGGAGACTAGAGCAGCTGGGCAGTTTCCAGATGAAAAATAAAGGGTGTTCGTTTGCCTGCACAAAACCCTGACTTCTCTCCCCAGAGTTGCCAAAAGCTCGGGCAATGGGGATGGAGGCAGGAGGGTCTGGAGTTGAATTCACCCTCGGCTACATGGAGAGTTTGAGGGCAGACCTTGTTTCTGGGGCGGGGGACCCTGTTTGGGGGGTGGGGGAAGAACGAGGAGGAAGAGGAGGGGGAAAAAGACTGTCAGGAGTTGTCTGGTTAATGCAGGGGTCATGAGGTCATATTGGACATAAATGACCTCACAGAAACTGGCCTCGGCCAAGGTCACCTGTGACCGTGGAAGACATATGCAATCGCAAGATTACCCCACTACTGCGCCCGAACACAGAAACGAACAAAATCATTACCCAAACGGCTGTGTGACTCAGCAATCCCACATCCCGCCGAGCATGAGCGGTCGCTCAGGTAGTAACGATAGTGATTTTAACCTAGCTTGCTCTTTCTGCCCCACAAATCGGGTTTATGAAGACCCTAACCTTGCCCTTGCTCTGTGACAGGATCCAGAGCAACACCCCACTTCCAGGAAGTGTCCCCCAAACCACCATGAATCTTTGTCAGGAGTGGTGATTCAGCCTAGACTCCCAACACTAGTCCCAACACAGAGTTCAAGGCTTCGTCGACTAGGTCAGCCTGAGCTGGCTGAAAAAAAAATTTAAAACATTTTAAGAGGAAGAATTAGCAGGAATTACTGATGAATCAAATGGGAGGGAAGTCTAAAGGTGTGGTTCAGCTTCATGTACTTTCCTAGAATCAGTGAGAGGCTGGGGCCTGGCTCAGTGGAAGAGCAATTACTTAGAATCCCCCAGCAGGGAACTGGGGGCATGACTCAGTGGTAGAGCCCCTGCTTAGAATCCTCCAGTAAAGGGATGGAGGTGTGGCTCAGAGGTAGAGCCCCTGCCTAGAATCCCCCAGTGAGGGGCTGGGGTGTGGCTCAGTGGTAGAGCCCCTGCCTAGAATCCCCCAGTGAGGCGCTGGGGGCGTGGCTCAGTGGTAGAGCTCTTGCTTAGTATGCATGAGTCCCTGGGTGTGTGGGAAGCAGGAGGTTTCTGAGTCCATTTTCTGGTCTTTCTTGTTCTAAATTCCGTTCTCCAGCACTAATAACAATCGCAACAGCAACAATAATAACACCCAGATTTGTTCCAGAATCTATTGCAAACAGCACCCGCCCGCTCTCATCAGTTCTCTCCCATGAGGTGAGAAGAGCTCCTGCCATCATGGGACAGCTTGGTGCTCCACACTCCTGAAGAACCCCTCAGACCACGGCGGCTCTGCGTTTCACAGGAGAGGAAACCAGGGCAGGGAGAGGCTTGGGAGTGGCGGGAGTGAGATTTAAATTCAGAGCCGTCTGCAAAGGCCTTCAAAGTCACTTGTCACTGACGAGGCTCTTCTGGTGTTTGTTACTTTTTGGTTTATTTGGTTGGTTGGTTGGTTGGTTGGTTTTATTTGTTTCATGGTGTGGGGACTGTGTTGTTTTGTTTGTCGACAACGCTGGGTAGGGGACCCCAGGCCTCACACACACTTGGCAAATGCTGTTCCATGAAGTTACATCCCCAGCCCCTTTTTACCTGGTGTGTGTGTGTGTGTGTGTGTGTGTGCGCACACGTGTGTGTGCACACAGATGATACAAACATAGAAAGGGCCATGCACACCTGTCTGCGTGTGAACACACCCATGCCCAGTGTCCTGCCCCGTTACTCTCCCCATTATCCCTTTGAGATGGGGTCTCCCCCTGAATCTACAGGGAGGCTGGCAGCCAGCAATCCTGGCTCTGTCACTGAGGTTATAGGTGTGGCGGCGAATTGTCTGGCCTCTGTGTCCTTCACCTGGTTTGTTTGTTTGGTTTGGTTTCTCTAGACAGGGTTTCTCTATGTAGTCCTGGCTGTCCTGGAACTCACTCTGTAGATCAGGCTGGCCTTAAACTCAGAGATCGTCCTGCCTCTGCCTCCTGAGTGCTGGGATTAAAGGCGTGCGCCACCACCACTGCCTGGCCGCCCTCCACCTATTTAACGGAGATCTTAACGTATACTTACCTCAGAGGCTGCCATGGGAGCGATGTCAGATGTTTGTGAAGAGCTTCAAGCAGCTTTCGATGCTACGAAACCCTTAGCTTTTAATAACTTAAATAGATTGTGACGTTACCATTGGTTAACTTTCTTTTTGGTTGCTGTCAGTTCCCAGGTCTTCAGCTCCGGCTTCGTGCTGAACAAGATGTGACGCATGTCACTATGGTCACAGGCCCGAAACCCCAGCACTCAGAAGCAAGAGGATTGCATGTTCAAGGCCAGCCTGGGCTACGAAATGACGGTCCATCGAGATAGAGAGTAGAGGCACTTGCCACCAAGGCTGACAACCTGAGTCTGGCCCCCAGGACCCACACGTAGGAGAGAACCAACTCCTCTTAGACTACCCTCTGACCTCCAAACGTGCACTATGTCACACGTGCCCGGATATATGAACAATGGATAGAATGCCCTTATAAGAAGCAAGAAAATATACCGGCCCCTTTATAAGCAGCCTGGTTGGAGGGGTGGAGCTTGGTACCTGTACCACAAGGAAGGACTCTGAGACCAGAGCAGAAGCTACCCACTCAGGTCTGCAGGCCAATGGCGTGGCAGAGTCAGCCCCAGCTGGCCGGACAGCTGACTGGCCGCAGGAAAATAGCGGCTGTGTTCAGAGAGATATGAATGCTCCCCAGACCCTGCCCAGCACCCCTGTTCCTGACTATGACAAGCACCTCAGTCACCGAGGTGGGGTCATCTGTCATCCAGGGAAGACTCAAGAGAGAAAGTGAATGACTCTTGTGACGTCATGCAAAACTGGCTCCAGCTGGGTCTCAGCCCCACGTCTTCAATGTGTGCCCCGGAATTCCTGTTCTTCCCTCTGAGGCTCCACGGATGGTTTTTGGTTTGTTGTGGTTTTGTTTTTGTTTGTTTGTTAGTTTTATTCTGGTGCTTCGTTTTGCTTTGTTTTTAAACAGGGCCTTTCCATATAGCCCCACTAGCCTGGAACTCGCTCTGTAGACCAGGCTGGCCTCAGACTCAGAGATCCGCCTGCCTCTGCCTCCCGAGTGCTGGGATTAAAGGTGTGCGCCACCCAGCCTTATAGCCCAAGGAGTCCTTCTTCTCACAAAGGAAAAGATGATGCATTGAGGAAAGAACCAAGTTCTGGAACCTGACAGTCTGAAATCTTAGTCTCGCTGTGTGATTCCAGGCAACTCAATCTCCCTCTCTGAATTTCCTCCACTTCCTCTGTGGAATAGGTCTGAAAAACCTCAGGAGAGCTACGGGTCCCAGTGAGAGTGGCAGACAGAGCGATACTGCTGTGTTTTAGGCTTGGGAGGCCCCAGGAGCGTGGGAGAGTTTCAGGGGAGGGACCCCAACTGGTCAGACCAGAAGAGCTAGCACCTTGGAAGGGAGTAGGACCCAGGGTGGGGCGTCTGCTCTTGCTCAGACCTGCCTGGATTTTGGCTGCTGACCTGAGCCTGGCCCAGGCCCAGAGAGCAGTTTGTGTTCTTGCTGGCTAATTTTCATGTATACCTACTGATTCCTTGTGTACTTGTTTTCTTGCAACCTTTGTATTTTTGCTGTGCGCTGGAGACCCTGCCCAGAGCCTGCTAGGCCAGGTTCGGGTCGAGCCTCTCCACCCCAGTTCCTCACACACACTGGTCAACTGTGGGATTCTCCTCATCTGCCCGGGATCCACGGGATTCTCGTGTAAACGGAGGTCCTATCAGAGCAGCCATGGTGCAAGCCTCAGACAGGCCTGTGGAGGCCTCTGAGACCGGGCAGGCTCTGAAACTCAGGCCCACTCCCCTTGGGACACACTGTCAGAGGCGACCGGGAAGGGCGGGCGGGGGGAACGGGGGGGGCACGGGGGGGCACGGGGGACGGGGACCCACGTGCAATCTTGTCCACTGCACTCCAGTGCTCTCCACACTTGGCTCGGAAAAACGCACATCTAAAACTTAATTAAGAACTGAGCCTGGCACAGAGACCCATTGGCTGCACTGGCCACGTGAAGCTGGCCCCTGACTCAGCCTGGGGACCAGCGAGCGTCTCTTCCGAGGGGACACCCTCGACGAGACCCAAAGGATGAAGAAAGAGGACGGCCCAAGAGTTCTGATGGCCTTATTCACAGCTGTCTGTCATCTTCAGCGTCACTACTTCCCCGGGAATCGTCCCGAGTGCTAAATGCCGCTCAACGCCCGAGACCTTTACTGCGTGCCAAGGGCACGGCGGCGGCGAGACCCAGGAGACCCGGGTCCATCAAGGCCAGGATGGGTGAAGCCCACGCTAAAGGAGTCACATTGCAACGGCATGGCGGGGCAGGACGACTGTGACTCAGCCAAGGCAACCAGGGAGGGCTTCCTGGAAGAGGGAACGGGCCACAGGGTCCAAGATATGTCTCAGGAACCGGAAATAGGCTGGGTGCCTAAACAAATTGGTTGGGCAAAGACCAGGGAGTGGCAGAGGCCCTCTCTCCTCTCTGCCTCACTTTCAAAGAATGGCAAGAGATGTGACCAGAACGGTCCTGGCCTGGTCCTCCGGGAATGCCAAGGACAGGATGGGTTGGCTCCTGAGCAAGTTGGGGATTCGGGGGTGGGGAGCTTCTCGATGGGGCCACCGAACTAAAACCTTACAAAGGGGAGAGGAGGTCAGAACAGGAAAACCCCGAGGGAAATCGAGGAAGAGGACACGGGGAAGTCCGGGGAGGCAGATAAAACTACAGATTAAAGCCCCACACCAGCCCCTCGGGCCACATGCGTGCCCACCTCTTCTCCCATGCCTTAAGGGTTCAAAGTCTCCATTGCCAGGGAAACCCCTTGGCTTAGGGGTCCAGCCTAGGGGCGGAGGGGCCCCAGGATGCCTGCGCTGGAATTTACACCAGCAACCCGGTTTTTCCACCATGTTTAATTCGGTATCAGAGGAGCACCAATAAATAGTTCCTTCCGCCCCCTGTAATCTTCCTCCTGCCCCAAGCAGGGCCCCGAGGGCCCCAGAGATGCCACCTCTGGAAGTCACCCACAGCCCAGATCTACGTGGCTCAGGCCAGCTGAGCCGGAGCAGCTGCAGACTTCCCAGGAAAATTCCAGAAGGGGCGGGGCCGATAGCTTCCTGGAGTAGGCGGGGCCCTGGGGGCCGGACCGGTCTTTCTCGAGGGGCGGGGCCGATCAGGGGGCGTGGTTTTCGTCCGCAGCCGTCACAATGACGTCCATCCAAATACGCATGGCTTCCGGACTGGGGGCCACCATATAGAACAGGCGTTCGTAGGTCTTGACGCAGAAGGTCAGACGGGGGCTGGGGCTCTGGAATGATCAAGGAGAGAGGGTGATTGGATCCAATTCCACAACCGTCTTCCTAAGCGGTCCTCTATGGGGATGTGCATAAATACACTCATACACATAAAATAAATCTATAAGATATACTTTAAAACAAACAGCCGGGTGGTGGTGGCGCACGGCTTTGATCCCAGCACTCGGGAGGCAGAGGCAGGCGGGTCTCTGTGAGTTCAAGACCACCCTGGTCTACAGAGTGAGTTCTAGGACAGCCAGAGCTACAAGGAGAACCCTGTCTTGAAAAAAACAAAAGAGCCACGGTTGGCTCCTTTCCAAAGAGTATCGTAAGCAGAGTTTCAGTGATCAGTGTTTCATTTTCTGACCTTGTATTTGTCTCCCTTCTAACTCAGGTCTCTAACTTGCGATCCTCCTGCCCCTACCTCCTTCATGCTAGAATTACAAGCATGTGCTAGCCCAGAATCTGATCAATCTCTCTGGGTCTCCGTTGCCCTGGTTAGTGGCCTGGAACTCGCTGTGTATTCCGTGCTGCCTTCAAACTCACAGAGATCCACCTGCCTTTGCCTTCCTGGTGCTGGGGTTACAGCTGTGTGCCAACCAGCATGCCTGGTGTATATGATGCTGGGACCCGGGACACCATGCCTGCTAGGCAAGCACTCTGCCGTCTGAGCCTTAGACGAAGCCCAGGCTCAGAACACTTAGTTACTCTTCAGCTCTGGACCATGAGTAAAGCCAGGACGGCTTTCCCCAGGGTGACCTAGACACAGGGTGAAGTTTTAGTGTAGGCTCTCGGCGGGAGGGCAGTGTGGCCCTGAGCAGGATGTCACCTTGAAGGCACAGCGTAAGTGGTCATAGTAGACTTCCTCGATGGCCTGGAAGTAGATGACACCTTTGAGCTTGGTCTCCTCCTTGTCTGGTGGGAAGAAAGCAAAGGAACGGATCTAGTTAGAGACAGGTGCGAGCGTGCTTGCACGCACGTGTGTGTGTGCATGCGTGCGTGCATGTGTGCATGCGTGTGTGTGCATGCGTTTGTGTGCGCGCGTGCGTGTGCTTGCGTGTGCATGCATGTGTGCGTGCGTGACTGTGCATGCGTGTGTGCGCGAGCGTGCATGCGTGCGTGTGCATGCGTTTGTGTGCGCGCGTGCGTGTGCTTGCGTGTGCATGCATGTGTGTGGCATGGTGTGTGTGAACTCCGGTCATTGGACCCTAGCCCTGAGACTATCGAGGTGGGGACATTAATTATAACAGACAGTGTGACAATTCCAAGGCTGGGGAATGTGGGCGTCTATGCTAGACAGGAGACAGGTCTAGGGGACTACACGAGACTGCAGATGGGTCCAGGAGCCGAAGTCCCGGGTCCCTGAGAAGGCAAGACATAAACAAGAAAGCATGAGCACCAGGGCTCCTGTTTCTGGGGCCTGGGATGTTCGTGCGGGTGGGGCAGTCAGCGGGTGGGGCCTGATTTCACAGGCATCTTAGGAAAACTGGATCCGGACCGAGAACTGAACTGTAACATTCATCTGTTATTGAGTAGAAGCTAGGCGGGCGGGGGGGGGGGGGGCGTGATTCTGGTGGCTTAGGGAGGAAGGGGCTGGGAGCTGGATCATGGGACAGGGTGACTTTAGCCTAGACTTGAGAGTATAAGGAAGGGGCTGGGTCCTAGTGGCAGCGGGGAGGTGGGGACCTGCATTTGGGCTTGAAGCTGCCTGGCCTCCCTGCTTACCAGCATAGTAAGCCAGCCGGCGAGCCTGCCGGTCAAAGCAGAACCAGCGTTTCCGCCAGGTTTTGATGCGGCCTCCCATCTTCACCAGCGGCCCGCGACAGCAGCCCCCGGACACCCGCACGTGGGGGCAGCTGTCCGGATTGTGGCCCCAGCGTTCCAGGTGCTGAGGGAGGTCCAGGACCCGGGGACCTGGAGGGCGCGGTGGGGGCGGGGGCGGGGGCGGGGCCTGCGGAGCACAGAGAAGGGGCCGTTGACCAGGAGTTAGGAGCAAAAGAGGGACTGCAGCGTAGAGGCTGGGAGAGCCGACCTTTTAAAAGCAGGGACACTGCCACCGCATCATCGTGACGCCAGGCGTGCGGCTCCCGGGTGCGGCTGAGGCAGAAGGATTGCCCTGAGTTCCAGGGCTACAGATGCCGATTAAAGTAAGGGGGAAGGGGGGGAGGGGAAAGAGGGGGAAGGGGAGGGGGAGGGAGAATGCACGCGCGCTTGTCTGTCACTCTAGCACTAGGGAGGAAGTGGAGACAGGTTTAAGTTATCCTTGGCTCCATAGTAAGTTCAAAGCCAGCCCGGGGCCACAGAGAGCATCTTCTCAAAAAGACCAAACCAAAAACAAAGGAAAGGTCTCCATCTGACAAGAGTCACATCTAAGTCACAAAGCTTGCACTCCGTAGGAAAGCCGAGGCAGGCTGGGGACTATCAACCCGCCCTCCTCCTAGGAGTCACTGTCATAGGCTCTGTCCACCTGAGCGCGGCAGTCCCGGAAGAGGTTCCCCAGCACCCTACAGCTGGCTCCGGCAGAGCCCTTGACCACAGAGGTAATGTACCTCAGAGACGTGCTTGTCTGTGCACGCGTGAAGGGAACAAAGGCACCCGTCAGGGGCTGTTTAATAAATAATGCTACCGGTGCTGCATTTTTAATGGGAACAAGTTTGTGCGGAACACCCAGAAGGACAAACTGCCCTTGCCCCTCCCTGGCTCTGCCGAGCCTGGGGGATGGGGTGGGGCCTTGGGGGTCTCTTGTAGCCCACACCGGCCTTGAAGTCACTGTAGTGGATCTTCAATTCCTGATCTTTCTCCCTCTACCTCCCAAGGGCTGGAGCTACAGGTGTGAGCCACCACGGCTGGTTTACCCCGTTCTGGGGATGAACTCAGGCCTTAGCACAGTGCTAGACAGTGCTGGCCAGCTCCAGATTCTCTCTGTAATTTAAAAAATCATATATACATATATATACACATATATATATTTGATTTTCGAGACAGGGTTTCTCTGTGGTTTTGGAGGCTCTCCTGGAACTCCCTCTGTAGACCAGACTGGCCTCGATCTCACAGAGATCTGCCTGCCTTGTCTCCTGAGAGCGGGCATTAAAGGCGTGTACGCCACCACCCTGAAATATAATTAAAAATTTTAATAGATTTTTCTGACAGCGGAAAATATTTATTCTCCATCTATAGTGACTGTTGGGATTGTTACCAGGGTATAGGAAGGAAGAAAGCACCCAGAGCGCCGGGCGTTGGTGGCCCACGCCTTTAATCCCAGCACTCGGGAGGCAGAGGCAGGCGGATCTCTGTGAGTTCGAGACCAGCCTGGTCTACAGAGCGAGTTCCAGGACAGCGGGGACTACGCGCAGAGAAACGCAGTCTTGAAAAACCAAAAATAAATAAACAACAACAAAAACCCAAGAAGGAAGAAATGGAGAAATTACCCAAGCAAAGACCATGACTGCCAACAAGAGAAACAGGAGTAGAAACTGGGGCCCGTTTTTGTTGTATGGAGAGGTAGCAACAGTGAGGTGCAATAAAAGGTAAAAGCCAAGAGGAAAAAGAGACCAGAGAGGACGGAGGAGACTGACTGACCATGATGGCAGGGACTGAAGGGCCTGTGGAACCTTCCGGGCTTCTTCTCATCCCTTCCTATGGATTCATGAGGGAGAATCAATGAGGATCCCAACCCATAAGACAGAGGGAAGCAGCTGACTGAGGGGGTGGGGCCTGGACCCCCTGGGTCAGAGGGAAGAGGCTGGGCCTGGTCTGAGGGAGGAGGCTGGGCCTGGACCCTGGGTCTGAGGGAGGAGGCTGGGCCTGGACCCTGGGTCTGAGGGAGGAGGCTGGGCCTGGAGCCTTGGATCTGAGGGAGGAGGCTGGGCCTGGACCCTGGGTCTGAGGGAGGAGGCTGGGCCTGGAACCCTGGGTCTGAGGGAGGAGGCTGGGCCTGGACCCCGGGTCTGAGGGAGGAGGCTGGGCCTGGACCCTGGGTCTGAGGGAGGAGGCTGGGCCTGGACCCTGGGTCTGAGGGAGGAGGCTGGGGTCCCTCTGAGGAGCAGGGCCTGCGGTCTCGCTCACCCTGGCCTTGAGCAGCCGTTCCCTCTCGGCCACAGCCTTCTGCAGGAGTCTCTCCATGTGGGCGATGTCTGGGTGAACCGCCGACTGTCTAGGTGGACGGAGCAGGGATGGGAGTTTACCTCAGCTGGCCTCCTCCCCCCCCCTTCCCCCTCAAGCCTCACCTATTCCCGGGGCCACAGCTGAGCAGCTGGTAGAAAGGGTGTCTCCCAGGAGTCCCCACCGCTTGCGCAAGAGCTGAGGCCTCCAAGGGTCCTGTGGAAGACAGGGGGAGGGGCCAGATGCTCACCCTACCCCATCCCTCTAAGTCTCAAGTCAGCACCCAAGCTGTCGGTCTCTCCTGCCGCAGCAATGGCTGAGGGGACGCGGGACAGAAGCAGTCCTTACCTGTGCAATGCAGGGACAAAGGACGGGAGGGTCCCCTCTGGCTGGCCCTGTCTCCCCTCCTCCGGGGCAGGCTTCCCGTTCTCTGGAGACCAATAGAGCCCTGAGAACACACAAGGGTTGTGTTTGAAACGGCAGCGTCGCCCGAAGGTGCTTAGGATAATGGCTTTGCCGACAGCTGTGGCGTCCGGGGAATGAGGAGGCTCCAACTGCATCAGGACGTAAACCCATCAGCGGATTCGATGGCGTCCCTGGGAGGTGGTGGAAACCACAAGACCGGACCCGTGGAAGAGCTAGGGACATGACTCAGAGAGTGCCAGACATCCATCTCCGTAGGAAGTCAGGCACTCACTGTCCAGTGCCAGGGCTCGGGCATGCGCCACCACCAAGTCTAAAGCTCTGAGCTCAGGCCCTGAGCAGTGGGAGAAGAGAACGGACTATTCTAACTGTTTTGTGATGTCCAGGCCATGCCTGGTCATGCACTCCCTCTCCCCATCCCTCCAATAAATAAATACATGGGAAGAAAAAAAAACAGCCAGGTGTTCTGGCAATACCAAGTTCTGGGGAAGCAGAAACTGGGGGATCCCTGGGTATCGCTGGCCTAGCCTGATCTGTAAGCCTCGGAACCCTGTGAGAGACCCTGCCTCAAAGCACAAGGTTGGGGGGAAGCTGGAGAGAAGGGTCAGAGGTTAAGAGCATGCACTGCTCATGCAAATGACCCACCTCTGGTTCCCAGCACCCAAGTCTGGCAGCTCACAAATACCTGTAACTCCAGCTTCAGGGGTTCAAACGCCCTCTTCTGGCCTCTGTGGGTACTGCACGCACATGCAACAACCACCCACACACAGACACACCTTTTAAAAATTACTTTTAAAGGGGCAGGGGCGCTGGGCTGATGGCTCAAGGACTAAGAATACATGCCTTTCTTCCAGAGGCCTGGAATTCTGTGTAGACCAGGCTGGCCTCAGATTCACAGAGTTTCTGCCTCCCTTGTGCTGGGGTTAAAGGCGTGCGCCACCAACGCCAGGCTAGCCCCCAGCCCCCTCTACCATGACACTCTGATTCAGCTCCCACAGGCACAGCATCCATGGAGCCAAGGGACTCAGTACGGAACCTACAAAACTTGGAGCTAAAAGCCGTTTCGCTCCCTAAGTTGTCTGTATCAAGTACTTTGTCAGAGAGACGGAGAGTCACTATTCCAGACACACACCCTCAGAAAGAGACAAGCCACCGCTGTCTCAGCAAAAAGTCAAGAACACTTCCTAGGAAAGCCACCAGCTAGATGTCCCGGATCAAACATCGCAGAGAGCGGCGGCCCCAATTTAACTCCCAGTATCAGAAAGAAAAAAAAAAAAAACAACTTTCGAAAGGACTGGGGGTTTTGCTCAATAGGGTAGCATGCTGGTCTCACAAAACCCTGGGTTTGATCCCCAGCAACACTCATAACTGAGCATGGCGGCACACGTCTCTAACCCCAGCACCCCAGGGCCAAGCAAGAGGATCAGAAGTTCAAGGTCATCCTTGGCTACACAGTGAGTTTGAGGCCAGCCTGGGCTACATGAGAAGCTGTCTCAGAAAGTTTTTAATAGCCCATATTTGCTAAAAGTATATTACCAGTCTGGTGGTGGCGGCGCATGCCTGTAACGGCCCCTGTAATCCCAGCGCTAGGGAGGCAGAGGTAGTCAGATCTCTGTGAGTTCGAGGCCAGCCTGGTCTACAGAGGGAGTTCCAGGACAGCTGGAGTTACAGAGAAACCTGAAGGTGAGGATGCAATTATATCACTACACCCGAGATAAATGATAAATGGGTGTTTACTGGGGAACAACTACACGGAAAAATACAAAGAACCAGTGCTCGTCCTACCAGATTCACTGACCCAACAGAAAGGACCGGCCAAGGAAAGTCACACCTCAGGCTCTCTTTCCACTTCTGTTTGCCTGAAGCCACACCCAAAGGGGTGTGGCCACGTCTCAGGTCCACAGACAAGATGCCTACAGAAACCTGTCTCTAATATAATATAAGAATATATAATATAATAATATAATATATATACACGTACATACGTACGTACACACACATACATACATTCATACATACATACATACATACATACATACATACATATATATATATATATATATATATATATATATAAAGGATTCAGAAGTGCTGGGCCAGGAGGGTTACAGGGAGACAACCTCATCAAAGCTGCTTGCTGGTCACTTTTAAATTTCTCTCTTGGATTACAGGCTCTCATCTTGCATAGGAGAAGTGGGTGCTATGCAAAATAATAATAACTATCCCGTGATCTTCCCATCCCCACCCCATCCCCAGGCAAAGAGGAAGAAGGGAGACCCCCTCCCCCCTCCCTCCGAGTGAGCAGAGACAGCAGCACCTTCAGGGAGCTGTGGACGGAGAAGAGGCATGAAGACGCGGAGGCCGCATTGGCAGCGGGGTCCTGCAGAACCAGCAGCTGACGGTCTGTCTTCTGTGTGAACAGCAGCTGGGAAGGAGAGGGGAGTGGTTACAGAAAGAGGGGCGTGTGCGTGCGTGTGCATGTGTGTGTGAGCGTGTGTGTGTGCATGTGCGTGAGCGTGTGTGTGCGTGTGTGAGCGTGTGTGTGTGCGCGTGCATTCGAGTGTGCGTGTGTGTGTGCGTGCATGCGAGTGTGCGTGCGTGTGTGTGTGTGTGTGTGTGTGTTGGAGAGATGGCTCAGAGGTTAAGAGCACGGGCTGGTCTTGCAGAGGACCAGGTTCAATTCCCAGCACCCACACGGCAGCTCACAACTGTCTGTAACTCCAGGCCCCAAGGATCCACTGGCCTCTTTGAGCACTGGGCGTGTATGTGGTGCACAGACACACATGCAGAAAGAACACACACACATGTGCACACACACAGACACACACACATGTGCACACATAGACACGCAGACACACATACATGTGCACACACAGAAACACATACATGTGCACACACATGTGCACACACAGAAACACATACATGTGTGTGTGCACGTGCACACACACACACACACGGGATCCAGGACACAGATGCTCTGGCCCAGGTTGCCAGCGCCAGTCCATTTGTCAGATGGAGAAGCAAAGGTCTGGTCATGGGAGGCCAGAAGATGGTCCTCACTGCCCCGTCTCCCAGCGAGAGTCGCATGGACTGCCAGGCCCTGAAGCCTGGACCCCTGGGTCTCACGGGAAAAAGCTGGGACTTCAACCCCTAGGTCTTGAGAGAGAAGAGCAAGGGCCGAGACGCCTGGGTCTGAGGGAGGAGGCTGGGCCTGGACCCCGGGTCCGAGGGAGGAGGCTGGGCCTGGACCCCGGGTCCGAGGGAGGAGGCTGGGCCTGGACCCCGGGTCCGAGGGAGGAGGCTGGGCCTGGACTCTGGGTCCGAGGGAGGAGGCTGGGCCTGGACTCTGGGTCCGAGGGAGGAGGCTGGGCCTGGACTCTGGGTCCGAGGGAGGAGGCTGGGCCTGGACCCCGGGTCTGAGGGAGGAGGCTGGGCCTGGACCCCGGGTCTGGGGGAGGAGGCTGGGCCTGGACCCCGGGTCTGAGGGAGGAGGCTGGGCCTGGACCCCGGGTCTGAGGGAGGAGGGGCCAGAAGCTCACACTCCAGGTTCCTGAGGGTGTAAGAGGCTGGGATCAGGTCCCCGGGTCTGAAGGAAGAGGACCAGCAGGTACAGAAAATCCCTACCTTGGTGAGCGCTTGGTCAGGCTCAGAGAAGTCCCCACTACATGGTCCCTGAAGACAATTGAGCTCAAAGAGCCTGCTCCGTTCCTACGAGAGGGCATCATGGTTTCTCACCGCACCACACAGGCCACGCCCATAGATCCTCGGATGCTGGGGACTACCCGGGTGCAGGGAGCAGGGTGCGCATGGAGGTGGGGGGGGCAGGTCCCGCGGGGAAACTCACCTGTGTGAGGGCCTGAAGAGCCTCCTCCTTCTTCCGGCTGAGCCCCCAGCTCTCGGCGGCCATCTGCTCCCCCAGCGACTTGAGCTGCTCCTCCAAGACCTGGATGCGGCGCTGCAGGGGACCCCATTGTGGTCACTCAAGGGGCTCCCAGGTCACCCTCCCGCGGTGCCCGGCCTTTACCGCGCCCCCTCGGGAACTGGGGAGGGAAGGACCCAGAGGACACCCGGGGCTCGGGGCTGGGGGCTGGGAACACGCACAGCCAGATGCTGAGGAGACACAGAAGCTCCAGGGGAGCCGAGAGAAGGGCTCGGTGTGTGCAGTTCTCCAGCAGAGGGCTCTGAGTTCAAGTCCCAGCGCCCACAGCCGGCTACACCCGCCTCTAACTCCAGTTCCAAGTGATCGACACTCCCTCGGGTCTCCACAAACTCCTGCGCGCACGGGCACACGCTCGCTCGCACACAGATTCACAAACTCACGCACACGGTTAAATAAATAAAAATAAATCTTCAAAGAACAGGAAAAAAAAAGAAGCCACACCCGTAATTATAACACCCAAGAGTCTGAGGCAGGAGAATTGCGTCAAATACAAGGCCAGCCTGGACTACCTAGTGAGTCCTAGGCCAGCCTTGGCTACAGAGTGAGACCCTGCCTCCAAAACAAACAGACCTGAGGGACTGGGGGTGTGGCTCAGTGGGCAGAGACGTGGCCTGGTGGGCAGCCCAGCTCAGGAGGGAGAGGCAGGAGCATGGCAGGTGTTTGTCAGCCTTGGCTCCCTAGCTGGTTCCGGGCAGCCTGGACCCCATGCAGACAGGAAGGGAGGGAAGGAAAAGAGAAAGAAGACGGCGGTCTCCCGGAAGAGGAGTGGGGTGGAGACTGCAGCAGGAAGCTGAGCTGGATAGCCAAGCTCGCCCTCACGTCCCCGCAGGACCGAAGTTGGAGCATAGAGCTGCCAGAATGAGATGAATGAGTGAATGAATGAATGAATGAATGAATGAATGAGTGAATTTAAAGGTGAAATGAAGTTGTGAATGAAGTGGGGAAGACCTCGGCTTCCGCCGTCTTCGGGTACGGCGTGAGGAAGAGGGACGGGCTGCGCTGTCAGGACTCACTCACCGGTCACCACCGCAGCCGAGACACAGAGCGCGTTCCAGAACCGTCGTGGGAACGGAGGGAAGGGAAGGACGGAGAGGCGGGGCTGGCCGGGAACTCACCCTGTGCTGGGCCACGCTGGCCTCGAGTTCCCGGACCTTGGCGTCTGGAGCTCGCGCTCCAGGGCCCTCCTCGTCCGCGCGGCTCTCGCGCTCCAGCTGCTGGAACTCCAGGTCCTCATAGGAGCGCTGGGCAGCATCCAGCTGCTCTCTGATCTGAGGGATGGGGACACAAGGGGCTGGACGCAGGACCCCCAGACCTGAGGAGGGAGCGAGCTGCTGGGCTTGACCCCGGCCCCGAGATCTGAAGGTGGAGACGGGTCGGGAGCACTGGGTCGGACGGAGGGAGGGAGGGTGCAGCCTGGACGCCGGGGCTGCGGGAAGGGGTCAGGACTCCGGGTCCCAGTGCGAGCCAGGCACCGACTCTAAGAGCGTCCAAAGAGCCCTCACCTCCTGCACCCCCTGCAAGAGCCGCTCTCTCTGGTCCTCCGGCTGCAGGTCAAGCTGTCCTTGGGCCTCGCTCAGCCGCTGGCGGAGACTCTGCACGTGATCCCGCTCCTGGCTCAGCTGCCTCTGCTCCTGCAGGAGCAAGTGTAGGGCTGAACTCAAGCAAGGGGGCAGACAGCCGGGACCCAGGCCCCGCTGGGGCGGCCGCCCCTCACCGCAGGACTCCGGGTCTGCATTCCCGCCCTGCTCCACAGGAACGGCAGGAACAGGGTGAGAAGAGCGGTGACACATGCCTATGCCCCTAGCACCCACCAGGAGAATGGCAGGTTCAAGGCTAGCCTAGGGCATAGCGACAGACCGGGGACGGAGGGAGGCACGGAGGGAGGCACGGAGGGAGGGAGGAGGGGATGGAGGGAGGGACGGACGGACGGACGGACGGAGGAGAACAAATGAGGGAAGGCATGAATGTAAAAACACCGTCTTGCTGTCTGAAAACGGAGAGCCAAGGATGGTCAGCCCCTGGCTCTGCCCCAGCAGAGGACAAAGCTGTCACAACTGGAACTGTGAGGGCACCGAGATGTGCACCCATGGGAACCTGTAGCATGGATTCCATTTCTTTCCCTGCTCTTTTCTTTTTCTTCTAAATTGATTGTTTGCTTTGGCCAAGTGAATTGTGTCTTACGTATGAAACTCCAGTGCTATACTGTGAGCCACGCCCCCAGCTCCTCACTGGGGGATTCTAGGCAGGGGCTCTACCAGTGATCCACATCCCTTGTCCAGGAGTTATGTCTGATGCAGTAATCACTCTACAGTGAGCAGAACCCAAGTAACATTTAAAGCTGATGAGATACAAGGAACTGCAAGGAAATTTTTCGGCACAAGCTTTCGTGGAAAAGTCCAAAAATTTTGGGAGCAGATCCTGTGTGTGGGAGGACGTGATTGTGGGAAGAGAAGGCTGAGCAGGGGGCTGACACAGAGAATGTTGTATGTTATCACTGGGGCTACTGTGTAGTCAGGGAAAGGTTGGAGCCAACCTCCGTGTTCAGAAGGGCTTCCAGCCGTGAAGGTGCAACCATGAGCCAAGCCTGAGGATGGAAAAGGAATAGAGATCCGAAGAAAGCAGCATGGTGACTCTTGGTCCCAGGGGTGTGGGCAGGGGCACGCAGTGCAGGGTTCGGGGTTTTGGTCTCGTGATAAAAGGGACAGCAAGATCTCAATGTGGAGAAGATGGTTTCTCAGGATGGCTCTGGATACCTAGGTAAGAGATATAGACCAAGGGAGGAGGCGGGGCCTGGACCCCCGGGTCTGAGGGAGAAGGACTGGGAGTCTGGACCCCGGGTCTGAGGGAGGAGGCTGGGCCTGGACCCTGGGTCTGAGGGAGGAGGACTGGGGGTCTGGACCCCTATGCCTGAGGAAGAAGAGTGTGCCTGGACCCCTATGTCTAAGCGGGGAGCTCTCCATGAACCCCTAAATCTGAGGAAGGAAAGGCTCAGAGCTCAGATTTCTGCACCTAAGAAAAGAAATGCCCAGAACCCAGAATCCTAAGCAAAGAAAACCAGACCTCGGGAGAGAAATCAGGGCTCCGGTGGACAGGGCTCTTGGACCGTAAGGCCAGGATGGAACTCCTGAACATCAGACAGTCACAGCTGACAATGTCAGCAAGGCTGCAGTGTTGACTTTTTCAGACTGATCCAAGCCATGACCTGGAGGGATGCTAACTAACATCTCTAGATAAAGGAGTCTTAAGACCGGGGTGACTCACTGAGGTCCACACACCCAGGGCTCGTGTCCCTCAGACTCAGCGGGAAGGCATAAAGCACACCCAAATCTCACCACGCCTCCACAGCCAGTGACCACGTGCTCACAGAGAGCAGAGGGGCACTGAGTGTCCCCACAGCACATGGTCAGCACATCCTGGCTACCTTGTCAACAGTCCTGGCGCAGGCCTGTAACCCCAGCCCTTGAGAGGTGAAGGTAAGGGAACCAGAGATTCAGAGTCGTCCGCAAACACAGAAGGAGTTCAGTACCAGACTGGGCTATAGACCCTGGGCGAGGTGGAGAGAGGAGACGGTGGAGAAGAGGAGACTGTGGAGGAGGGAGAGGAGGAGGAGACAGCATCAGCTGCGTTTGCTGTAAGGATGATGCTCGATTCAGCCGGGTCCAGCACTGCCTACCTGAAATCCCAGGACTTGGGAGAGAGAAGCAGAAAAATCAGGGGTTCAAGGTCATCCTCAGCTACATAGTGAGTTCAAGGCCACCCTAGACTATCTGAGATACCGTCTTAAAAACAAAAGAGAGAGAACACCAGGCGTTGGTGGCGCACGCCTTTAGTCCCAGCACTCGGGAGGCAGAGGCAGGTGGATCTCTGTGAGTTCGAGGCCAGGCTGGTCTACATAGCGAGTTCCAGGACAGACTCTAAAACAATACAGAGAAGCCCTGTCTCAAAAAACAAACAAACAAACAAACAAACAAACGACAACAACAAAAATGGTGCTGGAGAGATGACTCAGCAGTTGAGCATGGACTGCTCTTCCGGAGACCTAAGTCTGTTTCCAGCACCTGTACGACAGGTGCTGACAACCTGTAACTCCAGCTTCAGGGGATCCAACCTCCTCTTCTAGCTTCTGAGATCATCTGCCTGCATATCTCTCTCTCTCTCTCTCTCTCTCTCTCTCTCTCTCTCTCTCTCTCTCTCTCTCTCTCTCTCTCTCACTCACACACACACACACACACACACACACATGCTGAACCTAAAAAAAATAAGGAAAAGAAAAGGGCCTTGAGAGGCAGAAGCAGGTGGTTCCCCGTGAGTCTGAGGCTGTCTGGGGTTACATAGTGAGACACCAGCTCAAAAACACAGAACAAAACAAAGCAATCATTAAAAAAAATCACCCAGAGGAAATAAGGAAGGAAGGAAGGAAGGAAGGAAGGAAGAAAGACTTGAGATAACCAATTGCAACACATAACCCTGGTACACACCTGTACTGAGACAAGAGAATCATGGGTTCAAGACCAGTTAGGACTACCTAAAGAAACAAGTCCCAAATAACAATCACACACACACACACAGAAGTTCTCATTTTTTCAGTGGCACCTGCTAAGTGTCTGTGCAGGCAATATGATGACTCCTGAGATGAACATTTCAAACTTGGTACAGGCTGGGGATGTGGCTCAATAATAGATCACTTTGCCTCTACCTAGAATCCCCCAGTGAGGGGCTGGGGGCGTGGCTCAGTGGTAGAGCCCCTGCCTAGAATCCCCCAGTGAGGGGCTGGGGGCGTGGCTCAGAGGTAGAATTGGGGAGGATTAAAGAAGAACATTAATGAACCACTGATGCAGCTGGGAGCACATGACACCAGCCCTGCTGAGTATTCAATTTTTGAGGGTTCGAAAAGTTTCCTAGCCGGCTGTTAAAGCGTGAAATAAAGCGACAGCCAAGAAAGAGACCTCAGCCGTCAGGCATCCCAGTCAGGCCCCGGAAAAAGGAGAAAAAAACAAGGACCAACAGACAACCCCATTTCTCCGTCTGAAGTACGCGTAGAGCTGTGAGGTCGGATCACCGGATGGTCAGAGGTCCGATCACCCCACCCCAGCCAGGAGGAGAGGAAAACGGTGGCGCTGGTCAAACCAACCTGTTCCCGCAGCTCCTGGCTGCTCTGCGGCGCCTGCTGGCCCAGCAGCTCCTTCAGCTGCTCTTCCTCCCGCCGAGCGGCGACCCGTTCCCCGGCCAGCTCACCCCGGAGCAGGGCCACCTCCACCTCCATCTGCAAAGACGACAAGCCGAGTTCAGGTGCAGCAGCCCGGAGCAGAGACCGGAGGAGATCCGGAAGAGGCCGGGGGCGGGAACACCTGCTTATCAGAAGCGACCCTAGCGGGCTGCCCCAGCGGATCACTTTCCAAGGGCTCCCCCACCCTCACCTCGATCCTCAACTCCTTCTTCTGGCGCTGCAACTCCTTCACCCGTTGCTCCATGAGAGCCACGCGGGTCAGCGCCTCCAGCTGCTGCCCCCGCAGCCGCCGCGCCGCCCCTCGCATCCCTTCCCCGGGAGGGAGACCAGGGGGAGGGGTGGCTGCGATGTGCGCGGCAGGCGTAGCCTCGGGCTGAAATTAGAGAGGGTGTGCTGGGAAGGAGAGAGCCGTCCGTCCCCCTGCAGTCACCCAACAGGTCTGGTCCCCACCCCAGCTGTGCCTCTGGGGTCACGAGCTGCCTGACCCCCATTTCAGAATGGAAGAGCGTGAAGGGGGGGGGCTCCAGGTTCAGGACGGGTACCAAGCCAGGAAGTTATAAGAAGGCTAAACCGTGCGAGCTTGCTTTCCTCTCTCTCTCTCTCTCTCTCTCTCTCTCTCTCTCTCTCTCTCTCTCTCTCTCTCTCTCTCTCTCTCTCTCTCTCTCTCTCTCTTTTCTTTCTTCCTTTCTTTTCCTTTTTTTCTTTCTTTCTTCTCTCTCTTCTTTCTTCCTTTCTCTCTTTCTTTCTTCTCTCTCTTCTTCCTTCTCTCTCTTCTTTTCTTCCTTTCTTTTTTCTTCCTTTCTTTCTCTCTTTCTTCTCTCCTTTTCTTTCTCTCCTTCTTTCTTTCTTCTTTCTCTCTCTTCTTTTCTTTCTTCCTTTCTTTTTTCTTCCTCCCTCTGTCTTTCCCTTTCTCTCTCTCTCCCTCCGTCTGGAGTGCCCCTGGAGGTCAGAGGCATCTTGCCTTACATCACGTGGGTCCCGAGGATCGAACTCAGGTCATCAGGCTTGGCAGTAAGTGCCTTTGTACCCGATGAGCTCACCTGCCCCTGAGTCTCAACCTCTTGGCATCACTTTCTCAGAGCCCCTGGGTCTCTCCTGTCTCTCTCTCTCTGTCTCTGTCTCTCTCTGTCTCTGTCTCTCTGTCTCTCTCTGTCTCTCTGTCTCTCTCTCTGTCTCTCTCTCTCTCTCTCTCTCCCTTTCCCCTGTCTCCCTGGCTTCATCTCTTTCTTCCATCTCGGCATTTCTCCTTTCTGCTTCCCTGCGTCTTCCCTGCGTCTCCCCGGTGTCTCTCTCGGGGTCTCTGTCTCACCCCCTGTGTCTCTGTCTTACCCAGTTTCTTCCTGGGTCTCTGGCTCTTCCGACTCCGGGTGTTCCTGCCCGTGTCTGGGTGTCTTTCCCTACCTGTCTGTCTGGTGTCTTCCCCATCCGTCCTCCTGTGTCCGCCCCCTGCTCCGGTGTCCGTCCGTCCGTCCGTCCGTCCGTCTGCCCGCCCCACGGCGCCCCCCTCACCTCTTCGCGGCAGCTCTCGGTGCTGCTCCCTTCGCCCGCTTCTTCCTCTTCCTCGGCCTGCCGCTCCGCTCCCGGGCAGCTCGGAAGCTCCGGGGGGACCTCGCTCTCCTCGCGGGGCCCCTGAGGCTGCCTGGCCCCTGGAGGCTGGACGTCGGCGGTGCATCCCGGAACCTGCGGCGGCGACGAGGAGCCCTCCTCCTCCTCCTCCGGGGTGCCGGGTGTCCCCATGGCCGCTGCGGAGTCCGGCGGGGTGGGCGTGGCCGGGGCTCCGGGGCGTGGTCAGATACTCCGGGGGCGCGGTCCGGAGCTGGGTGAGCGTGCCCGGGGGCGGAGCCCAAGGCTCTGAGCACTGTGAGGGCGTGGCCCGGAGCTTCGCGGGGACCCGCTCGGGACCCGGGCTAGGCTGGACGGCTCCCGAGGCTGGCACACATACCTAGAGCTGGGAAGAGAATTTGGGGTCCGCGGTGGGGGGTTGGGGGGTCCCCGCTTGCCCCACGCTGGGGAGCCGCACGCCGAGCCTTCCCTCGGCTCCAGGCGTCATCCCTGAAGCCTCCCTGCCACCCTCCTCAGTTTCCCGGGTGGCCTCGAAGCGACCGCAGCTCCTCCACCCCCCGGGAGTAGCCGGGCCGTCCTCCCCGAAGCTCCGAGGTCGGGTCCCGACCCGCTGCAGGACCGCCGCGTCCAAGGCTCCTCACCCCAGCAGCCAGGACTGGAGGCTCGCAGCGACTCCCTCTCCCGATGCACCTGGGGCCCCGGCGCCTCCGTTCCTCCCCGGCTCTGCCGCGACACAGGTGCCTGGGAAGAGGGAGGAGAGAGAGAGAGAGAGGCCGCCCCGTCCCCCTCCCCAGCAGCCCGGAAGTGGAGGGGGCCAACAGGTCCGACTGCTCTCCAGGGAGGAGGGAGCCAGCCGCCTGCCCCGCCCGCCCGCAGCCCAGGCACCCGGCCATCCCGGCCCCTCCGGCCCCACCCAGCGAGAGCCCAGCGCCCAGGCGTCCCACTCCGCCTCCGGCGCCCCCGTTCCTGCGCCCCTGGAGGGCGGGGCGTCCTGGCCACCTGCACAGGGCAGCCTCCCTAAGGCCAAGACCCAGGAAACCCTCAAAGGAAGATGGGAATGGAGATGGGGGCCCTCCCCTCTAATGAGCCCTTTGGAAGGGCCCTGACCGGTTTAGGGAGCCGGACGAGGGGAGGGGGCGCCCCGAGCTGAGTCAGCGATCTGGCCAGAGGCAGACTGTGCCCCACACGCTCGCTGGCTCGCAAGCTCGCAGCTTACCACGGGGTGGAGAGCAGAGGTTAAAGGTTACGGCCAGACCCTTTCCTCTCTGGACAGAAACAGGAAAATAACTGGCATGCAAAAGCTGATTGTCACATGTCAGGAGCTTTGCAAAATATTTGACAACAGCCCACAGGAAAAGAGAGAGAGAGAGAGAGAGAGAGAGAGAGAGAGAGAGAGAGAGAGAGAGAGAGAGAGAGAGAGAGAGAGAGAGAGAGAGAGAGAGAGAGAGAGAGAGAGAGAGAGAGAGAGAGAGAGAGAGAGAGAGAGAGAGAGAGAGAGAGAGAGAGAGAGAGAGAGAGAGAGAGAGAGAGAGAGAGAGAGAGAGAGAGAGAGAGAGAGAGAGAGAGAGAGAGAGAGAGAGAGAGAGAGAGAGAGAGAGAGAGAGAGAGAGAGAGAGAGAGAGAGAGAGAGAGAGAGAGAGAGAGAGAGAGAGAGAGAGAGAGAGAGAGAGAGAGAGAGAGAGAGAGAGAGAGAGAGAGAGAGAGAGAGAGAGAGAGAGAGAGAGAGAGAGAGAGAGAGAGAGAGAGAGAGAGAGAGAGAGAGAGAGAGAGAGAGAGAGAGAGAGAGAGAGAGAGAGAGAGAGAGAGAGAGAGAGAGAGAGAGAGAGAGAGAGAGAGAGAGAGAGAGAGAGAGAGAGAGAGAGAGAGAGAGAGAGAGAGAGAGAGAGAGAGAGAGAGAGAGAGAGAGAGAGAGAGAGAGAGAGAGAGAGAGAGAGAGAGAGAGAGAGAGAGAGAGAGAGAGAGAGAGAGAGAGAGAGAGAGAGAGTCAGAGTCGTGGGAAACAGAAACAGAGGCTGAGGGAAATGAATGCACCCAGGGTCTACAACCATTCTAAATGACTTCCAAATTTTATTTTTATTTGTTATCATTGTGCAGGCGACACCACACCAAGACCACCGTGTGTGCGTGGAGATCATAGGGCATCCTTGGGAAGCAGTTCCCTTCCACCATGGGATTCAGGCACTGAACTCAGGTCATCAGGCTCCCAAGAGCCCACCACGCTCTGAGCCGCCTCGATGGCTGAGTATGTTACCACTCACTTTTGCCTCTCAAAAGCCCAGGTTCATAGCTACTAGGCACACCGTCACTCCAAGCCAGGAAGCAGCTAAGAGATCATTCCAGATGATAGGGACAATAACAGTGTCTGGAGCGGGGAGTTGGCCGTGTGGGCAGAGTGCCAAGCTGTCACACTTGGTCACTGGAACATCCCGTTGTTATTATTTCCATTTTACAGACCAGGAAGCTGAGGGGTGGGGAGGGCCTAACTTGGGCCCCGGGGAGAAGCTCACACAAAATCATGCGCTGTGATCCAAGGCCTGAGAATACGTCCCCACGTCAGTGTGTACACGCTCTGGTCTTCCAGGGCTGCCTAGACCGCCAACCCGAACCCCAGCGCCTTGACAGCTGCTGTCTCCTCATCCTCTTTTTTTTTTTTTTTTTTTTTTTTGGTTTATTTGAGACAGGGTTTCTCTGTATTGTTTTGGAGGCTGTCCTGGAACTCGCTCTGTAGACCAGCCTGGCCTCGAACTTACAGAGATCCGCCTGCCTCTGCCTCCTGAGTGCTGGGATTAAAGGCGTGCATCACCACCGCCCGGCCTCATTCTCTTTTAAGTGTGTGGTTGGTCTAGCCTACACTATATGCCTGTGTGCCATGTGCGTGTCTAGTGCCCAAAGAGGCCAGAGCCCTGAAGCTGGGTTACAGGTGGCTGTGAGCAGCCTTGGGGATGCTGGATGGAATCCAGGTCCTCTGCAAGAGCATCCAGCGCTCTTAACCACTGAGCCGTCTCTCCAGACCCCCTCCTCTTCTTTTCCTTTCCTTCTTTTTGCTTTGTTTTGAGATAGGGTCTTACACAGCTCAGACTGGTCTCCAACTCACTATGTGGTTGAGGATGACCTTGAACTTCTGACCCTCCTGCCTCGGGCTCCCAAGTGCGCTGGGGGTGGAAGACGGGACTTCCTATGTGCCGGGCAAGCGTGTCCAGTCCACCCTGGCTTTCTAAGGGACCAGAGCTGGGTCTGGAAACGTCGTCACTCCTTCCCCAAGAAAACCAGCAGAACCCAGACTCGTGCCAAAAACAGAGTTTATTTAAGAAGCTCAAGTGGCTGGTGAGAGCAGGGGTGCCAGAGGAGGAGAGAGGCTCTGGGGTGCCGCCCTCCCCTCGCCCCACCTAGTGCAACGGATTCGAGCGGCTGGCTGGGACGAGTCAGGAAGGTGGCGTCTGGACCCCGCAGCGCATGTTTGCCGGAACGGCGAAGTCTACAGAGAAACCGCAAATGATTCCGAGGTCGCCGGGGTGACTCAGTGTCCTGGACACCCAGGAAACGCTCAGGGCCCGTTCGTGGGGACTCAGGTCTAGCCCTGAGTCCTCCTCCTCCTCCTCCTCCCCCTCCTCCTTCCCCTCGTCCTCCTCCTCCTCTTCCCCCTCCCGTCCTCCTCCTCCTCCTCCTCCGGCCCCAGCCCGCCGCCGCCTCCTCCTCCTCCTCCTGCTCCTCCTCCTCCTCCTGCTCCTGCTCCTCCTCCCCCTCGTCCTCCTCCTCCTCTTCCCCCTCCCGTCCTCCTCCTCCTCCTCCGGCCCCAGCCTGCCGCCGCCTCCTCCTCCTCCTGCTCCTCCTCCTCCTGCTCCTCCTCCTCCTGCTCCTCCTCCTCCTCCTGCTCCTCCTCCTCCTCCTGCTCCTCCTCCTCCCCCTCCTCCTCCCCCTCGTCCTCCTCTTCCCCCTCCCCTCCTCCTCCTGCTCCTGCTCCTGCTCCTCCTCCTCCTCCTCCTCCTCCTCCTCCTCCTCCTCCTCCTCCTCCTCCTCCTCCTCGGGCCCCAGCCCGCCTCCCCCAGACCCAGGAGTTCAGGACCCTCCTCCCTCCGATCCCGGGGTTCGCATCCTCAGACCCTGGGTACTCTCACCTATCTGCTGCGGCTTGGGCAAGTTCAGGTTGTCCATGACCTTGATGAACTCCTCACAGCTGAGGGTGAGCCGTGGGTTCAGAGTCCGCTCTTCCTCCACGGTAGAAACCGTGAGCCCTGTTGGCAAAGGGGAGGAGAGGGAAAGTAACCTGGGCGCCCGGACGGCTCAGAACTACATTTCCCAGGAGGCCTTGGGGTTGCCTCCCTAGCCTGGGACGAACCGGCATGGTCGTGAAACGCGACCCCGCCTCTCTTAGGGCACTATGGGAATTGTAGTTTCCACAGCTCCCGAGCCCTACGAGGACGTCCCAGGAAAACCTGTGCCCTGCAGACGTCTCTTTAATTTACATCCGCACAGCACGCCCGGGCGCGTCATCTTTTTCAGCCACAGGAATTTCTGGGTTCTGTAGCCTCCGTGAGGACGGCAGGCGGAGGGTATCCCTGCCTTAAGTGACAGCGGTCGGTCATGGCCTCCGGCAAGCCCTCACCGTGGTAATCGTGCGCCGGATAGATGAGACAGTTGCCAGGAAGCGTGAAGATCTTTTCGTGCACAGAATGGTACAAAGTCCTAGCACACCCTGGGGAAGGAAAACTCAGGTCAGAGACTCACAGGACCGGGAAGACGGAGGCACCGTGGCCAAACCCTGTCCCTCATCTCCTGCCAAGACGGAAGGGCGTGCGTGGAGAACCGAGGGACGGTGAGAAATCCGTCTGGCTGAGAGGCCAGGGGTTGTGACGCCAGGGGAGGCGATGGGGAAGGGCTCAGGGCCAGGAAGGAGGGCCCGAGGAAATGCTCAAGACAGGAGGGCGAGGGGACGCGGATTTGGACAAGTTCTGAGTCCTGGGGACAGAGGAATGCTTAGGGGACGAGAGGACCGAGTTCAGATTCGCTCCGCCCAACGACGCAAGGGTGCAAGGGTGTGGCTATGCTCCTGTAACTCCGCACTTGAGGAAGGGGGGGAGGGGGGCAAGAAGACCCCGGGGGCGTCCCGGCTGCCAGCCCGGGTCCAGCAAGGAGACAAGGTGAAGCGTATAGAGCAGGGCACCTGACATCCCCCTGGCCTGTGAGCATACCCCCAGCCACACACATGCGCACATACACCGCGCACATACACCGCGCACAGGCACGCCAACAATTTCTGAGTGAGCCCTCAGTTCAGTAAATAGATAAAAGGGAGAATAGAGGTCACCTGTCCAGCTAACCGATCCCTAAAGCTAAACCCCAAAAGTCACACTGACCCCTAAGGATTAAACAGTGGACAGTAACAACCTTGGTGCATATTTGTGTGTGTGTGTATGTGTGTATGTGTGTGTGTGTGTGTGCATATGTTCTGTGTTACCCAAAATGACCTTACACTCTTTTTTCTAAAATTTATATACATTAGTTAGTGTTTTGCCAGCTGGGCGTTGGTGGCGCACGCCTTTAATCCCAGCACTCGGGAGGCAGAGGCAGGAGGATCTCTGTGAGTTCCAGGCCAGCCTGGTCTACAGAGTGAGTTCCAGGACAGGCTCCAAAACAATACAGAGAAACGCTGTCTCGAAAACAAAACAAACAAAAACAAAATATTAGTGTTTTGCCATGGTTTTCAGGCCCCCTGGAACTAGAGTTACAGACAGGTGTTAGCTGCCACGTGGGTTCTGGGAATTGAACCTGGGTCCTCTGGAAGAGCAGGCAGTGCTCTTCACCGCTGAGCCATCTCTCCAGCCCTCACTTTATACTCTTGATCCTCTTGCCTCCGCCTCCTGAGTGCCGGGATTAGAAGTATGGTTCAGCTGGGCCGGGCGTTGGTGGCGCATGCCTTTAATCCCAGCACTCGGGAGGCAGAGGCAGGCAGATCTCTGTGAGTTCAAGGCCAGCCTGGTCTATAAGATCGAGTTCCAGGACAGCCTCCAAAGCCACAGAGAAACCCTGTCTCGAAAAAACAAAAAAACAAAACAAAACAACAACAAAAAAAAGAAGTACGGTTCAGCTGTTTCCAGGTGATGAAGTATGAGGGATGAAACCCCAGCCTCAGGCATCTACCCACTGAGCTACACGGCCCCAACTGCACAGGGTCCCTCTACAGAGCCCTGGCGGTCCCGGAACTCACTACGTGGACCAGCTGGCCCTCGAACATGGGGAAGACCCTATTCTTCACATGCTCACCCACACTGAGCTCTCGGGCTGGGGAAAGGAACATGCTCACCTTGCTGGAAGTCTGTCCGTCCACACCCTCGGATCAGCAGGGCATCTCCAGTAAAGGCCATGCTCTGGTCATTCAGGACGAAGGTGACACAGCCTGGGGTGTGGCCGGGGCTGGCCCGAGTCTCCAAGGCCTGGCAGGGATGCAGAGCACAGAGAGACAGTTGCCACCAAGCTTCAACAGTCCCCGCCACCCCAAAGCCCCATCCAGCCAAGGGAAACAACCGGACAAGGACTAGAGCGACCGTTTGTCTTAAAGTTAATCCGAAGGCTGGACGTGGTGGCAGACACATCAAATGAGACACTTGGGGGGCTGAGGCAGGAGGAACCCAGGTTCAAAGCCAACCGGAGCCATCACAAGACCCCGTCTTGGGAGAGGGGTCAATCTGAATCAGTCCCTCCTCCCTCCCTCCCTCCCTTCCATCCTTGACAGAATCCAGAGTGGACTCAAGCTTGCTATGAAGTCAACAGTGACCTTATCTCCCAGTCTCCCTGCCTTCGCCTCAGAGCTCTGGGGCTATGGGTTTGCTCCCAGACTTGGTTTACACAGTGCTGGGGGTGGCACCCAGGGCTTTGTGCATAAGTGCCTTGGCAGCTGAGCCGGCCCCAGCCCCAGCCCAGACTGAAGTTCTGGAGAGCAAAAGAACCCGTAGCAGATGGGTTCCCAAGACAGCCAGATAGCGGAGACATGCATCCGTAACAGACTTATACAACAGGGCTCGTGCACTCACTACAAAGAGAGCTTGCATCTCAATAAGGAAATAGAAAAATAAGCACCAGGCCGGGGGATAGCTAGCTCAGCAGGCTGCGCGCGCACACACAGGCTGTGGATTGGGCCGACGAGAAGGCTCTGTGAGGAAAGGCGCTTGCTGCCAAGCCTGACCACCCGAGTTCTGGCTCCCTCAAAGTATCCTCTGACCTCTCCGTGTACGCCACGGTGTGTGCACACATGTGTAAAGAAATGTAATAAAAAAGTAAAGTAAGGCCCGCCGGGCGTTGGTGGCGCACACCTTTAATCCCAGCACTTGGGAGGCAGAGGCAGGCGGATCTCTGTGAGTTCGAGGCCAGCCTGGTCTACAGATCGAGTTCCAGGACAGCCTCCAAAGCCACAGAGAAACCCTGTCTCGAAAAAAAAAAAAAAAAAAAAAAGAAAAGTAAGTGCTGTTGTTGGAGAGACACTTAATGGTATTTCCACGACGCTTAACGGCACAAAAAAAGTTCAGCACCCGGTAGGTGCAGAAGTCAGGTTATAAAGCAGCGTCTACAGTGAGACCCTTGTGCAAGGCTGAGTTGCATTTGCCTACAATCCCAGGACGAGAGAAACTGAGGCACAACGATAACGAGCTTGAAACTAGTCTAAGCTACAAAGCTCCAGGTTCCCTGAGCTCAGAGAGAGACCCCACCTCAAAGAAAAAAAGTGGTGCTCTCTCGGTAAAATAAACAGTTACAAACCAAATGTGTACTTTCTTCTGCTGTTTTCGCTGGTAGTGTTTTGAGACAAGATCGCAGGTGGCCCAGGCTGGCCTTGATCTTCCTGCCTCGGCCTCCCAAGTGTTGGAATTACAGGGACCTGCCACAGTCTTGGTGGGAAGGGACACTTAGGTGGGCTAATGGTTTCCAAGGCTCTCAGCCTGGCACGGTTGCGGTGGCTGAGCATGTAGCAGAGACTCCTAGAACCACGATGGGCCCCTGGGCCCTGACTTTTTTCTCTTCCTGGCTCCCCGGCAGCACACTCCCCGTCGTGATGCCCTGCCCCCGCATGGAGCCCCAGAAAGCTCCTCCTAGACTTCCTAGACGTGAGTTTGTTCCCTGGGACCCACCAGGCAGAAGGAAAACTAACTCCCGCAAGTTGTCCACAGACCTTCACACAGGAACCGTAGAGTATGCAAGCCACCCCCCCACCACCCCCCGCCACATCTAGAAACCAGGTGGGCTGCAAGGCTGCTGGTATCCGCTAACAATACCCTCATGAGTGACTGTGTCAGAATTCTGCTAGCCTCATAAAAGCCATTTGGAGGTTTCTCCTCTTTCTCCGGGCCTTGAAAGGCTTTGACCAGTTCTGGCACGATTGTGTTCTGTGAGACTGGAGTGACTCTCTCTCATGTGACTTGTGAAGTTTCTTCTGTTCACTTATTTTTCACAAATATTTGTGTGAGGGGGTGAAGGGTACAGAGGATTGAGTGTGCTAGGCAGAGGCTCTACCTCCGGGCCACGCCCCCAGCCCCTCACTGGGGGATTCTAGGCAGGGGCTTTAACACTGAGCCACGCCCCCAGCCCCTCACTGGGGGATTCTAGGCAGGGGCTCTACCACTGAGCCATGCCCCCAGCCCCTCACTTGGGGATGCTGAGCAGGAGCTGTACCACTGAGCTACAATGTCAGTTTAATTTTCTTTTTACAGGATCTCATGAAGCCAGGTAGTCTCAAAATTACTCAGCAGGCCAGGCATGCCTTAAATTTGCCAATCTTCTGCCTCAGTATGCAGAACAGCTGGGATTACAGGCCTCTCAAGTCTTCTGAGATGCTCCCATGGCCATCATGATAATAGGGTGACAAACCTCACTCCCCAAGGTTCCTCTGTACTCCTGTCTATTACACCCTTCTTCCGCCCTGTCCCCAGCAGAGCCCTGGCCTGCTTCCTGTTACCGTAGTAGATGACTTTGTAACTCATCTGTTCTAGAATTCTATGTAAATAGATCAGAATAGTTATAAAGAAAACAACATTTTTTGGAAGCCAATAACCTAGTTCCTAACCTCAAAATCTGTTAGCTCTCTGGCCTATCTGCTTATTTGCAAAATATAGATCGAAATTGTCCCCCAGCCCCTTGGAATGCTATAAAGATTAAACTGCTTCGTGGATATAAAGTGCCTAGAAAAATCCTCAGCACACAAGTGGTACTTTACAGAATAGCAAGAGTTAGGGAGTGGAGAGTCGGCTCAGCCCTTAAGAGTGAGTACTGTCTTCCCAGAGGGCCCCACCCAGCTCCCAACACCCGCCATGTGGCTGACAAGGGTCTGGAACTCCAGGCAGACACGTGACACACATGAGGACATACAGGCAAAACACTCAAACATGACTTTTGTTGTTGTTATTTTACTTCTTGAGACAGGGTTTCCCTGTGTAGCCCTGGCTGTCCTGGAACTCCCTCTGCAGACCTCGAACTCACAGAGATCCGCCTGCCTCTGCCTCCTGAGTGCTGGGACTAAAGGGATACACCAATACCATCCAATATATTTAAATGATATGTAAGACAATGGGCATAGTGGGGTAACCCTGTCATCTCAGCACTCCAAAGCAGGACCACAAGCTCAAGGCTCGCGTGTGCTGCTAAGTCAGTTCGAGGCTAGCCTGAGAAACTTAGTGAGATTCTGTCTCAAAATAAAGAGTAGAGGGTAGAGACAGCTCGGCGGTTAAGAACACTGGGTTCCAGAGCCCACATGGTGGCTTTCAGTCATACACACATACATAATTTCAGCTTCGGGGGACTCGGCACCCTTTTCTGACGTCCTGAAGCACCAGGCGCTCATGTGGAGTTCATACACACGGAGGCAAAACACTCAGATACATTAAAAAAGACCCATGTCTTAATCCCAGAAGACTCATTGTTTGTGAAGCTTGCTGACTGATGAATCGCCTCAGCTGCAGAATATTCCGGAAGTGTCCTGCCGGCCAACAACAATCAGCCAGAGGCCATCCTGACCCATCCATCCATCAGCAATGCCTTTCTTTCCAGGATGCATGAAACACGGGACAGAATCTCCATCCTCTGCCTCTCCCAGGCTCCCGGGTGGCCTCGCAGTTCACGCAGCCTGCACCGCCCCCTAGCGGCCAGCAAGCTCCAGACGGCAGGTCGTCTGGCTCCTTCGGCCTTCTCAAATCCTAAGTGGTGTTGGCGCCCTCTGCTGTTCGTAAGCCCTCAAATCTCATTTTTTTCACCGTCGCCAAATGGCTCGCCTTTTCTTTAATTTGTGAAAGAAGAGGTTTCTGAGATGGTTCAGCATACACACGATGCACAAACGTACGTCCAGGCAAAACACTCATACATAATTTTTGTTGTTGTTCTTTTACTTTTCAAGGGAAGGTTTCTCTGTGCAGCCCTGCATAGGACCAAACTTCGGTTTCCAGCAACCACATGAAGGCTTACACATGTCCTTAACTCCAGTTCCAGAGGATCCCGTGCCCTCTCCTGGCCTCCATGCGCCAGGCATGCACGCCCGTGTACTAACATACATGCAGGCGGAACACACAGAAACATAAAATAAAATAATAAATAAGAGAGAGAGAGAGAGAGAGAGAGAGGGAGAGGGAGAGAGAGGGAGAGAGAGAGGGAGAGAGAGAGAGAGGGCTGGCAAGATGACTTAGCAAGTAAAGGTGCTTGCTGCCAAGACCTACAACCCACGTGTAATCCCTGGTATCTACATGGTAAAATGAAAACCTAGTCCTAAGAGGTGTCTGTCCTCTGACATGAACCCTGTGCATCCACACATTAAATAAATCATGTAATTTTTAATTAAAAGAGCTAATGATAACAATGAAAAGAGGATTATGGATGTAGCTCAGAGGTATGATGCTTGCCTAGAATTCCCCAGTGAGGGGTTAGGGGTGTGGTTCAGTGGTAGAGCCCCTGACTAGAATTCCCCAGTGAGGGGCTGGAGTGTGGCTCAGTGGTAGAGCCCCTGCCTAGAATCCCCCAGTGAGGGGCTGAGGGTGTGGCTCAGTGGTAGAGCCTCTGCCTAGAATCCCCCAGTGAGGGGCTGGGGTGTGGTCGGTGGTAGAAAGCCTACCTAGCATGTTCAGGGTCCTGGATTCCATCCCCAGCACTGTGGGAGAAACACAGCACCTGGCAATTTTACTAAGGTTAAAGGTATGTCCTGGCTGTGACTCAGCAAGGCAATTCCTTGTAACTGAGGACAAATTCTGCCAAGGGACTTGTGCAAACAAGCACCACCGCCCACCACAGTAGGAAAATCCAGGGAAGCATGAATAAGCAAACTGTGGGATCCACATCAGGGTTGGCAAACTGGGGGCAGGGGAGACTGAATTTGTGGGAACGCCCCTTTTTACTCGCCCTAGATTTTTCCCTTGGCTAGAACAGAGCAAGCGTATGCACACCTGGGGCCCCGGCGAGACGGAGGGGAAGGCGGGAGGATTACATCAGGAGTTCAAGGTCCACCTCAGCAATATAACAAACAACAAGCCCAAAGCCAGGCTGCGCTACGTGAGACCCTGTTAGGAGAAGCGGTGAGGGGTGGGTACCGCAGCACAGGCGTAGGAGGCGGAGACAAGAAGATCTCTGTGCTTCCCAAGCCCACCCGGGGCCATGCCAGAGGGCGGGGCATTCGAAAGCTCGAATTTTAGGGGCCCTAAGTGAGGGTCTTGAGCATACAGGAGGAGAGCCCAGGCACCACACCACATTCCCTGTGGTCTGCAAAGATGAGATTCACCATCCAATCACTCACAGAGAGAGGTGGCCAGCCCTGACGATATAACCATGAGAAATAAAGAACTGAAACTCAGAAGTCAGAGGCAGGGGGATGAATCTCCTGTAAGTTTGCAGCTAGCCTAGACTAAGTGGTGCGTTCCAGGCTAACCAGAGCTACATAGTGAGACCTTGTCTCAAACCAACGGCAAAACTTACAACTGCAGACTTCAAGAGGGAGAAAGACAGAGTCCGGTGCACACACTCCCTGTACTTCTTATCTTTGCTTTGTTTGGAGAAAGGGATTCATTCTGTAGCCCAGGCTAGCCTGGTACTTGCCAGTAGCCCAGGCTGGTCACAAGATCAAGACTTTTCTGCATCCCTGAGCTAGGATTAGAGTGTTGCATCACCGGGCCTGGAAATCTCCCAAAGTTGAATGCCAAGCTTGGGCCACTACTTCCAGCTATAATTGAACTTTTTTCCCTGGTTTTCCAAGACAAGGTTTCTCTATATAACAGTCTTGGCTGTCCTGGAACTCGCTCTGTAGACCAGGTTGGCCTCGAACTCACAGAGATCCACCTGCCTCTGTCTCCCAATTAAAGGCATGCACCAACGTCCAGCTATAATTAATTTTGTGTTTTGTTTTGTTTTTTGTTTTTTCGAGACAGGGTTTCTCCGTATTGTTTTAGAGGCTATCCTGGAACTTGCTCTGTAGGCCAGGCTGGCTTCGAACTCACAGAGATCCACCTGCCTCTGCCTCTCCTGTGTTGGGATTAAAGGTGTGTGCCACCAATGCCCAGCTATAATTAACTTTTAAAGGGGTCAGAAAACACAAGAGTCAGGAAAAACAGACCCACAAGATTTGTAAAGAATTTACAGAAAGCAAGACCCACACTAACAAGGACAGGCACTAACAGGCATGACACTGCTGTGGAGTACCAGGGACCTTCACACTGCAACTGTATCCCACAAAAATCCATATAAGAACATTCACGCCAGAGAGTCTGGGAAAAAGAACCTTCATCCAGTGACTGATGGAAGCAGAGGCAGACTCCCACAGCTAAACACTGAACTGAACTCCTGGAAACCAGTGACAGAGAGAGAGGAGTGATGAGCAAAGGGGTCAAGACTGGGCTGGTTTAACCCACAGAAACAGCTGACCTGAACAAGGGGGAGCTCTTGGACCCCAGACTGATGGCTGGGAGGCCAGCATGGGACTGACCCAGACTCCCTGAATGTGGTATCACTGAGGAGGCCTTGGCAATCTCTGGGACCTTGGGTAGTATTTATCCCTGGCATGCAAATGGACTTTGGCTGCTCCTCCCACAATGAGGGATGCTCTCTCAGCCTGGACTCTTGGGGGAGGGTCTAGGCCCTGCCCTGGATGAAATGATAGACTCAGGAGATCCTCCATGGAGAGCCTCACCCTCCCTGGGGATCGGAGTGGGAGACTGGGAGGGGGCTGGGGGACCTGGTGGGGGATGTGGGGGAGGAGGGGAGGGAGAGGGAGCTGGGAAAGACATGTGAAGCAAGCTTGTTTCTAATTTAAATTTAAAAAAAAAAACATTCACAACAGCACTTCCCACAATGGTCCCAAAGTGGAGTGCCCATCACCTGATCAGTGAATAAGTAAAATCCCTTAGGTCCATCATACACCAGACTGTTGCTCAAAAATAAAGAGGAGTGAAGAGCCAGTGGGGACCTGAATGTGGATGAACCCTTACAACACCCTGAAAAAAAGAAGCCAGCCTGAAAGACTGTGCTCCTGTCTCTATGCAATGGGCAGACAAGAGAATCCAGACAGGCAATAAAAGAAAATAAAAGTAACGTGATGGCCAAGCATAGTGGCATATATACCTGCAGGGCAGCTACTGCTCAAGGCCAGCCTCGTGTATAGAGTGAGGTCAAAGTCAACTTGGGAAAGTTACTAAGATCTCTCAAAATAAAAAGGGCCGGGGGTTGGGTGGCCCAGTGGCAGAGCCACTGCATAGAATCCCCTAGTGAGGAGCTGAGGGTGTGACTTGAAGGTAGAGCCCTTGTTGAGAATCCCCCAGTGAGGGGCTGGGAGTGTGGCTCAGTAGCAGAGTCCCTGCCTAGAATCCCCCAGTGAGGGGCTGGGGGTGTGGCTCAGTGGTAGAGTCCCTGCCTAGAATCCCCCAGTGAGGGGCTGGGGTGTAGGACAAGAGTAGAGTGGTTCCCTAGCATGAATCAGACCCTAGGTTTTATTCCCAGTACTGGGGGGAAAGTGTTGCCTAAAGTCTGGGTGTTGTAGTCCAGGAAACCCTGACAACTGAAGAGTTGAGGCAGGAGAATGCCAAGTTCAAGGTCAGCCTGGGCTGCCTAGCAACAGATTTTTTTTAAAAAAGGAAAGAAAGATTTACCCAAGGCTGGGGAGGAGAGGAGGGTCAGGGTTATGGTGCTGCCTCACCAGGAGTCATGAAAACATCCTGAGATGACGTGCAGTGGTGAACACACCCTTCCCCAAATGCACCTCGAGAGTCACTGACTTACAGCCTTCCCAGGGGTGAGTCATATGGTATTTGGATTATATCAATAAAATGCAGTAAAGGAAAGGTAAACAGGGCCCAGACAGCTATACAGCTAAGCCTTTCCATACGTGCTCACTGAAGGTATCTTCAGTGAAGGTGTTGCTCTGTACTGAGAAAGGTCTTTCTTCATTTATTGTTTTCATTTGAGAGAGGGTCTCCAATAGACCATCTGTGACTCCTCCTGTCTCTGTCTCCGTCTGAATGTTGGGATTAAAAGTGTGCAACCATGCCAGCTTTTTTGTTTGTTTGTTGGTACAGGGTTACATGTAGTCCTGATTGTCCTCAAACTTGGCTCGTAGCTGAGGGTGACCTTGAATTCCTGATTGTCCCCTCTCCACCTCCCAAGCACTAAGACTGCCATCATCCCCATTTTAAGACTCCTCGTTGTTACTTTTCAGGATTTTATTTTGTTCCCACTGTGTAGCCCCGGCTGTCCTGGAATTCTCTGCGGAGACCAGGCTGGCCTGGAATTCAGAGATCCACCTGCCTCAGCCTCTGCCTCTGCCTCCCAAGTGCTGGGGTTAAAGGCATGTTCCGCTATGACCGGCTTGTTTTTAAGATATTTAAACAGTCATTCATTTATCTGAGTGTGTATCTGTGCAAGTGTATGTGTGTGCCAACAGAGGCCGGGCAAGGATGCCAGGTCCTCCTAGAGTTGACAGTAGAGTCAATTGTGACTGGTCTGATGTGGGAGCCGGGAACGCAGCTGGGGTTATCTGGAAGAGCAGTAAGCGCTGTTAACTACGAAGCCATCATCTATCTACCCGTAAGGGCTCCTGTTGACACCGAGCTGGTCCTCCCCGCCTCCCACCATTCTCTCCAACGCAGAGATACTTGTTACTCTCCAATTATTAGGGCTGACACAAGCGAACAATGTAACCTTCGTCTGTTTCCAAATGCAGGGTGAAATCCGAGTATCTCCCGGCAGCTACACCCTCTCCACACAACATTTCCGCTAACCGCCTCCAAATAAACGCTCCCCATTCCACAAGACCATCAACCCAGAGGCCAGGACCTCACGCTATCACCAGACATTCTGTCCCCGAGGTCAGCCAAACTACATCTTTGGCAATTCAAATCACCTGTTTCCTCCGTCTGGGTACACCCCCCCCCAACCAGTGCACTGGGCTCTGGGTTGCAAAGCTGGCTGGAAACTACTGATTAAGCTTGTGACAGAGAGACAGAGACAGAGACAGAGAGACAGAGACAGAGACAGACAAGGAAGAACCTTCAGCTCTCTCCCGGGTGAGGCAATAGGGTTGTGGCTAGGTTGAGGCTTCAAGGGCAACATTTAAGGAGGAACCCACTTAATAAACAGTTGATCCCAAATCTACACCGCCTTATAGGTGAGCGCCACCTTAAGTGGTAGACCCACCCCAGACCTATTGCTGGACAAGAGGATGCTACTTCCTCAATATCAAACCCCAATCAGCTTTTATGGAAATGGCCAGGCCAAAGAACCTGCCCCAAGGCCTAGGAAACTTGCCTCGCTGTTGACTTAGGGGGACTGGCCAGGGGCGCGCCTGGCTGCCTCCTGCCCCAGTGCCCCACCTGGGTTTATGGCACTTCCCCCAGGGAACAGAGCGGGTAGTCAGAGCATAGGCATCCACTGACCCTGCTTCCCGGGGGCGCAGCCCATCTCCCACGCCCCTTCCCCGCGCACCCTCTCCAAAGTCTAAGGGGAGCTAAGACGCAACATCCAACTCACAAAGCGTCCAAAGCGGATGGCGTCACCTTCCTCGATATGCACATCAGCCTGGGCCCCGCTGAGGCGGGAGATGACGGATTGGCAGCCGGGGAGTACGGAGCGGAGAAGCCCTGAGCCGGTGATGTGGTCCGCATGGCAGTGGGTGTTCACTGGAGAGAGGGGAGCAGAGAAAACCGGATGTGGCCAGCCCACAGCACCCAAGTCCTCAGACCTAAGGAGGCAGATCCGAGTCGACCCTAGTCGCCCTCCCTTAGACCCAGAATCCGGGCCCCAGAATCAGACACCGTGGTCCACACCTCAACCCTGCTTCACACCCTGAGGCCCGGACCCCAGCCTCCTCCCTCAGACCCGGGGTGCAGGCCCAGCCTCCTCCCTCAGACCCGGGGTCCAGGCCCAGCCTCCTCCCCCAGACCCGGGGTCCAGGCCCAGCCTCCTCCCTCAGACCCAGGCTCCAGGCCCAGCCTCCTCCCTCAGATCCCGGGGTCCAGGCCCAGCCTCCTCCCTCAGACCCGGGGTCCAGGCCCAGCCTCCTCCCCCAGACCCGGGGTCCAGGCCCAGCCTCCTCCCCCAGACCCGGGGTGCAGGCCCAGCCTCCTCCCTCAGACCCGGGGTCCAGGCCCAGCCTCCTCCCCCAGACCCGGGGTCCAGGCCCAGCCTCCTCCCTCGGACCCAGGCTCCAGGCCCAGCCTCCTCCCTCGGACCCGGGGTCCGGACCCCAGCCTCCTCCCGGGCTTTCCCAGCACACTTTCTCCGCGGCCCCGCCTCTCTCCCGCCCAAGTTTGGTCCGCAGACTAACCAGCGTAGAGCAGCTTCAGCCCCAACTCTTTAACCAGATGAGCATCCCGATGCGCGGTCTCCAGGACAGGGTCGATCAGAAGAGCCTCTCGAGACTCCGGGTCACCCAGCAGGTAGGTGTAGGTGCAGCTCTTGGGCTCAAACATCTGGGAGGGGTGGGGTACCGGAGACCGTTCCTGGACCTGACTCCCAAGCCCGGGGACCCAAGGATCCACGTCTCCCGCCTATCATCTTCCTAGGATGCAGCAATGCCACCCCGCTTTGCCCAGGGGTCAGGAGGTAAAGTGGGTCCCCCAGCTCCCTCCACTGGATCCAAGGAATTCCGTCTTCCAACGCGTCCCTAACCAAGGACCCCGCCCTCCTCTGGTAACAGACCCCAGACCCCGGCCCCAAGCCCAGGGTCCCCCTGACCAGCCCCCTTTAGCGAATCGGAAGCCCCCCTTCTTGCAGCAGCAGCTAGGCGTGGAGGACCCCCATCTCTCCTCCAGGACAGAGGAGTCCCACCCCAGCCGCTGCCCTGGACCCGGGGTCCGCTCGGCCACCCGCCTCGCCGCACCTGCCGCAGGAGGACCGGGGCCGCAGATGAGCTCTGCTGGCTCAGCCGTCGCACGGCGACCCTGAGGGCCGCGCTCGCCATCGCGCCCCGGCTCCGCACTGAGCCCAGCAGCCTCCCCGCCGGAGCCCTACGCACCGGGGCTGACCCGGGAGGGCGGGCCGGGGCGGAGCCTGGCTTAAAGGAGCCGCAGATGACCCTACCCAGGAAGACTCTGGGCAAGGGCAGACCCTGAAACCCGCAGAAAAAGAGACCAGAGACTCGGGGCGTTCGCAGACACTGCTGTAGAAACAGAGAGAGAAGAAGAAAGGCCCCGGACATTCAGAGACACGGGACGGATTTCCAGGAAAACACGTGGTCAGCTAGTCATCCTACGGAAGGAAAAAAAAAAAGAATCAAAATTCAGTATCACCAGTGTTTTTGAGGAACTGTTGGATAAGTGATTACAACTCTTTTTTGTTTGATTGCTTGGTTTGGTTTAGTTTTTGTTTTGTTTGTTTTTTGTTTTTTTAGACAATTTCTCATCACATAACCCTGGCTGTCCTGGAATTCTCTCTATAGACCAGGCTGACCTCAAACTCAAGAGATCCTCCTGCCTCTGCCTCTGCCTCCTGAGTGCTGGGATTAAAGGAGTGCGTGTGCCACCAACGCCTGGCCTGGTTTTTTTTTTAATAATTAATTTTTCTTATGTTATATGCATTGGTGCTTTGCCCACACGTGTATCTATGTGAGGATGCCAGATCCCCTGGAACTGGGGTTACAGGCAGTGTGTATCTATGTGAGGACGCCAGATCCCCTGGAACTGGGGTTACAGACAGTGTGTATCTATGTGAGGACGCCAGATCCCCTGGAACTGGGGTTACAGACAGTGTGTATCTATGTGAGGACGCCAGATCCCCTGGAACTGGGGTTACAGACAGTGTGCCATGTGGGTGCCGGGAACTGAACCTGCGTCCTCTGTAATCAGAGCAGCCAGGGCTCTTTTTGTTTGTTTGTTTTGTTGGTTTTCTCGAGACAGGGTTTCTCTGCATAGCATTGAAGCATGTCCTGGATCTCACTTTGTAGACCAGGCTGCCTGCCTCTGCCTCCCGAGTGCTGGGATTAAAGTTCAGTGTGAGGGTCATTTGTCTTCTTTAGGAGTTAAAGACTCTAAAAACCTACTGATCACTTATATCAAGGATGCAGAGATAGCTGGGCATTGTGATGCCTGCCTATGTATATTCCCAGCACTCAGGAGGCTCGGGTGAGAGCATTGCTACAAATCTGGGGCAAGCCTGGAGTACACTGCGAGTTAGGCCAGCAAGGCTTACTGTCCAGAGTTACTATAGCTGCAATGAAACTCTATGACCAAAGCAAGTTGGGGAGGAGAGGGTTTATCTGGCTTACACATCCGCATAGTAGTCAGTCATTGAAGGAAGTCAGGGCAGGATCCTGGAGGCAGGAGCTGATGCAGAGGCCATGGAGGATGCTGCTGACTGACTGGCCTCCCATGACTTGCTCAGCCTGCTTTCTTATAGAACCCAGGACCAACCAGTTCAGGAATGGCCCCACCCAGCTTGCATACAGCTAGATCTTATGGAGGATTTTTCTCAATTGACGTCCCCTCCTCTACGATGACTCTAGATTGTATCCAGCTGGCATAAAACAAGCCAGAGCACCTACCCGCCAAACCCTGGCTCAAAAACAAACTCGGAGAGCTGATAACCGCATTATCTTCGAGCACAGACTAACAAACATTTTGCTCCTGGAATCCGATCCATGGTGGGGGCACCCCTAGGCTAAGACTAAAGGGTGTGTCTTACTCATAGAGCCCTGGTTTCTACCCCCAGCAACAAGGAAGGAAGGCCCAAATCCTCACTCCGGTCCCGTTGTTCTTTGTCACAGAAAAGCAGCCGCGATGCCTAGTCTAGGTGACAAGAGTTTCTGAGAGAATCCAGCGGCAACAACAGTCCACCATCATCTCTTAAGCCTGTAGTCCTCACTGTGCAGACCCTGCTGGGCACCTCACAGTAACACCTGTTTGGATAGGCTCCGAGGCTGAGGAGAAGGTTTTCCTTGTGGATATGAGGGTTAGTACAGCCAGAGGCAGCTGGAAGAGAGCTCCGAGCAGGGCAGGTCCTACACTGAACATGGCCAGCCCACAGGACCTGGTCACGGGGTGGGGCAGGGGTGGGGGGGGGCGAGAGAAGGAGACAGAGTGTGGGCAAGGGAGACAAAGGGGGGTTGCTGCCTGAAATAGTAGGGGAATCAAAAGCTGGGGGCCGGAGGAGTTTAGGGCAGGGGGCGGGGTGAGAAGAACGGAGAAGAACCTCCGGTTCTGGTGGTACCGGGGGAGTCTGGAGGCCAGCGTGAGCTTCCTTTGATAGCTAACAGGCACCACAGTTGGTCTTTTGTTTCTTTTGGACCTGACACTGGTAATGGCTTTGCACAGTGTCCTAACCCTCCACTCCCGTTTCACAAAAATGTTACAGAACAGCCACTTTTCCAGGTCCTCCCCCCTCCCTCGGTGTGGGGGGCCCGCCCCAGGGACCCCATTGTGTTCTTCTGCCCAGGCTTCCAAGTTCAGTAGAAAGCAAGGTTGGAACTTTGAAAATGCTCAGCGGCTAAAAGTGCTTGCCTCCAAGCTGGAGGGCCCAAGTTCAATCCTAAGGACCCACCCGGCAGACAGAGGGCCAGGTCTCATGAGCTAGCTTCCTATCTCCACATTTTTGGTGTGGAACAAACACACCCTACACCCAAAAACAAACAGCACCGTTGCTGGAGTCCTAGGCGTCTCTGGGGGCCCTCATCTCGGAAGAGGACATGGCTATGCTTAGAAATTGGAATGGGTCGGAAGACAATTTGTGGGAATCTTTTTTCTCCTCCTCCTGTGTGGGTCCTTGTTCCCGGGATCTAACTCAGGTCATCATTCTCTCCCCCGGTCTGAAACTTGTGATGGTCGTGTTTCGGTCCCCCAAGTGTACCCCCACATCTGGCCTCTGAGTGTGCTCTGTAATGTTCTAACTGAAGCCCAACCACAGCTCTGCAGGTCTAAAGACATTTTCTTCTTCTTGGGTATGAGAATGGAGTGTGTGTGACTTTTTTGTTTATTTGTTTGCTTGTTTTTCAAGACAGGGTTTCTCTGTATTGCTTTGGAGCCTGTCCTGGAACTCTGTAGCCCAGGCTGGCCTCGAACTCACAGAGATCCTCCTGCCTCTGCCTCCCGATTAAAGATGTGAGCCACCACGCCCAGCTTTGTATTGATTTTGAGGCCACAATGGATGACAAAGTGAGACTGTCTCTGAAAAACACAGCGAGGCTGTGAGAGAGGGATAAACAGAGGCGGGCAGAGAGGGAAGTAATGTAGAAGGGGCGGGGCAAGAAGAGGCGGGCAGAGAGGGAAGTAATGTAGAAGGGGCGGGGCAAGAAGAGGCGGGCTGAGAGAAAGAGGCAGAAAACGGTGCTCAGCCCGGAAAAGCCAACCATAGCTGCGGGGCCTTCCCTAGTGTTTAGCAGGACTTTGGATCCCTGTCCCTATAGGGAGTCCCTGGCCTGCCACACTCTAGATAGATGCTCTGCTAAGTTGTACCTGAGCCACACCCAGCCCCTCCCTGGGGGATTCTAGACAGGGGCTCTACCACTGAGCCACGCCCCAGCCCCTCACTGGGGGATTCTAGGCAGGGACTCTACCACTGAGCCACATCCCCAGCCCCTCACTGGGGGATTCTAGGCAGGGGCTCTACCACTGAGCCACATCCCCAGCCCCTCACTGGGGGATTCTAGGCAGGGACTCTACCACTGAGCCACGCCCCAGCCCCTCACTGGGGGATTCTAGGCAGGGGCTCTACCACTGAGCCACATCCCCAGCCCCTCCCTGGGGGATTCTAGGCAGGGGCTCTACCACCGAGCCACGCCGCTACCCCCACTTCTACTATTTAAGTCCCTGACCCGGATTGTCACTGAGTTTTTGGATTCCTTCCTAAGCCCTTTGAACCTGACTTCTACTAAAGCTTCCCACAGGTTATCCACACAATGCAAATGTGTAAACATCTATGTGGACAGCCCTGCTCTTGCTCTGGAGACGAACAAGACTGGCAAGCTGTCCATCTTCACAAATGTAGGTACACTCTGGGAAGCAGACACACAGCGGGACGGCGGGGAAGGGCGGGGACGGCGGGGAAGGGCAGGATGAGAGGAGTCCAGCTGAGACAGTGCCAGCTGGGGCGGGCGGTGCAGGCCTTTAGTCAAGCACCGGTGAGGATCTTGGGCGCTTGAGGTCAGAGGTCAGGCCCGCATGGAGACCCTGCCCACCCCCAAGACAAACAGACACAAGAGAACAAGATGCTTGCTGGTCCTCCAGAGGACCAGAGTTTGGCTCCAGCACCCTTGCCACACGGTGCGCAGTCACGGGTGTTGCCAGCCCCAGAGCATCCGAGGTCTTTTTCTGGCCTCTGCACACATGTGGCCTAAACACATTCACATACATAAAAATAAAATAAATCTTTAGAAAGGGGGGGGGCGGCCTGGGGAGATGGCTCAGAGTTTAAGAGCGCTGACTGCTCTCCCAGAGGTCCTGAGTACAATTCCCAGCAACCACATGGCAGCTCACAACCATCTGTAGTGAGATTTGGTGCCCTCTTCTGGTGTGCAGGTGTACATGCACAGAGACCACTTGCATACATAAAACAAATCTTTAAAAAAATTGGCAGCCGGGCGGTGGCGGTGCAGGCCCTTAATCCCAGCACTCGGGAGGCAGAGGCAGGTGGATGGATCCCTTTGAGTTCGAGGCCAGCCTGGTCTACAGAGCAAGGGCCAGGATAGGCTCCAAAGCTACACAGAGAAACCCTGTCTCCAAAAACCATAAAAAATAAAAATGACTTATTTGTCTTTATTTTATGTGCATTGGTATTTTGCCTGCACATACGTCTGTGTGAGGGTGTCAGAGTTACAAACAATTGTTAGCTGCCATGTGGGTACTGGGAATTGAACCCAGGTCCTCTGGAGGAAAAGCCAGTGTATTCTCTCTCTCTCTCTCTCTCTCTCTCTCTCTCTCTCTCTCTCTCTCTCTCTCTCTCTCTCTCTGTGTGTGTGTGTGTGTGTGTGTGTGTGTGTGTGTGTGTGTGTGTCTACAGTTTCAGAGGTTCAGTCCGATATCACGATGGAGAGCCGGGCAGCATGCAGGCAGCCATGACTGAGAGTCCTACATCTTGAAAGCACCAGTAAGTTGAGTGACTGTCACACTGAGAGAAGCTTGAGCAAAACAGACCTCAAAGCCCACCCCACAGTGACACACTTCCTCCTACAAGGCCACACCTCCTGATAGCACCCTTTGGGGACCTTTTACTTCCAAACCATCACATTCCACTCCCTGGCCCCCAAAGGCTTATAGCCATATCATAATGCAAAAAAAAAAAAAAAAAGTATTCAGTCTAGCTTCAAAAGTCCACATAGTCTATAATAGTCTCAAACTTGTTTCAAAGTCCAAAGTCTCTTCTGAGACGCATGGCAATCTCTTAACTATAATCACCCTGTAAAAATAAAAATAAAAAACCAGATTGCACACTTACAAGATATCATGGCACTGGATATGCGGTTACCATTCCAAAATGCAGGGAAGGGAGCATAGCAAGGAAATGCTGGACCAAAGCAAAACCGAAAACCGCTGGGCAAACTCCAACTCTGCGTCTCCATGTCTGACGTCAAATCACTCCAGATCTCCAACTCTGTTCAGCTTTTTTTTCCCCCCTGCAACACACTTCTCTTGGGCTGGTTCTGCTCCCTGTTAGCTGCTCTCCCTGCAGGCCTCCTGTGACCCTGGCACCTCTAACATCTTGTGTTCTCCAAGGCAACCCAGGATTCACCTTCACGACTTCATGCAATGCCTCTCTAGGCCTCCATGAAGGGACACCCCCAACATATGCGTGGCCTCAACGGCTCTAGTCCATAACTGCTTTCTTCTATCCTTAACTCTAAAGCCAGAACCACGTGGCCAAAGCTGCCGAGGTCTGCTGTTTGCTGGGACTGCAACGCGGCCCCTCCCTACCACAACGTCTTCGCCGGCTTTCTGTCTTTCACTGCCTGAGCTGGGCTGTCCTGACACTCGCTCTGTAGACCAGGCTGGCGTCAGACTCCGAGATCTGCCTGCCCTGCCTTCCCGGTGCTGGGATTCAGTCAGTGCTCTTAACCGCTGAGCCCAATATTCTCAGGTCTTTAATGCCAGCATTAGGGAGGCAGAGGATTTCTCTGAGGTGGAGGCCACCTTGCTCTACAGAGTGAGTTCCAGGACAGCCAGAGCTACATAGTGAGACCTTGTCTTTAAAAAAAAAGAAAGAAAAAAGAAAAGAAAAAAAGAGCCGGACGTTGGTGGCGCACTCCTTTAATCCCAGCACTCGGGAGGCAGAGACAGGTGGATCCCTGTGAGTTCAAGACCAGCCTGGTCTACAAGAGCTAGTTCCAGGACAGGCTCCAAAACAATACAGAGAAACTGAGTCTCGGAAAACCAGAAAGAAAGAAAGAAGGAAAGAAAGAAAGAAAGAAGGAAAGAAAGAAAGAAAGAGAATGGAAGAAGAAAACATTGATTGGACACTCAGCAATTTGTAAACACTTCCCATTGATAATTTAATACCAAGGGACTTCCATTTTTCTAGATGAGAACCCAGAAATGTGAAGCACCTTATTCATGGTTTCCTGACTAGAGGAACAGAGTCCAGTACAAACTCAGCCCCACCAAATAACTCCTGTGGCCCGGGACTAGCCAGACCTTGTAGGTTGTCCCGCTGAGGACTTTTATGGGCACACTTCACAGCCGTGTCAGTGCTGGGCAGGCTATTGCTCTGTGGCCCCCTGGAAGCAGGCCAAGAAGTCCGTGTCACCCTTGGCTTGGCACTCCCGGACCACCCAGGTTAGGGAGGGGAGGCAGTTGGCACCAGATGCTGGGCGTAGCTGGAGACTCGAGTCACCCAGTGGTGAAGGGTGCCTAGAGTTCTGTGCACATTCTTTTGGGTGTCACCCAGCTCCCTGAGCCCAGAGTCCTGGCCCCTGTCCTCTCTGGAAGGAATAGCCAGACTTTCTGTAAACACTTGGAGGAATGGAATCAAATCGACCCAGAGCTTTTGAAACTGTTCCCAGAGGTTGAACTCAGACTAACTATGGAATTCTCACTACAAGGCTAGAGAGACGTCTCAGTGGCTGGAGGCAGCTGCAGCCTAGCCTGAAGACCCACACTCAAACACATCCACATACGACAGATAGTAAATACGTATAATAAACTTAGGGGAGGAAACAACAGGGACATTAACAAAAAAGACACAGGGCGTGGCTGTGCATGTCTGTCTCAAGCACTTGCGAGGCGAAGGCTTGAGGTTCACCAATTCAAGGTCATCCTCGGTTATGTAGGGAGTTCGAGGCTAGCCTGGGCTACTTAAGATCCGTCATTCCCCCCTCCCCCAAAAAAAGAGGGATGCGCATGCAGTCAGTCACCGTGGGCACCACCCCATGCCAGCTGCGGGTCTGGTCTTCTGGCTGATCACTTCGCGATTGCTCACGAACTCGCCAGCTGGGGGATGCATTCACTCCTTCCTTCCACGATGTTTCCCTCCGCCCCATCCCTCTGCAGCCTCTTGCTGGCTGTGACTGCGCATGAGTGCCGACCCCCGGATGGTTGGAGGGGGTGGAAGTGAGGTTGGGCCCCCGCCGCTTATCCGGCTTCTTCCCTCCCTCGTTCCCTTGGGCGTGGTCTCCCGTGGTTCACAGGGAGGAGTAGCCGAGACGGGAAGGTTCCGGAGCCCCACCCCTGGGGAGTGGCCGCCCTGCAGGTGAGGAGGGCGGAGCAAGGTCCTGGTCCCGTGGAGATAGACTGCGGGCTAGACTCGAGGGTCTCTCCGTGGACCGTAGACTCGGCTCCGGGTGCCCTGGTTCTTGAGGAGTGCATGCGATGGCAAATGTTTGGGACTCTCTCCAGTGAAAAGTCCATTCCTTCTGTTTCTCCAGGTCTCTTTCTGCCCTACGAGGTTTCCACTTCTACACCAGGGATGAGATTTAGCGAGCTGAAGGACGGAGTAGACACGGCCTTATTTATGAACTGAAATTAAAGGCAGGGTAAAGACCCCTTTTCCACTTGAAGAGCCTCACCTCTGAGGACTGTGTGGCCAAGGGCTCGCCCACGGAGCCCAAAGACCCGCCCCTGGGTTTGGGTGGCCCGGCCACTGACTGTGGTCCATTTTGTATAGCCCCGCCCCTCCCAGGTTTAGTCCACTCCGAAATAGCCCCCACACCCCCACCCAGCAGAAAGATGATCTCTTGGTTTGATTTGCATAACCCCTCCCAGTGTGAGCTTAGGCTCGACCTCCCAACCCCGCTGCGCTCTTGAGTCAGGATCAGACTTAACCAAAACCCTGGTCCTAACTCACTGACCTTCTGACTTTAGGGTCCCACCCCACCTCCATGAACTTGGTAATCACCGGCATCACCCCGCCCTCTGCCCTGCTGCCCCTGGGTTCCTCTGCCAGCAAGATGCTGGGTGGAAGCGTGAAGTCTGAGGCCAGGGTCTCGGAACCTCCTAGTCCCACTTACCAGGATCCGGTGACCAAAGGAGGTGAGAGCAGCCGGACCTGTACAAAGGGATCATTCCCAGGACTGACAGCTGAGAAGAACCAATGTTAAGACCATTCGGGTTTACCCACCGCACCCCGCTTGCGCTCGCTCGCAGCAGGTTGTAGGGGACCTCCCCCCCCCCACAATCTGGCTGGACCTCCCATTTGCTGGAGCTCAGGAAATTACAGGAGGTACATAGGGGATAGTGTAGGATTATGGGGTAGTAAGTACTGGAAATGAACACTCTACTAGGTTGCAGGACCAAGGTTAGCAACTCTTTCGGATGCTCAAGATAGAACGTGTGGTCCTTAATGGGACACCAGTGTGACACTTGCCTGTTCAGACTCTTTCAGATGCCCCTCTAGTATTAAGAGACAGCAGAGCCCGGCATGGTAGTGCACGCCTCTAATCCCAGCGCTGGAGGATCTCTGAGTTTGGGGCCAGTTTGGTCTGCACAGCGAGCTCCAGGACAGCCGGGGTTGCATAGTGAGACCCTGTGTCAGAGCCTGGCCTGCGCCCAGGGCATGCCTGTTACCAGAAGCTCATCAGCTGTCCTGTCCCCCAGCCCCCCACCAGGACCTGCTGAAACCCAGCCAGCCCGATGCCCCAGTGCCCACACCGCTGCCCGGACTGCCCCAAGGCTTTCTCGTACCCGTCCAAGTTGGCCACGCACCGGCTAGCGCACAGCGGAGCTCGCCCACACTCCTGCCCGCACTGCCCCAAGGCCTTCGGCCACCGCTCCAAGCTAGCCGCACATCTTTGGACACACGCGTCCGTCCATCCCTACCCGTGCCCCGATTGCCCCAAGTCTTTCTGCCACCCCTCCAAGATGGCGGCCCACTGCCACATGCACCACACCACCGACGCCCGCCCTTACCCTTGCCCGCACTGACCCAAAGTGTTCTCGTCCCCCTCTAAACTGACGGCCCATCGCCTGTGTCACGACTCCCCCACCGAGCCCAGCAGCCAGACCACTGGCCACCATCGATGCTCCAGCTGCGACCAGGCCTTTGGCCAGAGACGCCTCCTGTTGGTTCATCAACGCAGTCACCACCAGCCACGAGGGCCAGGGAAAAAGGGAGTCTGTCAGCCTGCCCTCTCTGACTACATCACGTGTCAATAAAGACCTGGAATGTCTTTTGGGAGGGGGGTTGTTGTTTTTCGAGACAGGGTTTCTCTGTATTGTTTTGGAGCCTGTCCTGGAATTTGCTCTGTATACCAGGCTGGCCTCGAACTCACAGAGATCCACCTGCCTCTGCCTCCCAAGTGCTGGGATTAAAGGCATGCACCACCAACGCCCAGCTGAGACATGGAATTTCTTTTTGTTTGTTTGTTTGTTTGTTTGTTTTCGAGACAGGGTTTCTCTGTATTGTCTTGGAAGCTGTCTTGGAACTCGCTCTGTAGACCAGGCTGGCCTCGAACTCATAGAGATCCACCTGCCTCTGCCTCCCGAGTGCTGGGATTAAAGGCATGTGCCACCAACGCCCGGCGAGACATGGAATTTCTAAGCCGTGCTATATGTGTAGACTTCCCTCTAACAGGGAGAAAGACAGGGTCTTGATACGTGTAGCCCAGACTGGTCTGAAACTCTGCCCTCTCGTGGAGACCTTTCAAATCCCAGGTTCCAGTTATGTGCCCCCGGGCTCAGTTGGGATTGGCTATAATGGAATGTGATTCAGACGACTGGGAAAAATTCTATTCATGTGGAGAGGCAGGTGTCATCAGGTTGGCGATGGGTTCAAACCTTGACCCTGGAGTTGTAGTGACACTGGTGCTGCCTACTCCCCTACACACACACACACACACACACACACACACACTCACACACACACACATGCATGCATGCACGCACACACGCACACATGCACGCACACACGCACGCACGCACGCACACTGTATGGCAAAGGTAAAAATCCTGCTGGCATCTTGGGTTGGTGAGGCACACGGGCTCTTTGCTCACTGCTAAAAGTAACTTGGTGCCTCTGCCTCGGCCACGCTTGTTTGTTGCAGGGATTTGTCCGGGACCCTCAAGCCTGTGATGAAGGCAGTAGGGAACAGCACTGTGCTGTGACCACACTGGGAACACCATCGGGGTCAGTAAACAGGGGAATGTGTGGCTGTAGGAAAGAGGCCAGCACTGTGTATACAAAGTGCCCTGAGCATAGGAGGTGACAGAGGCCAAGACACAGGACAGACCCCCAGCAGCGATGCTGGAGTGCCTCTGGATGTTTGGGGAACCTCAGACAAGGCTTGTAACTTCTCAGGTGTGCTATCTGGGAGATAGGACTTCGTGCCCTGTGTTTGTGGGGTTTTATTTATTTTTTGGACAGGGTCTCACGTCTCCAGGCTGTCCTTGAATTTACATGGCGCTGGGGATTGAACCGGGGCCTCATGAATGCCAGGCAAGCAATACACGTGCAGCACACACACTCTTCAGTGGGTTGGTTTTGTTTATGTGTGTCTGAGCGTTTTGCCTGCATTTAAATATATGTACCACCTGGTGCCTACAGAAATGACCAACTCCAAGGTCAGGTCTCCTGGAACATTCGAGATGGCTGTGAGCTACCCTGTGGGTCCTAGGAGCAGAACGCTGGCCCTCCGCACAAGCAACAAGTGCTCTTAACCACAGAGCCATCTGGTAAGCCCCAGTAAATACACCTGCCCCCGCCCCTCTGAACTGCCTGGTCATCTTTTTCCTTTACTTTTTTAAAAAGATATGGTCTATGTAGCCTTGGTACTCACTATGTAGAACAGGCTGCCTTCAACTCCAGAGACCTGTTTCCTTCTGTCTCCCAAGTGCTGGCATTAAGTGTGTACCACCATACTTGCTCCCTTATTTGGTGTTTTAAGGTAATTCTTACTCTGTAGCCCAGGCTGGCCTTAGGTTTATGGCAATTCTCCTGCCACAGCCTCTTGAATGGGGACGGCAGGTGTTTGCCAACACTCCTGGCGTAACAGGGTTGCTGTGGGAGAGGTAGCTGTCATGGCAGAACAAGTCAGGTATGCATTTGAAGTCTAGAATCTGTAAGGATGAGGGAATTGGGGCTGCCTACATCTGTGTTCTATAGATCTGAATTAAACACCTGTTGTGTGTTGAGCCCCGTCTGGGGCACTAAGGATATAACAGTGCAGACCTGGTCTAGAGACAGTGGACACTAATCAAACAGAAACAAGAGGGGGCTGGCAAGATTGGTCAGCAACTAAGGACACGTTACCAAGCCTGACGACCTCGGAACACATGGGGTGGGGAGACACCACCGGCTCCTGCAAGTTGTCCTCTGACCCCCAGGTGTAAGCTGTGGCACGTGCCCCCCCTCCCCACACACACCTGTAGTTCCAGCGCCCAAGAGGCAGGACTGCAGAAGTTCAAGGCCAGTCCGGTCTACATAGCAAGTTCCAGGATAGCCAGGGGTGTAGTGAGAGACTCTGTCTACACTAAAATATATGCAAAATAAGTCTCAGTGGCATGGCTCACTGCTTCCCAGACACGGGGAAGATGAGGTCACGGTGGTGATATCCGTGGTCCTAAACACTCACAGCCCCATGCTTGTAACTGACAGATGCCAAGCCCTACCTGTCACCCCAGGATGGCAAATTTTCCTGTTGTCTTTCTCCACCACAAGGGTCCCAGGGATTGAACTGGAGTTGTCAGGTTTGGCAGCAGGCACTGTCACCCGCTCGGCTGTCTCCCTGGCCATCGGGGGTTTTTGTTTTGTTTTGAGATGAAAGCAGAGGTTTTCTTGGCTGAGGTTCAGGGAATACATCATGGAGGAGAAAGTGTGGACGGCTGAGGCAGTCGGGGGAGTGTCCGCAGCAGAGCGAACAGGCAAGGTTGTCACATGGCCTTGCTCATGCCTGCTCAAGATTGTCACATGGCCTTGCTCATGGCCGCTCAGGATTGTCACATGGCCTTGCTCATGGCCGCTCAGGATTGTCACATGGCCTTGCTCATGGCCGCTCAGGATTGTCACATGGCCTTGCTCATGCCTGCTCAAGATTGTCACATGGCCTTGCTCATGGCCGCTCAGGATTGTCACATGGCCTTGCTCATGCCTGCTCAAGATTGTCACATGGCCTTGCTCATGGCCGCTCAGGATTGTCACATGGCCTTGCTCATGGCCGCTCAGGATTGTCACATGGCCTTGCTCATGCCTGCTCAAGATTGTCACATGGCCTTGCTCATGGCCGCTCAGGATTGTCACATGGCCTTGCTCATGGCCGCTCAGGATTGTCACATGGCCTTGCTCATGGCCGCTCAGGATTGTCACATGGCCTTGCTCATGGCCGCTCAGGATTGTCACATGGCCTTGCTCATGGCCGCTCAGGATTGTCACATGGCCTTGCTCATGGCCGCTCAGGATTGTCACATGGCCTTGCTCATGGCCGCTCAGGATTGTCAAATGGCCTGGCTCATGGCCGCTCAGGATTGTCACATGGCCTTGCTCATGGCCGCTCAGGATTGTCACATGGCCTTGCTCATGGCCGCTCAGGATTGTCACATGGCCTGGCTCATGGCCGCTCAGCTCAGGAAGCGAGAGCTGTTCTGGCTTTTGAGATAGTTATCTCAAGCTGGTCTCACCTGGTTGGTTTGTGTGGTTGATTGGCTTTGTTTTGTTTTTTGAGACAGCGTCTCACCAGGAAGACCTGACTGGCCTAGAACTTACCATGTAGACTAAACTGGCCTAAAATTCAGGGATCCTCCTGCATCTGCCTCTGAAAGGCATGCGCCACCACACTTGGCTCTAGGTCCTAGGGTTTTTTTTTTTATAACTTTGAACTTTACTATTTGACGGGTATGGTGTTTTGCCTGCGTGTGTCCGTGTAACGCATGCATGTCTGGCACCTGTGGCGATCAGAAGGGGCCGCTGGAGTTAGGGACCACTGTGAGCCACCATCTGGGGGCTGGGAATTGAACCTGGGTCCTCTGCAAGAGCCAGTGCTCTTAACCACCGAGCCATCTTTCCAGCCCCCTACACTTTTTTTGTTTGTTTTTTAAAAATGGTATCTCACTATGTAGCTCAGTCTGGCATAAAGCCTACAGTCTGATAAATGCACATCTACCTAGACCTGGGTTAAGATACAAACCTTAAGAATAAAATCTCAAAATGTTTACATGGAAAGGGGATTACATTAGAGACCAAAAGCAAAGAATATATATTTGAAGCCAAAAATAAAGCCTAAATCATGGACGAAGAGGAGACAGATAAACTGGACCACAGCAGGTGTAGTTACACCCATGAGGGGTCGCCCTGGAAACGTGTTAGCTGGTGCACCCTGAGACTTGAGGAGAGGAGGAGCTAAGAGCTGAATGTTCCGGAAGTGGACACAGGAAGTGTGCTGCAGAGGCTGAGGAAGCCTTGGAGGGGACAGGCTCCTCCCTGCCCTCGCCTAGCTGTGGGCCTCTGTCTGGGTTGAGGCCTGTGGTTAGGAGGCCTCCTAAAACTCCCACGGCAGCAGTGCTCACACAGAAGTGAGGCCTGGTGGCGTGTATTTTATAAGGCCGGCACTTGTTTTTCGAGACAGGGTTTCTCAGTGGCTTTGGAGCCTGTCTTGGAACTCAATATCTAGACCAGGCTGGCCTCGAACCTAGAGATCCACCTGCTGGGACTAAAGGTGTGTGCCACCACTGCCCAGCAAGGCCAGCAGTCATGAGGTAGAGAAAGGCGTCAATTCCAGCTCACCCTCAGATACATACGGAATCTGAGGCCAGCCTTTGGCTGTGAGACTGTCTCAAAAACAAAGAAACCAAAGGTGTTGGTCTGGCCCAACGTCGCCTTGTACTGACAGGGACAATGAGGTATGAGGATTAGCCTCGGCCGGCAGTGACTGAGTGGGCGAAAGTGGGTCTCTGGGCAGCCCAGAGCCCTGTCCTGCCTGTTCCTCCCCAGGACTCTGCTCATTGCCTGGAAAGTTCTCCCGGTTGCTCTTGAGGTTGTCCCTGGCCTCTGCCGAGGGCTGGTACTCCTTTAAGAGGTCATATAACCCTAACTGAACGGCTCTATCCTGCCCCACTTCCTGATGCTGTCCTGTTCAGAGTGCCCAGTGTCACACTGTTCACCTATGCCCCCCCCAGGCACCGTGTGCATGTCAGATGGGGACGTGGGACACAGAATGGCTTACTAAGGATGGTCACTTCATGGTCCTGGGAAAGCCGGCATGAGGCATGAGGTAGAGGAGGAGGAGGAGGAATGGAGACTGGTCATTACACAAGCCAGTGCGGGGCTGGGGACACAGCCCAGGGGTGGAGTCTAAAGGCCTGGACTCAATCCCCGGTGCCGTCACCAACTCGCTCTGTACCACAGAGACCCGTCACCCTCTGCCTCCCCAGTGCTGGCATTGAAGGCGCACGCCACCAGCTGGCTTTTGTTTTTCCCAAGTTCACTGAGAGTCTCAAGTCATCCAGGCTGGTCTCAGACTTGCAATGTATGATCCTCTCGCTTCTGTGTCCCAGGCACAGTGACAACGGACACGTACCACCCCATGTGGCTCATCACAGGTCTCTGGGAAGCAGGAGAGGCCTGGGCAGTTACGTAAGGTGAAGACTCCGCCAACCACAGGCACCCCTGAACAGAGGAGTAAAAGCTGCAAAAGCAAGGGGACTGGGCCCTGGAGCCTCCAAAGACCTGCTCCAGTTAGCTGGAGCCCCCAGACCAGCGGCTGGAGAGCGAGTCTGAAGCCATCTAGCCCGTGGCGGACTGCAGTACCGGGGACGCAGCTGGACTGGATGAGCCAGTGACCCAGTGACCAAGTGCACAGAGCCCCAGAGCAGGGCCAGCGTGACCAGTCGGTGAGACAGCCGAGGGCAGAGACCGGTGACCCCTGGCTGGTTCAAGTTAGCAAAGGGGCTGTCACGGCCAAGAGGAGGTTACCCAAGGGCCAGGTATCAATCCTGACTAATCCTGGCCTTTGTCCTGCTTAAAGCCCCTTCTGGCCCCACCCCACAAAGTCCAAACTCCTCAGCCTGGAGTTCACAGCCCTCCAGGGCAGCCCCGGCAGAAAGAACTTTCCCCAGAGTGTTTTGAAATGTGTTACCCTGTGACTGAGGACCTGAAGTCGGCCTCCCTGCCTACCTATCTCTCTGCCCCAGCCCCCGCCCCCACAGGAGAGGGAAAATAAGGTCTCACAATGCACATTATGCTGACCTCAAACACTCAGCGATACTCCTGCCTTCGCGTCAAGAACCAGGGCCATATGCCATTATTCCTTTACATTACACGGCCACCTGTATCCGGTGGCACTTTCCAGTCATCTCTGCCCCTCAGGCTTTTGCCCCTCAGCCCCCTCCTTCTGCCTTGACCCCTAACAGCTGTTCCATTCCCACCTTCAACGTGGAGACTTGAGGGAGCCCCATGATGTGGGTGGCTTGATGACAACAGCCTTCCTGTCCCCGTCCTGCTTCCCGAGTTGGAAGCAAGCCATGCTGGCAAGGCGGAGGCTGGGAAGCTGGCACATGCTATGAGCATCCGCGCCTCCAGTCACAGCGCAGACGCCTGACATGGACGGTGGCGCAGAGCACGCTGTGGGACAGCGTTGAGTGTGAAGTTTCAAGCCCTGCCTCCCGTCAGCAGGGCACAGAGCCCTCAGGGGGATCTCTGGTGGAAGGGCCCAATCACCTCTTCCCGGACTCTAGGGCAGGGCCATGGGGCAGCCCAGAGCCCTGGGCAGCACAGAGGGCAGCTGACCCCAGACAGAGCCCGAGCTGCAGCCTCCAGAGAGAGGGACAACTGCTCCTAACAAAGCCTCCTTTATTTCTCGTGTGTGCGCACGCATGTCACCCAAGCCCGTGTGCCCCTGTGCACAGGTGTGAGCATGCGCACAGGTGCGTGCACTCAGGCCTGGGGCACCACCCCGTAGAGCTGGTGGGGCAGTAACTTCTGCTTCTCGTTACAACTGTAGATCCACCGTGGCCGGACGAATGCCAGGGAAGGGTTGTCCATTAGGGCCTGGGGGGGAGAGATCCACATGGTCAATAATCAGAGGGCAGAGGCAACGCCAAAGTGGGCGGGGTTCCCCATCTCTGCCCCCGACCCAGGGCTCACCTCCTCAAACATGGGGTCCCACTCCTGGGCTGTGATAACGAACTGGACCCTCTCGCTCATGTAGTCCTCAAGTTCTCTGGTGGGAGAGGGGAGGAGGGGGGGACTGTGAGCGGCCCGCCCACCCTCTCAGGTGGCCTTCTAAAGCACCTTCTTCCTGTCTCTCTTGCCCAGGTCTGTATTTCCGGTACCTTTTGACAGCCCCGACTCTGCTTGAGGAGGAGGGGCACGGCGAGGCAGCTCCTTCCACCAGCGCAGGCCTAGCTGCTCTCCACTGGGGCGGGCACTGTCCTCTCTCTGGCTCCCCCTCCCCCCATTGTTTAACTGCCTTTTGTTTTGTTTTGGAGCCTGGTTTACAGCTTGACCTCTGCCCTCTGGAGCTGTCTGTGAGACCTGCACAGCAGCCCTCACAAGTCCTGCCAGCAACGCCCACAGTGCTAACCCTCTCAGAAGGGGGAGAAGAGCAGCCGCGCCTCCTGGGCCTCACAGCACAGTGGCCAGGGCTGGCACCTGGACTCTGAAGCCCGTGCTCGCCCTGCGGGACAAACCCACATCACCCTCCCCCAGCCCACACCCTCTAGAGTCAAGCTGCCAGCCTGACCACGGACCCACCACCAACTCCGCAACTGACCCATTGAAAGCGGTCACGTATCGGATGAGTTTCCTCCTCTCGTCCCCAGGGAACTCCCCGTACAGGAAGAAGTGTTTGCCCTGGAAGAAGTCTGTGGAAGAAGCGGGGAGAAGGGAAACATGAGGCCCCAAATGCCCAGGCATCCACCGAGACCGCTGAGCCCTGGAGAACAGGGCGGAAGGTGGAGGCGTCTGGCCGAGGAAGAGGTGTCAGAGTGGGGACCCATGACCCGTGAGTTCTAGTCCAGCCCCGCCCAGGCTGGCAGAGGCTCCTGCATGCCTTCACCTACTGCGAAGCAAAAGCTGAGACACACAGTCAGCCATGCGGCTCACACAGTCAGGCCACACACACCGTTCTGGCTTGGCCCTGAAGCAGCCACACTTCACCTCAGCTGGCTTCTGTGGATTCTGAGCTGGTTTCCTTGCCATCCTGACGTGACTTCTCGGGTCACTGAGTCACTGTCCTCATCCTGGGAGCTTTCGGTTCAGAGTTCTTTCCTGCCAGGCCCACAGCCTGGGAATCCAATCTCCCCTGCTGCACCCTGATGCCTTCTCCCCCCCCCCCCCCCTTTTTTCCTATCCTTCCTTTATTTTAAAAAAAAAAAGGGTCTTAGCAGTGTCCAGGTTGGCCTGGACCTTGTGATCTTTGGCCTCGGCCTCCTGAGCACTGGGATTGCAGGCATGAACCTCCGCACCCGGCTCTCCTTCCATCCTTGACCCCAGAAGGGTCAGACACCTTTTTGACATCCCCGCTGTTTTTCCTGTCTCCTGGCTCTGTTGTCTTCCAAGTGCTCCAGCTGGGTGTGTTAGCACACATGTGATCTAAGAACTTGGGAGGCCGAGCCACAAGTTTGAGACTAGTCTGGGCTACCCGAGACCCTGTCTCAAATAGGAAAGTGCGCGCATGCACCACCACAGACAGACACACACATACAGAGACACACACACACACATATATACACACACAGACACATACACATATACACAGGCACACACACAGACACACATATACACACACACAGACACAGGCACACACACACATACACACACACACATACACACAGAGACACACACAGACACACACACATAGACAGACACACATACACACACATACATAGGCACACACACACATACACACACAGACACACACATAACACACACAGACACACATATACACACACAGACAGACACAGACACACACATACACATACACACACACAGAAACATACACACATACACAGACACACACACACACACAGCATTGGCGTAACACTCTCAGCAATGCGTGTTAAATAAACAATGTGCCCAGTACCCCGGTGCTGTGGGGCAGCAGGACAGTTAACAGAGCTGAGCTTGGGGGTAGGGTGAGGAACCTTGGGTCACAGACCAGCAAATAAGGTCGCTCACACAGGGAGGGTCACCACACGGCAAGGTCACACTGGTTTGAGCAGGAAGGGGAGCGCTAAGGCGGGGAGTCGGGGAGCAGGCGGCCTAGGACACAGCAGGGACGCTCAGAAGTCAGGGGTTTCCGACCTGGGAGCTCTGGGATTGGCAGGTCAGCGTCTGTGGAAGCCTCGTTGTCTGTGTTCTCGTCTGTGGAGCCTGCATACGGATCCTCGCCGTTCTCCCCTGGAGCCGGGGGCTGCTGCTGCTCCCCCTGCTTGGCTACCCTGGGAGGTCAAGGGTTGTGGAGCGTGAGCACTGGGGGGGGGGCAGACACCCACACCCGAGGCCAGGCCACATCCACCCCACCCCGGCGTACCTCCTCAGCTCATCCTCAGTGTCTCCGGAATCTTCCGCCCCATTGTCTTGTCCTTCTGCCAGAAGCAACTCAGTCAACGGGCTTGTCTTCCGGGAAGTCTGCTAACACCCCTCTCAGAATGGCACCGAGAATACAGCCAGGGACTGCGAACTCAAACTCGGTTGCTCCCTCGAAGGCTTCTCCTCCACTCCATTCACCTGGACACCCCTCCCCCCTCACACCCAGACATCTAGACCCCAGCCTGCCCTCAGACCCAGGGCTCCAGCCCACAGACACAGGAGTGCAGACCGCCCCCTCAGTCACTCTGACCTGACTGCTGCCCCTCAGTGTCGCTGCTGTCCTGGGGTCCCGGTGAGGGGGCTTTGGTCTCTTTTGGAGTGGGTGGTCTCTGGGGCAAGCTGGGTCCTGCTGCGTGGGTCTTGGCTTTGGCCTGCGGCCGCTGAGGAAAAAGGACTGAGTGAGGTCAGGGGCAGCGTGGCTGTGGAAAACCAGCAGGGGGGCAGAAGGGAGGACCCTGGTGGGCTCCCTCCTGGCCGGCAGGGGCATCAGACCTTCCGGGGAAGCTTGGGCGCTTCCTCTTCACCACTCTCCCCGTCCTCTTCGTCTTCACTGCTGGAGCCTGGCCCTGCCATGAGGTACCTAGGGAGGAACCAGGCCTCCCTCAGGCACAGAGCTAAGAAAGACCTCCGCGGGAGGGGCTGTAGTAGGAACCCACTGCCCCGTCCCTCCCAGATCTAGAGGGGTCCACAGCTGGGCAGGCAGCTCAGCCGCCCGGCAGACACTTTCCCTCCTGGGGAAGATCTGTTCCATTTGAGAGAGGAGAGCAACGGGAGGGAGCCGGTCTTCCCTTTGAGAATCAAAGGAGGGCGCCACTGAGCAACAAGGGGAATTCTCGAAAGCAAATCGAGGTGGGACTCTGAATCCGGGGTCCCTGTATCTGCACGCTTGGTCAATCCGATCAGGAAAGGCAGCGAGCGTCTGCACTGAACATCCACAGATTGCTCACCACTCCCTAACAATATGGTGTGAGAAGGGCTTACGAGGCATCTGCACAGCGCTGGTTACAAGCCATCTCGAGAAGACACAAAACGCCAGAGGAGTCTGAGGCAGGTGGATTGCAAGTTCAAGGCTTGCCTGGGCTACCAAGTGAATTGAAGTTTCCCAGTCTGGGAAACTTAGAAAGGCCCTCCATCGCCGGGTGTGGTGGCACACGCCTTTAATCCCAGCACTCGGGAGGCAGAGGCAGGCGGATCTCTGTGAATTTGAGGCCAGCCTAGACCACAGAGCCAGTTCCAGGACAGTCTCCAAAGACACAGAAAAACCCTGTCTCCAAAAACGAAACAAAACAAAACAAAAGGCCCTCCATCAAAATAATAGCTGAAAAGGCTAGGGATACAGCACAGTGATAGCACTCCAGTCTAGAATCCCCAGTGAGGGGCTGGGGGTGTGGCTTAGCAGTTGCTTAGCATGCAGGAAGCCTTGGGATCAGTTCCTAGTCTCTGTCTCTCTCTCTGTCTCTCTCTCTCTCTCTCACACACACACACACACACACACACACACACACACACACACACACACACACACACACACACACACAGAGTATCTGAGGAGCCTGGAGAGATGGTTAAGAGTTTATACTGCTCACTGAGGATCCAAGTTTGACTCCCAGCACCCACATCAGGAGGCTTACAACTGCCTTTAACCCCAGCTTTAGGGGATCTGACACCACGGCCTCCTCAGGTGCCTGAACACACACATGCACACGCCCACACAGTCATACATATAATTTAAAGAGCAATATTTTTAAAGCATGTGGGAAGATTGTGCACTTTTTATGTAAATACTCTGCTTTTTTGTATAAACGACTTGTGGATACGCGTGTTTTTACACTTTTATTTTACAAGCATGAGTGTCTGCGTGCTTGTCTGCACGTGTGTCTGGGCATCGTGAGTGAGCCGGGACCACAGTGATGAGAAGCAGTCATCAGACACTCTGAGACTGGGCCAGGTGGTCGTGAGCCACCCTGAGACTGAACGCAGGGCCTCTGCAAGAGCAGCCAGTGCTTTTGTTTTGTTTTAATATTTTTAGACTTATTTATTATGTATCCAGTGTCTGTTTGTACGCCTGCATGCCAGAAGAGGGCACCAGATCTCATTACAGATAGTTGTGAGCCACTGCACGCCAGAAGAAGCCAGATCTCATTACAGATGGCTGTGAGCTACCATGTGGGTGCTGGGAATTGAACTCAGGACCTCTGGAAGAACAGCCAGTGCTCTTAACTGCTGAGCCATTTCTCCAGGACCAAACATCTTCAGAATTTTGATCCTCAGTAGACGTGTGTGTGTGTGTGTGTGTGTGTGAGTGTGTGTGTGTGTGTGCACACGCGCATGCGTGTGTCTGCTGAGACCAGGCCCTGCTCTGACACGCTCCCTGCTTCCACCCGAAGCCTCCACATACAGCACCCCGCTGCGTCCTTTCCCTTCTGCACAAAACAGATGTCACAGAATCGTGACCCAGCCAGGCGGCCACTTCCCACCTGGCTGAGATCACCTGAGCTGGCCCAGCTGGCCCAGGCTCTGCAGCGCCCAGCTCTGGGTGACAGCGAGTGTGTGAGCTGCGGCACAGTGAGGTCTCACCTCCGGGAGGGCAGCCGGCGACGCATGCGTGCGCAGTCCAGCACCCACTCTTTCCGCACAATGCGGCCTCCGAGGCCCAGGACCTGACTGTACTTGGGGGTGTTGGCAAAGGCACAGCTGAGGACGCAAAATAGAGAGGTCACACGTGATCCGGCCAGCAAATGGGGCAGGGTGACAGACAGACAGACAGACAGAGACGGGGCGGGGTAGGGGGAGAGAAAAGGGAGAGAGGCAGTCTCCAGAGAACTAAGGGGGCCAGGACGGATGGACGGACGGATAGACAGACAGACAGATGGACGAACGCGGGGAGGGAGGGTAGAAGAACAGGGACAGAGTGACGACAAGAGGGCGTGCGGGGAGGGCAGCACACGGAACGACGGGTGGCCCAGAGGACGACCGAGGCCTACATGAGGTGTGTGCTGTCTGGGGTCCAGTCGGGTCGGTATTTGGCCCCCAGCTCCAGGGCTTTGTCCCGAAGCTCTGAGCGGAAGGGGTTCTGGAAGCCACTGAGCACCACCACCACACCCTGCAGAATCTTCCCCGGCTCCTGGGGGCCTTCTCCCCGGGGCTTCCCTGGGATGGCCTTCTGTGCTGGGGTAGAGGCTGGGGCTGCAGCTGGGACGCGGCTAGGAACAGGCACTGGGGAGTCAGAGAACAGAGCTTCAGTGGTCCCTGGGGTTGGGCATTCAGCGACCGTATTTCCCGGCACACGGGAAGTCACCCCCCTTAGACGGCGGGGTCGGGACCCCAGCCTTCCCTTATGCCACACAAGCCAGCCGGGGTCTGCAGAACTGAGGAGTCCAGGTGGCTTACGTTTGGGCTTCTTGAGGGCGGATGGCCCTGCTGGAGGTTTGCTGGGAGACCTCCTGTCTTCTAGACTCAAGTCCACTTTCCTCTTCCTTTTGGGAGAGTCCTGAGGCTGAGGAGGTAGGGATGGGCTGAGGCTTCCAGCTCCTCTCCATCTCCACACCCCAGTGCCTGATGACCTCACCTTGGAGGAGCTACCCGAAGGCTTGGAGACCGGAGAGGCCGAGGACGCTGCACTTGAGGCCTGCAGCGTAGCTGCTGCGTAGCTGGGTCCTGCTGGGTCACTAGCAGAGGCTACAGAGGGAGACAGCGAGCTGGACCACGAAAGGGACAAAGACACCCCGCCCCTATCACCAGGTATCACGTCACTCCAAACCCAGAGGTGGCCCAGGGCTTCCTCCTCAGACCCCACAGTCCAGGCCCCAGCCTCCTTCCCTGGACAGCCTCGTCCCCACACCCAGGGACCTAGCCGCGCTCCTCGGGGCCCAGGTTTCCTTCTGTTAAGACAAGTCAGGGGTCAGATAGCCTAAGCTGAACTCAAGCTTTTCACCTGCCCGAGGAAGACCATAAACTTCTCATCTCCCGCGGCTGAGATTTCAGGCATGGGCCTAGGAGCTGGCGGCCCCAGCACTCACCGGAAGACGTCTTGTTGATGCGATTGAAGAACAGAGCCCCTGGCCTTAGGGAGCTGGCGCCATCATCCTCCTCTTTCACACGGAACTGGCCGAGCTTGGTCACTGTCACCTTCTAAGGTCCCGCAAGGTCAGGGCTGTGGGAAGGCCGCTGGGAGGCAGGGGTGGAGAGGCGGGGAGAGGGCTATGGGGGCGCCGGGGACAGCTTACCTGGGACGGAGTCTCCACCTCATCTTTGTCTGGAGGGCTGTGAAACCTCACAAAACTCAGGCCATAGGGTGAGTCCTGGAACGGGAGACGTCTGGGTAGAACAGAGCTGGGCTCTCATACCCGTCACGGTGGCGGAAGCCCTCCCTCAGTCACAGCAGGTGCCCAAGAAGGAAGGTCATTCATGATGGTGGCATTAACCCTCAAGGAGCCCGAACTGCAGACAAGGCCAGGGCTCTTTGACCTTCACTGCAAATGGGAATCTGCTGGCGGGTGGCGAATCCACCTCTGTGTGCCCTGTCTCTGTCCGGAGCCATTTTTGGGATCTTTGCTCCTCTGCTTTCAGGGTGCGGAACTAGAAGACAGGAACCTGAGCTCCTGGCCCCAGGACGATGACAGTGACATTAAACAGAGCTTGATGGGCCTCAGTTCTGCCTCTAACACTCCCTCCGGAGCACTAAGCCGCTTGTCCCTGGAGGACCCCAAACCATTGCTGGGAGCACAGAGGTCACGAGCAGCTGTGCACTGCTCCCAGCGCCCTGGACTCAGGACGGCCCTCAAACGCCCGCCCCGGGCCACGTCCCCGCTCCCGCACGAGGTACCTTGCTGTATGGCTGGCTGCACACGATTTTCACACGATCCCAGCGCTTCTCCGCTGCTGCCCGGACTAACTTGTCGGGTCCAAACATGCGCACGCGGTTGGGGTTTGAGCCACTTCGGCTCTCAGAAGGGGACATGAAGGACGAGGTGACCAGAAGGACCTGGGGGACAGCGTAACAGATGCAGAACAGAGCTAATGACAGTACATCAGCCCAGATGCCCTAAGGAGCCCCAGCAGGAGTCTCAGTGAGAGAGTAGGAGAGAGAGAGAGGAGACAGAGACAGAGAGAGGGAGGGAGAGAGAGGGAGAGACAGAGAGAGAGACAGAGAGAGGGAGGGAGAGAGAGGGAGAGACAGAGAGAGGAAGGGAGAGAGACAGAGAGACAGAGAGAGGGGCGGCACAGGGCTCCAATGCTCTTTGGAGATGCTCAGCTGAGTCAGCACAAAGGCCGGGAGACTTACAGGATGCCAAAGATGGAGACAGCAGCATCTGTTATTAAGTGATGCTTCCCTGCTCACACCCAGGGCCTGGGGGGCAAGGCACATGTCTGAGGGCCAGCTGTGCCAGCTGCGGAAAGGGGAAGCTAGAGAGGCTTCACGCAGCAGGGTGCTACCACACTTTTCCGAGACAGGGTTTCTCTGTATTGTTTTGGAGGCTGGCCTGGAACTCGCTCTGTAGACCAGGCTGGCCTCGAACTCACAGAGATCCGCCTGCCTCTGCCTCCCGAGTGCTGGGGTTAAAGGCGTGCGCCACCACCGCCCGGCTTTACCCCAGCTCTTTCTGCTACACCAGGTGAACCCGGTCTGCAGCCAGCGTCCTGCTTTAACCCTCTCGGTGATACAGCAGCAGGAAGGAAGGATGGGTGGGGCGCTCCTGCTCTTCAGGGTCGGTTCAGCCCCATGCCCTGACTTCTCCTCACTCTGACAGAAGTTCCCACATTCCAACCTGCCTCTGCCCCTCATCCCGGGGGTGACAGCTAGCTCCCTGCCTTTTCTTCAACAGACCCCAATCTTACAGTAACAGTCAGGAACTACTTTTTTTTTTTTTTTTTTTTTTTTTTGGTTTTTCAAGACAGGGTTTCTCTGTGGCTTTGGAGGCTGTCCTGGAACTCGCTTGGTAGTCCAGGCTGGTCTCGAACTTACAGAGATCCGCCTGCCTCTGCCTCCTGAGTGCTGGGATTAAAGGCGTGCGCCACCAACACCCGGCAGGAACTACTTCTTATATTAAATTCTGTCCACAAAGAAGTAATGGCCATGGTCTCTGGCTCCAGGTCATGGCAGGGCCACCACAGAAGCAGGAATGTGGGCAACTCCATCTGGACTACTTTGTGAAGCCTTGTCTTAAAAAACAAATAAGCCAGGCTGGAGAGATGGCTCAGAGGTTAAGAGCACTGGCTGCTCTTCCAGAGGTCCTGAGTTCAATTCCCAGCAACCACATGGTGGCTCACAACTATCTGTAATGAAATCTGGTGCCCTCTTCTGGTGTACAGGCAGACAGAATATTGTATACATAATAAAAAAATCTTAAAAAAACAAAACAAATAAGCCATGCTCGGTGACGGTGGTGTACACCTTTAGTTCCAGCATTTAGGAGGCAGAAGCAGGCAGAGTTCTGACTTTGAGACCAGTCTGATCTACAGAGCAAGGTCCAGGACAGCCAAGGTTACACAGAGAAACCCTGTCTTGAAAAAAAACAAAACAAAAAAAGGAGACTATAGCCAGGCGGTGGTGGCGCACGCCTTTAATCCCAGCACTCGGGAAGCAGAGGCAGGCGGATCTCTGTGAGTTCGAGGCCAGGCTGGACCAACAACCTCCAAAACAATACAGAGAAACCCTGTCTCGTAAAAACAAAAAAAAAAAAAAAAAAAAAGAGGAGACTATAACAACATGTCTCTTGGCGCCCAGCTCTAATTAGGGAAAGAACAATGAAGACAAAGGAAGCCACACAGAGCAGAAGCCACTCACTGGCTTCTGCTCCACCTGTTCCACAGGGCTGGGTTTCTCACCCAGGGAGGGGGGTGATGAAGGAAGTGCACCCAGCAGCTGGGAGCTGCTACCCACACTCAGTGGTGGAGATCCCCAGGTCCCCCAAATGTCTCTTCCTATTCACTGTAAAGAGAAACCACTATGGTTGTCACACTGCCTTTAGGCTTCCAAAGTTAACGGTTTTTTTTTTTTGTTTTTTTTTTTGGTTTTTTGTTTTGGTTTTTTGAGACAGGGTTTCTCTGTATTGTTTTGGAGACTGTCCTGGAACTTGCTCTGTAGACCAGGCTGCCCTCGAACTCACAGAGATCCTCCTGCCTCTGCCTCCCAAGGGATTAAAGGTGTGTGCCACCAATGCCCGGCCCCAAAGTTAACCTTTTACTCTCTAGTCTGGGCTACCTCCAACTCTGATGAATAATCTCTTTTGTACAATTTCTTATACCAGGGATGAAGGCTAGACCTTCACACATGCTAGACAAGTGCTCAACTACTGAGCCACGCCCCCCAGTCTCTCACTGGGGGATTCTAGGCAGGGGCTCTACCACTGAGCCACGTCCCCAGCCCCTCACTGGGGGATTCTAGGCAGGGGCTCTATCACTGAGCCACACCCCCAGTCCAAGGCTTATTTCCAACCTTGTAAGCGTTGACTTCCTTTTAGTGTATATTTAACAGGAGAAACCAGGCAACGTATATCTAATGAGACACAGGAACCACAAAGGCATTTTAGGCATGAGCACACGGAAACGGAAAAGTACTGCTCAGGACACCCTGACTCCCACTGAAGATGTCTAAGGAAGCACTCCACCACAGACCTACAGTGCCAATGCCAACCCCAGTTTTCTTTTGTCTTTAATTCTGAAACGTCTTGCTAAGTTGGTCAGGCTGGCCTCAAACGCTCTACATAATAGCCCAAGCTGGGCTTGAACTTGCAAGCCTCCTCTCTCATCCCCCCGAGTGGCTGGCAGTACCGCCAAGCCTGTCGTTCTCTGCGAGATCTGGGGGGAGGAGGAAAGGCATGCTGACTTTGCAGGAAATGGTGCTGCTGCCCTGTGCTCTGCTCGACCTGGAGGAAGAAGAAGCAACCTTGCCTGACTGTCCTCATCCGCCCTCTCCGCCTTTCTGATTCTCCAGCTGTCTCCAGTTCCTCCACGGAAACCAAGCACTCTGAAGCCCCGAGCTTCCATTCAGTTGTGCTAGGTTTGGCAACCCGAGACTTGACTGAATACAAGCTCAATCTGAAATTTTGCAGAAGCACAGCTGTTTCCAGGCCTTGGGAACACAAAGGCCTGAGCTGGCCACGCCTCCTTCTAGAGGCGCAAACCCTGAGTAAACTCACAGAAGGTGGAGCAGTCTAGCTAAGGGATGCACTGTAGTCCATTTTTGCTGTTATGAAGTCAATTCCAGTCTATGCTTTCCGAAGGGAAGCAGTCATTTTTAAAGATTTATTTCACTTATAATACGTGCATGGGTGTTAGGAGCCTATGGAACCTAGAAGTGTGCCCCCCCAGGAGCTGCCTGACACCGTGCCGAGAACGGACTCAGGCCCTCGGCCAGGGCAGCGCTCCCTCTTAACGGCTGACCCAGCTCCGCAAAGAGCAGCTTCGTACTAGCTCCCCCAGAAGGTAGGCTGGGAGGGTCCCCCACCCTCATGTAAGCTCAGGGGACAGCAATGGAGATACGGGGGTGTCAGCAATGGAGATAGATACGGGGGTGTCGGCACCTCCCCCAGCCCTGCTTACCTCGTAGTCCTGCTCACCGGCTGCGGCCCCTCCGGCCGAGCTGCCCACCAGCACCTCTACAAAGGCCGCGCCGTCATTCCCAATGTCTATGCTGTGTATCTGCTCCTCCTTCTCCAACTGCGGGCAGAGAAAAGCTGCTGTGAGTTCTGCCCTGGCTTGCCTTGGAACGGGGGACAGAAAGAGAGACGGTGTCCACCTGGGCTGCCGTGTTCCCTGGAATGGCACCTACGTGTCCATAGGGACCAGAACTGAGTGGTGTCATGACGTGTCTGGCAGGCAGCCTGGGACACCACATGGAGCAGAACTCATTGAATGAATGAATGGCACACAGTCCTGAATAAATGCACAGTCCTGAATAAATGTACACACAGTCCTGAATGAATGAATGCACACAGTCCTGAATGAATGAATGCACACACAATCCTGAATGAACGAATGCACACACAATCCTGAATGAACGAATGCAACACAGTCCTGAATGAACGAATGCACACAGTCCTGAATGAATGCACACACAGTCCTGAATGAACGAATGCACACAGTCCTGAATGAATGCACACACAGTCCTGAATGAATGAAGGCACACACAGTCCTGAATGAATGCATAGTCCTGAATGAATGAATGCACACACAGTCCTGAATGAATGTACACAGTCCTGAATGAATGAATGAATGCACACACAGTCCTGAATGAATGAATGCACACAGTCCTGAATGAATGCACACTTACTTCACCAACAGACATCCCCACACTCCCACCTCTCCACGGGACCACTGCCACGCTCCTTGGTGGCAACAGCCAAAGGCATAGAAGTCTAGGTTCAATTGTCATACAAAGGACGCGTGACGACGCAGGTCCCTGGGCAAACACCTGATGCATGCCGTCTTTGGGTTTGCCTCATCCCCAACTGAATCCCAGTTCTGCCACACACGAGCTGTGTGTCCCTGCTGGCTCACCTCCTAGAGTCCCATCTATAAAGCAGGGGCCAACCAAGGATCTCCCACATAACCAACCGGCTGGAGGTCACGGCAACCAAGGATCTCCCACATAACCAACCGGCTGGAGGTCACGGCAACCAAGGATCTCCCACATAACCAACCGGCTGGAGGTCATGGTACACAGCAGTCACCCAGCAGCTGCCAGCCAGGCACTGTTTTAATGTTGGTGATCCCTGTGACATTACTTTCACTGAAAAAGCTACGGAGGGAGACAAGTTGGGGCTTGGTGTCGCACACGTGTTACCCCAGTATTTGGAAGGTGATGGCAGGAGAATCACGTTTTCTTGGGGAGGGGGTTGTTTGGTTTTTGTTTTGGTTTTTGGGGGTTTTTTTTGAGACAGGGTTCCTCTGGTAGCCCTGGCTGTCCTGGAACTCACTCTGCAGACCAGGCTTGGCCTTGAACTCAGAGATCCAAGTTCAGCCTAACCAGTGAACTAAAGGTGTGTGACACCACCACCGCTGTCATCACCACCACGCAACAGTCTGAGACAGCTTGGAGGCTGCCGTCCGGTCCAAACACAAGTCTGCAGCTGTCCATTTCTTCTTATCTTATCGTATGAGTGTGAACATTCTGCCTGTGTAGTCTGTGTACCATATGCTTTCCTAGGCCCCGCAGAGGCCTGAAGAGGGTGTCAGATGCTCTGGAACTGGAGTTAGCTAGTTGTGAGCTGCCATTCGGGCGCTGGGAAGCGAATCCTGGCCCCCTGGAGGAGCAGCAAGTGCTTTTAACCGCTGAACCGACTCTCCGGCCCTCATCTGCATGGCCACAGTGGTCCAAGCTACACATCCCAAAAGCTGGAGTCACAAGCACGAGCTGCCACAGCTCCGTTTGCACATGCTCATTTTTAGTTTTCTTTCCATGTGTGTTGGGAGAGGGGGATGCGCCCCAAGCACACCTTGGACTTGGGCTCCCCCTGGCTCCACCTCCCAGGTGCTGGCACTGCAGGCAGGGCCACCTTGCCGGGAGTGGCTTTGCCAGGTACTGACCTAGAAAGGCCCCAGGCTTCCTGCTGAGCCTATGATCTGGGAGCAGGAGCAATGCCTGATACAGGCTCATTCTTCACTGGAAGAAAGAACTATTTATGAAGACTCTCACCAAAGGACCTGCGGCTCGCGCCCAGGGCTGAAGGCACAGAAAGGTGTGGGTGTGGGTGTGGGGCAGTCAGGATGGGCGATGCCAAGCCTCCCGCTCTCCAGTCTGGGGCTCCCCCACCCCAGACAGGGTTTCTCTGTGTAGCTCTGGCTGTCCTGGAACTCGCTCTGTAGACCAGGCTGGCCTCGAACTCACAGAGATCCGCCTGCCTCTGCCTCCCGAGTGCTGGGATTAAAGGCGTGTGCCACCATTGCCCAGCTGTCTGGGGCTCTTTAGAGGGTGCCGAATGAATAATTATTACAGCCCTCAAAGGCACCTTGTCTTGGGCTTCAAATGTAGTCCCGTTGGTGAAGTACTTGCCTAGGATGCAGGAACCCTGAGTTCAAGCCCCAGGAAAGCATTAATAGAGCATGGTGAAGCATGCCCATAATTTCAACACTGAAATGAGAAAACCACATTTGCTCAACCCTACCCGACCTCGGGCTAAAACTGAGGTCAAGTCAGTCTGACCCTCAGGTACACACGGCACTTGGGAACCATAACTCACCTAACATTGTACAGCACGGTGACGCAGGTGTGCCATAATCTTATTAAAAGTTCATATCCTGTCACGGTCACTAACGGCCATCACAGCCGCACTAATGTGAGCATCAAACTTGTGGTTTTCCCTTTATACCCCCCCTGCTCACATGTGCTCACAGGAGTGCTTGCTCCTGGCCGGGACCGTGTGGCCCAATAAAACCTTCAGATTCATAAAGAGTTGGCTCTGCTCTCCTCTCGGGTGAGAACATCCAGCTACAACAGCAGGAGGATCAGAAGTTCAAGGTCAGGGCTGCAGAGATGGCTCTGGTGCCAGAACTCCTCAAACCCACAAGACGCTCATAACCTTGTGCCATTCTAGGTCCCTAGGGACCCAATGCCTCTGGCCTTTGCAGGCACTAAAATTCACCTACGCCTCACACACAGACTTAAAAATAAAGTAAGCCTTTTTTTTTTAAGCAAATCTTCTTAACGGCCTATCTGCCGCCACCCAACACTGCCCCCCCCCCCCCCCGTTCTAAACCACAGCCATGTGTCCTCGGTTGAGAAAGGGGAGCTGTGGTGATAACCCTCCCACGGGAAGCTAGGATGCCCCAAAGTAACAAGGGCAGCCAGCTGGGCCGGCGGCCGCAGCCACTTGGGAGGTGAATCCAGAGTTCAAGGCCTGCCTGGGCCACAGAGTGTGTTCAAGGGCAGATGGGGAAACTGAGCAAGACGCCGTCTCAAAGAGAGGAGGGCTGGGGTGAGGGTCGGTGGTGGGGAGCTTGTCTAGTCTGCACAGCTCGTTCAATAGCCAGCGCCACAGGAGGAAACAGAGCGAACAGAATGTTCACACCAGTAACAGTGCAAACAGTGTAGAACCTGCCCTTCTACAGGGCTCCAGTGAGACGCTGCGATCACCTCCTCATAGATGGGCAGTCTCGGGCAGGAAGCGCCTGTGCCACAGCTGTGTAGGTAAAGACCAAAGGGAAGGCAGCCCAGACGCTGCTGACACTGAGCCCGGCTGACTTCCCGTGTCCAACCGTTCTCAGCTCCATCACCCTCAGCTCTGTCACCCTCAGCTCCGTCACCCTCAGCTCCGTCACCCTCAGCTACGTCACCCGTGTCCTCCGCCTTCACTCACACCTGCCACTCAGAACCGAGACGGTCTTCGCACCTCACCACGGCTTATGCCTTCCTCCTAAGGAGACTCAGATGTCCACACTTCAGTTCAAACAGAGTGGCACCCTTCTCCTTCTCCCACGGGGTTCCTCTATTCCCAAGTCTGCCTCGTCTTTCTCCACTGACGCACCTGGAGTCTGGGCTTTTTATTAGAAAGCGGGCAAAGCTGAGGGCCGGTTGTCCCGTGTGCAGCAGGGGAAAACGGGGTGCACTGAAAAATGGGTGGGGGGACCGGAAAAAGGCTCAGTGGGGAGCGGGCTGGCCTAGCACGCAGGAGGCGGCACGGGGGCTGACTAGGAGGATCGCCAGCTCCAGGCCAGCCTGAGGTGCATCACCTGTCTCACATTAACACGAGCAACAGATGTCAGGACAGCGGTGCCCACCCACAATCTCAGCGGTCCGGAGAGGAGGCAGGAGGGTCACAGTCAGGGCCAGCCGGGGCTACACGCAGAGAATGCCTTTCTCAAAATGGAAGAGCTGGGGGATGGCTCAGCAGTGGACACTAAGACCCTGCCTCAAAAGAAAGCAACAACGGGCTCTGGGGAGACGGCTCAGCGGTTAGGAGCACTGGCTGTTCTCCCAGAGGTCCCGAGTTCAGTTCCCAGCAAGGACATGGTGGCTCCCAGCCATCTGTACTGGCATCTAAAGCCCTCTCCTGGTGTACACGGAGACAAAGCGTGCACATACATGAACAGGTAACTCTTCAAGGGAGTTTTTAATATGGAGAGACGCAGCACTTGCGATGCAGAGGCTCACAGAGCTGGAGGCCAGCGCCCGGGCTGCACAACGAGTCCCTGTCTCGAACGACAACAAAACAGCAAGCACGATGCGTCCCATCTGCTGTTGACACTCAGGTGATACACCAGTGTTCCAACTGGACCTGTCCCAGCATCCCCTCGAGGACAGGCGGGGTTGGCAGAGCGGTTGAACTCCCTGGCTGCAAGCGGGTGAGCACTTGGGCACAGAGGAGCCACGGCTGACAAAAAGAGGTGTGTGGAGTTGACACAAGCAGAGCCCTGTGTGGCAATGCCAGCATTGTGTAACAGTGTCTGGAGAGCACACAAGGGTCTACTGTCTTCTCTCCTGTCCCTGCAAGGGAACCGAAGCCAGCGCTGCATGAGCTCAAGAGTTACCTACAAACTGGCAAGTGCCGAGTGCAGTCAGATTTTCCCAGGGGTCTCTGGAGCGATGGAACCTAACGCGGCAGCGCTGACCTCGTTTATTCAACAGGGAACGAGGAGCCTGTGCGGACCTCAGTGGCATCCCATCTTTCCTCTGCAGAGGCCCCATCCCAGCAGCCCTTTCCTACCTCACCCCGTCTGGTCCTCTCCTGCTTGCTGGCCTCCTTGGCCTACCTCTCGTGTGCCAGACGCCCCTCCCTGTGGATGCTCAGCCTCCTCTGCTCAAAGTCGCCAGACTCCAGGCCACAGAGACGGCTCAGTGAGCAAAGACGCTGGCCAGAAAACCCCCAGGGTGGGAGGGAAGAGATGAACTCCTACATGTTGTCCTCTGACCTCTACAACGTACGTAAGTGCAGCAGGGAAAAGTCACCAGTCGGGTTGTAAATGGCTCAGTGGCTAACAGCACTTGGGCTCTTGCAGAGGATCAGGGTCTGGTTCCCAGCATCCAGAGCTCACAAGCACCAACCCTAATCACTTCTAGGCGTCAGACACTCGAGTGGTGTGTGCAGACGCATACGGTAAAGCACTTATAAACATAAATAAATTGCAGAAAAATCTGGGAGGTGTGGGTTGAGACAGTATCCCTGGCTGTCCTGGAACTCTTTTTGTAGACCAGGCTGGCCTCGAACTCAGAGCTCCGCCTGCCTCTGCCTCCGCAGTGCTATGGTTAAAGGCGTGCGCCACCACACTCAGTTTAAATTTTCCATAAAAGCAAGCAGATGGCACATTTAATTAAAAACCTGAGCACACACTTTCCGGCTGGACAATGCTCTCCCTGCTCCATTTTTCACAGCACTCACCGCTCACTGCCTGATACAAGAATACCTTAATGAGCCTTTGCATGCGGGGGGTCTCTGTAGCCCACGCTGACCCTGAACTTCTGATCCCTCCTGAGTACCGGGGTGACAGGCGTGCTGCACTATGTCCAAGTTATGTGGTGACCGGGCTCAAACTCAGGCTCCCCACCAACCCGGCAACACGCCTGGCCTCCAGGGGTGAATACGCTCACTCTGTGCTGCCCACCGTTGTACAGACCAGGACCAGGGCCGACTCACAGGAAGCACTTAACGCACACTTGTGGAACAGCTGAACGAGTGAACAAATGATGCTACACTTGATCCTAGCCAAAGAGCTGAGAGTGATGAGCTACTCCAAGCATCGACGCCCACACCTCCGCTCCAGGTCGGAGTAGGACCTCTGGGTGCCTCCCACATTGTCTTTTACATTTAATGTCTTTTATGTGTGCGGGTACTCTGCCTGCACGTATGTCTGTGCGCCACACGCCTGGCCCTCGGAGGCCGGAAGCGGCTTCCTTGGAAATGCAGTTACACAGGTTGTGGCACTTGGAATCCCCCAGGTCCTCTGAAGGAGCAGCCATGCTCTTAACATTCATTCAGTCAACGTACGCTTGCCATGCGACGTGACGGTCAGAGGACAACCTGTCGGTCAGCATTCTCCTCCACCAAGCGGGGCCCAGTGACCCTTACCCACCGAGCCTCAGGATTCCCAAAGTCACACCCCAAGCAAAATGCACGCTCCCCTCGAGGCGTTTCCACTCTGACCCCGTGGCAAACACACTCTGCTCCAGTCTCTTCCCAACAGTCCTGGGCTTTACCTGCCTGGCCCCCCAGTTCTCCATCCAGTTTCTTCCTTCTCCAGTCTGTCCGTTCCCAAGCACTCTTACAGAACCGGGCATCATGGGGGGTGGGGTGTCACCTGATGGTAAGCAAGGCCTGAGGCTTCACTGTCCCACAATGAAATCGCCAGTCCCTCCCTTTATAGCAACTCCTACATGTTGACACTTCTGCAGACATTACGTCACCACGTTTTTACAACCACCCCAGCCTTGGGTGTCTTCGCTCTCAATGGGTACGTTTGGAGAGATGAGAAACACCTGCCTGAGGTCGGCGTGAGTAAGGGGGAGAGGTAGGAGTTGAATCCAGATCCCCAAACTAAATAAACGGTAAGCGACCTGGTCCTCACACGGTTTAAAAGACAAGCTCGCGGTTGCATCACTTTTGCTGGCCCTCAGTTTCTTTATCTGCAAAATGGGGATAATGACAGTCTGTAGGTCATGGGGTTTTACCAGGCCCGAATTAATCAAGCCATGTGAGGTGTGTAGGCTGCTGACTGGCAGGTTATGATGGCAAATAACATCAGTTTTCATCACCAGTCTCTGGTTAAGGATTTCAGAGGGACTTAAACACCAAACGGTGGCCGGAAGATGCCACAGATCTATGTTTGCTTTTCATTTAAACTTCTCTACAACCCTCAAAAGGCTCTGCGAGCCGGGACTCCTAAGCACAGAGGCCACAAACACGTTCAGGGTTAGAGACGGTCTGATGAGCCTTGTCCCCGCCTGATATCCCTTGACTCAGAACGGAGAACGTGGCCAAGGAGCGCGTGTGCTGGGCACGGTGATGTGGTGGTGGCTCAGCACACATGCTCCAGTCCACGTGTCCATACGGAAACAAAAAGGGTGACAGCGTTGTCAAGAGCAGCGCCTCTCAAGAGCGTGGCTGTCTTAGACTGTCAACCATGACGGTAACAAAACCCTTGACAGCAGGACCCTCGGATGAGACGCGGCCACCACACCAGGGGCAAGCACCTCACGCTCGTCTCCCGCCAGGTTCCCGTCCTGACAACAAAATAAAATCAAAAAAGAAAAAGAGATGTATAGTCACCATTTAAGTGAGCGTGTGGGACGAGGGTGGCCCCCAGAGGCCAGCGGTGTCCGTCCTCTGGAGCCGGGCTTACAGCCCGTGAGCCATCAGTGGGCGCTAAGGACTGAACTCAGCCCTCTGGCAGAGGAATCTGCAGTCTCAGGCCATCTCTCCAGCGCCTTCCTCAAAGTGCTTGTTCCTTTCAAAAACTTTTCTGTTGTCTGTTTTTTGTTGTTTGAGACAGGGTTTCTCTGTGTAGCCCTGGCTGTCCTAAAACTCAGTCTGTAGATCAGGCTGGCTTCGAACTCATCATGCCCAGGGTTAGAAACAGATTTTTCAGGCCCAGCAGAAGCATGTCTTGATCCCAGGACATGAGAAGCAGTGGGGAGGGAAGTATGAGGCGCTTGAGTCCAGCCTGCACCACACAGCGAACCCATCTTAAAGAAAAAATCATAGCAGGGCGGTGGTGGCGCTCACCTTTAGTCCCAGCACTCGGGAGGCAGAGGCAGGCAGATCTCTGTGAGTTCGAGGCCAGCCTAGTCTACAGAGTGAGTGCCAGGACAACCTCCAAAACAATACAGAGAAACCCTGTCTCGAAAAACCAAAAACAGGCTGGGCGTTGGTGGCGCACGCCTTTAATCCCAGCACTTGGGAGGCAGAGGCAGGTGGATCTCTGTGAGTTCGAGGCCAGCCTGGTCTACAAGAGCGAGTTCCAGGACAGCCTCCAAAGCCACAGAGAAACCCTGTCTCGAAAAACCAAAAAAAAAAAAAAAAGAAAAACCAAAAACAGAAAAAAGTCACACACACTCCATTCTCATACCCAAGAAGAAGAAAATGTCTTTAGACCTGCAGAGCTGTGGTTTGGCTTCAGTTAGAACATTACAGAGCACACTCAGAGGCCAGATGTGGGGGTACACTTGGGGGACCGAAACACGACTATCACAAGTTTCAGGCCGGGGGGAGAGAATGATGACCTGAGTTAGATCCAGGGATCCAGGACCCACACAGGAGTAGGAGAAAAAAGACTCCCACAAGTTGTCTTCCGACCTCCACATGCATGATGCCAGGGCCCTGTGTGCCCACACGCCTGCACACAAGAGAAACTAAAATGAAGCCGGGCGTTGGTGGCGCACGCCTTTAATCCCAGCACTCGGGAGGCAGAGGCAGGCGGATCTCTGTGAGTTTGAGGCCAGCCTGGTCTACAGAGCGAGTTCCAGGACAACCTCCAAAACAATACAGAGAGACCCTGTCTCGAAAACCAAAAAAGAAACTAAAATGAAAAAAATTGTAAGCAGTCATAAAGAAATTAAAAACAAAACAAACAAACAAACAAACAAAGCAGTCAGAAATGTCAGCCAGGCTGGGGACATGGCTCAGTTCGTAGGCCTCTTGCCTGGCCTGTAAAAGACCCTCAGTTCAAACCTCAGTACCCTGTGTGTATGTGGTGTGTGTGTATATGTCTGTGTGCATTTTAAGTTAAATGACAGACAGGCAAACAGACAGATGCCAGACTTGATGGTTATCTACCGGGAATTCTTCCATCCCATACGGACAGAGGAGAATAAGGAGTTCAAGACATCAGTTCCAATTTAAGAAAATGAAAGAAACAAAGCCAGGTGGTGGTGCACACCTTTAACCCCAGCATTCAAGAGGTGGAGGGTGGCGGATCTCTGAGTTCGAGTCCAGCCTGGTCTACAGAGTGAGTTCCAGGGCAGCCTCAAATCTGTAGAGAGACCCTGTCTCAAAAACAAAACAAAGCACAAAACAACCAAACAACAACAAAGCCAGTCAGCTGGCAGCTACTTCCAGTGCCCTCCTTAACACCTGCCTCATTCACTGACTGATTTCCTGGGAGAGAGCCAAGGGTCTCACGTGTTCCAGGCAAGCCCTGTACAGCTGAGCTCCAGTCCCTAATCCTTTTGTTAGTAGCCCCTGTGATGCTAATTACTTTTTATTTCTGGGACAAATTGAAAGTTGTCCAGGCTGGCCTTGAACTTGTGACCCTCCTGTCTCAACTTTCCAAGCAACTGGGATCACAGGCCTGAGCCATCAGCTCCTCCAGCTTTGCCCTCTTTATAATGTATGTAGGAAGCCTTCATGGCCGCCTTCTGGCCCTGCAGTCACAAGAAACATGGTCATGACCACCGCTGTCCCGGCTGAGGAAGCGGAGGCCCAGAGGAAGAATTAACCTACTCGGGACTGACTCCTGGGCATCTCTGGGCTTAGGCTCTTCTCTCCTCTGCCCAGGGGGCACTGGGATTTCAACGAGCCCGCTTTGCCGCAGGTGAGTTGAGCAAGCGCTGTCTCTACCGTGGAAGGGAAATCGGTGCAACCTACAGCCAGCTGGCTTGGGAATGAGGCCCGGGGATCCACAGCCCGGGGAGGCCGAGGTGGGGAGGGGCAGCATCACCTGTAGGACCACGGAGATGGTCTTTTCGCCTGCCTTGGCTGCCCGCCACTTCCGGTAAGTGTCGGCCTTGAGAAGGTTTTCTGCACAGTGGGTCTGCAGACAAGAGCGGGAAAGGGGAGGTTCGTTAAATGAGGCTTATTTGAAAAATAAAATAAGTTGCGGGTCGGTGGTGGCGCACGCCTTTGATCCCAGCACTCGGGAGGCAGAGGCAGGCGGATCTCTGTGAGTTCGAGGCCAGCCTGGTCTACAGAGAGAGTTCCAGGACAGCCAGGGCTGTTACAGAGAGAAACCCTGTCTTAAAAGCACACACAAAAGAAGACAACTGGATGAATAATAAGTCTAAAACACTAAGGTAATTTTCGGAAAGCTGGCCGGCCGACTCTCGGCACTTGCACCCCGCCCCAGGAGTCGCCGGGCGCTCCTTCCCCTGACTTCTGCGCGAGTTCCACGGTGGCCCCAAACTTGCCCAGCCGCCCGTCCGTCTGTCTGTCCGGATGCGCGTCCGGCCTCCACCCCGCGGCGCCCTCGGGTGGCCCCCAGGTCCCCCCGCGCCCCCGACGTCCTCGGCCTCCGTCCGGGAGCCCCATGCTCCGCCCCAGGCAGCCCCTCACCGAGTCCTGGCTGCTGCAGGACACGACGTGGCGGAGGCTGATCTCCGGCATGCCCACACCCGTGGACGTCCTCCGGGCCACGGAGTGCAGGACGAGAAGGCTTCCCAGCAGCGGGGACCCCGGGAGAAGGCTGAGGGGCAGCGGGGGGAAGCGCGTCCTGCACGGGACTCAGTGCGCAAGCGCGCGACGCCCGGGCCTTTCAAACCGCGGCGCGCGCCCGCGGCGCACGTCGGCACTGCGCATGCTCGGACGGGCTCGGCGGCGCGAGGCGCCCGGTCCCCTTAGCAACGAGCTTTCCTCCGGCCCCGCCCCTCTGCGGCCCGCCCCGCCGCTCTCGGGCCTCGCCCCCGATGACGTGGGGACCCGGCTTTCCGGGATCCTACCTACGGGAGCCGCCTCAGTGACTGCCGCCCTGCGGGGAGTTTGCCCTGCTCGCGGCACCGTGCGGTCACCAGCCAAACCAAGCCTTAGAAACGCCGCCCGCCCGGGCTCGCCCGGCGTTTCCTCCAGCCTGCATCCCGCTAGCAAGATGATCCCCCTCCACCTGTGGCTGCGGACACGCTCTGTTCCCTTTCTCCCTCCAGACACACACAGACAGACAGACAAACACAGACAGACACACACACACAGGCACACATATACACAGACAGAGACACACACACACATACACAGACACACACAGACACACACAAACAGACACACAGGCACACACACACAGACACATACACAGACAGACACACAGACACAGACAGACACACAGACAGACACACAGACAGACAGACAGACAGACACACACACACAGGCACACAGACACACAGACAGACACACAGAGACAGACAGACACACACACACAGACAGACAGACAGACACACACAGGCACACAGACAGGTACACAGAGACAGACAGACACACACAGACAGACAGACACAGACAGACAGACAGACACACACACAGGCACACAGACACACAGACAGACACACAGAGACAGACAGACAGACACACACAGACAGACAGATGATAGACGGAGATTTCAGAACTTTCTTAGCACCTGACCTGAGACCAAAAGAGGAAGATTTGAAGTAAACCAAAACGCACACTCGAGAGTGAGAGACAGACAGACGGACAGATGGACAGACGGATAACAGATGACAGAAAGCTCTCAGACCCTCCTCAGCTCTTGACCTGACACCGAAAGAGAGGGAGAAAGGCCTTAGACACAAATGACGCCCCATATCCACGCGCCGGCGCGCGGGCTAGCATGCTCCCACAGATGCCTTGGAGACCATTTCTCTCCACCCTCGCCCGTCTCTGTGGCTGACAGGCTCTCTTCTGTCTGGTCCCCGGGAGGGCTTGGAGCCGGACACAGCTCAAATACAGAAGAGCGAGTGTGAGGCAGGCCCACGAAAGGGAAAGGAAAAAGTCTCCAAGGCGCCCGGCCCCCGCAGGACGGGCCTAGACATGCTGGGCGCTCCCAGGCTAGGACCCAACCCACGCTGGGCGCCTCCTTGGGAAAAGAGAAGAGGGGATGCCAGTCTCCAGAGTTGCTCTGCACCCGCAGGGAATCAAGTGGCCAACTCCATCCTTAGGCTTGGGGGGAACGAGGGGAGAAAACATATAAGTAACCTTCTAGGTCCAGGTGGAAGACGACACTGGAAATGGAGACACTTTGGGTCCCGGTGCAGGAAGGGTTGAATCCAAGACGTGCACTTTTCTCGTGGAGGCTGGCTCCGTGGCTCCAACCCGGAGGCTGTGGAGGACTGCCAGGGGTTCTGACCTCAGCTATTTCTCACCCCAGGGTGAAGGTGGGACCAGACCCGCCCTTCCCTGGCTTCCTATAAGGGCACAGGACCCGGGACTGCAGCAGGTCACACACCATGAGGCCGTCTAGAAGACACAGGACCTTCCTGCTGGCTCTCACACTGCTCTGCGCCCTGTTGCGTCTCGGTAAGTGCCAGCCGGACCTGGCCTCCCTCCTGGTGTCTCAGAGGGCATTGAGCAAAGAGAGAGGGGGCGGGAGTCCTTGAGAAATCAGATTTATGAAGGATGCAGGGGGTAAGGAGGAGAAAGCCTGTGTCCCAGACGGCTTGATGGGCCCCAGGAAGGATCTCAGAACATGGCATCTGAATGCGGGGAAATCAGATGAGAGCTGGTCTTTAAGATGTAACCAGTTAGTAAGGACAGAGGTGCCCCTTTCTCTCTGGACTTAGAGGAATTCAGGCCCTCAACACTCCCGAGCCAGCTTCTCTGTCTCTGGGACCAAGGTGGCTGGGTCCCCCCCTCTGTCAGGAAGGAATTCATGCCACTGATCCCTCTGGACCTCAGTCTCCCGCTTTGACTTAGGACACAGACCTCAAAGTCAGGTACCCCTGCCTGAGCTGCCAGACGGCCGTGGTACCTTCAGGAAGGCGAGTTCCACACCCCAAGAACCAGCTGGACCTGAAATCTTACAAAAGCCCCATAGAAAACCCTGCCACGACCCCTCCCTGCCTCTGAGCTCGCTCATAGGACCCTGGCGTCCAAAGTCCTCGAGCCTTGTAATTATTAAGTAAAACAGGCTCTGCGGTGGAGTCATTTCCCGCCCTAGAAGCCACTTCGCTGGCATGGCCACCACTGCTTCCCCGTCGGACAATCCCCTGGACGGTCCTCAGAGCCCAACCCTGAAAAACCCTCCCCACAAGTCATCTCTCCCGAGAGCTCCAAAGCCTGGTCTGCAGACCACCCTAGCCGTGACCACACGCCCTGCCCTCTGCTCGCCCCACTGCAGGGTGCTCGCTAAGGTGCGAAGTGTGCAAGGGCTCGGGTCACACGTGCAGCGGGAAGATGAAGACCTGCGAAGCCGGCAAAGACGCATGCGTGGTTCTCGTGGGCGAGTCGAGCACAAGTAGGAGGGTGTGGCTTCGGCCAAGAGGGCGGGGAGGAAAGGGTACCTCCCTGGTCGAAGAGACCACCCTGTGGGTGGGGGATAACGGGTTACCGGGGAGAAAATCAGACGTGGGAGAGGCGTGGTGTGCTGCCACACGCTGTGGCCAGAGATCCCGAAACTCAGGCTGTGCTGACGCAAGGAGGGATGGGGGAATGGAGCGATGAAGCAGCAGTCAAGAGCACTGGCTGCTCTCACAGAGCATCTCTGTTTCAATCCCCAGCGCCCACATGGTGGCTCACAAATGGTCTGTAACTGAAATCCCAGGGAAATCAGCGCCCTCTTCTGGCCACAACCGGCACCGCATACCTGTGGTGCGCATACATATGCATGCTCGCTAAATACCCATACGCATAAAATAAAATGGGGGAGGGGAGGGGAGCTGGGGGAGGGAAAGAGTCTTGTTTTGTTTTTGTTGTTTTCGAGACAGGGTATCTCTGTGTAGCTTTGGAGGCTGTCCTGGCACTCGCTCTGTAGACGAGGCCGGCCTCGAACTCACAGAGATCTGCCTGCCTCTGCCTCCCGAAGGCTGGGATTAAAGGCGTGCGACCACGGCTCGGCCAAGGACAGAGTCTTTTAATTAAAAATGTTTCTATTCGTAATTACGTATATGGAGGAGGCATTATGCAAGCGAGTACAGTGTCTGCAGAGGTGGGGAGAGAAAATTAGATCCCTCGGAGCTAAAGCTACAGGCAGCTGCGGGACACCGATGGTGCGAGCTTTGGGGCTTCCGGAAGAGCAGTTCCTGTTCTTACATCTCTCCAGCGCGAGGGGAGCTGGGTCAGGGGGAGGCAGCAAGGGAGCTACCTGACGGGAGGAGCAAAACAAGCAAAAACGGAAGGAGGAGGTAAGAGGAAGGGGGTGGAGAGGTAGGGGCTGAGGGGTGGTAGGAGGACCTGGCAGCCAGGTCCAGCTCCGCTATATTAAATAGGCACTCGAGCCATTTGCCCCAGGTTTAAACTTAGCAGGAGGCGGGGAAAGTCCACCTCGCATAGGCACAGGGGTAGTTAGGGGGCTTGGGGAAGGACTTGTAGGCTCAACTGGGTGAAGGAACCGGGCCAGACAAGCAGGGGGCGCTACCTACCAGCCGCTGTGCTGTGCGCCAGGAGCTTTGTGAAGTGGCCTTTCTGAGATGCTATGGGCCAGAGACACGCACGGCTCAGCAGGTAGGAACTCTGGTGTGGAGGACCTGAGATTGATGCCTGACCCCACAAGGTGACTCTTGGCACACTCCCTGGGGCACATGTGCAATACATGCACTATATGATATATATATATATATGACAAAAATGTGATGAAGACTGGTTGGTGCGTATGTATAATCCATGGTCACAGAAATGAAACCCAGGAGAGATGGTGAAAGCATTGCAGACTGTCATCATCTGGTTTACCGTCTCCCTTCAGAGATTCCATAGTATATTTCACTACTTCATCCTTTACACACACACCCCACCAAGGCAGGGTTTCTCTGTGGAGCCCTGGCTGTCCTGGAACTCGCTCTGTAAACCAGGCTGACCTCAAACTCACAGGGATCCCCCTGCCTCTGCCTCCCGACATGCAGAACCAATGCCTGGCTCTCCCTTGCATCTCTTGCAAGGATTTCTTGTCTTCCTTTAGATCGTTCGCCAACCCAGCTGAGCTCTGCTCCGAGCGCTCCATCCTTAACTTCATCGTGTCTTATGCAAACTACTTCTTGCACCTGAGCTACATCGCGGGAAGTCATTGCTTTCACTTGGGGCTCTTCTATTTCTATCTCTGTGGCTTGCCTGGCTTTGCCAGTGGCAGAGCGGCCACGCGAACCGCCTGATGGGTCAGGCATGTAGAGCTGCGGCCCTCCCAGGAGGCTGCAGCCCAAGGGTCCAACAGCCCTGTGACGTGTGTAAGCGTGCGCATGGCCACTCTGTCGGAGATGTCTGAGAGGCACGTTACAGCCAATGTCAGGTCTCAAGTCGGATGCTTCTTCTCCTGCTGTGTCTGCTAATGAACAGCTATCTGCCAACAAACCTGCCGCCACCACTCCAACATGCCAATCAATGTGAAAAGGGCGTGTTTGGAGTCGCCTTCACAGCGTCTGGAGAAGACGAGCTTTCCTACCCCAAAGACAGTCTTTATATCTTCTCCCAAGAGCTCCTTCCCACAGCCTTCATGGCATTCTCAACTCAAGAACCTCTTCCTGCCTGGGCTTCGGTGGCACAGGGCTTTAATCCCAGTACTCGGGAGGCAGAGGCAGGCAGATCTCTGTGAGTTTGAGGCCAGCCTGGTCTACAAGAGCGAGTTCCAGGATAGGCTCCAAAACAATACTGAGAAACCCTGTCTCAAAAAACCAATAAATAATTAAATAAAGTGCCTATTCTAGCCGGGCGTTGGTGGCACACCCCTTTAATCCAAGCACTGGGGAGGCAGAGGCAGGCGGATCTCTGTGTTCTGGGTCACCCTGGTTTACAGAGTGAGTTCCAGGGAAGGCAGGGCTACGTAGTGAGACTCTGCCTCAAAAACATTATTTTATGTGCATATGTATATATGTCTGTATGAGCATGTGAATGCAGATGCCCAAGGAGTCCAGAAGAGGGCGACAGATCCTTGGAACTATAGTAGTAGACTGTTAGCTCCCAGATCTGGGTGCTGGGAACCAAACTTGGGTTCTCTAGAAGAGCAGCAACTGCTCTTAACCACATGAGCTTTCTCTCCAGCCCTACCTAGTGTTTTCTCTCTCTCTTTCTGTCTCTCTCTCTCGTTCTGTCTGTGTGTGTGTGTGCGTGAGAGAGAGAGAGAGAGAGAGAGAGAGAGAGAGAGAGAGAGAGAGAGAGAGAGAGAGAATGGGAGGGAGAGTGATTAATTCCGTCCCCACTCTGCAGAGGGCCGGAAGTCAGTGAGCACCTTCAAGGCTTGCATGAAGTTTAGAGACTGCTACTCCGGCTTCGTATCTACCACCATGAGTCCCAATGACTACATGGTGTCCAACGCCCACTGCTGTCAGAGCGACGGCTGCAACAGTGTCCTGGTGCCCCGTAAGTGCCATCCCAACAACGGTACGCCCGCCCTCCCTGTGACATCTGGCAAGCCCTTGGCTGCTTCGGGCCGGCAGACTCCACCCACCCAGTCCGTGTTCCCCCAGGTTCCGAGGGCGCTGTGTGTGTGTGTGTGTGTGTGTGTGTGTGTGTGTGTATGTGTGTGTAACAATTCTTCCCATCTGCTTTACACTCCCAGCTCCCCAGAACAATCGAACCGAGAACGGCCTGATGTGCCCCTCCTGCATCGCGCCCTTCCAGGAGACGTGCCCGGGAACCCAGGCAGCCCGCTGCGTGGGCCCGGAAACACACTGCATCTATTTTGCGGGCAGTGTGCAGGCTGGTGAGCGGGTGCACGGGCTTTGATGGGTGGAGGGGTGTGTCTCAGAAGTACAGGGCCACACCTCCCCGTTACGGGCATGGGGGGGGGGGGCTTTCGGAGAACTAGGGCGGGGATGTGCGTGCCAGACTCCTGGGCCGGGAAGAGGCTGACCCGGTTCCGAATGTCGTCACAGGCATTATCAACACAAAATTTGCCACGAGGGGCTGTGCCACGGAGAGCGCCTGCCACACCAAGACCGGAGCCGAGGTGCCTTCCGCCTCCTACCTCTACTTCCTGCGCAGGGCGGACTGCGTGCCAGCCCCCTACCCCCCTGGGAGGGGCGAGTGACCGACCCAAAGAGGATGTGACTTGAGGTCCCCATCTGCCCTCAGCCTGCGGCTCTCCAGGCGCCCGTAAAATTAAAACCGATGAACAGAGTAAAACCTCAGGCTTTGTGACCAGGTGGTATCTCGGGAAGGTGGGTGTAAACAGTACGGGTCCCCCGTGCTCGTTTCCGACCCAGTTCAAAAGCAGAGAGGATCCCTGCGTGGTAGCAGGGCTGAGGATCGCGAGTTCAGGACCAGCCCCAACTGGATCTGCATAGCTAGACCCTGTCTCAAAAACAATCAGGAAAAGCACCCAGGTGGTGGTGGCGCGCACCTTTAATCCCAGCCCCCGGGAGGCAGAGGCCGGCGGATCTCTGTGAGCTTGAGGGCAACCTGGTCTACTTAGCAAGTGCCAGGACAGTCAGAGAACTACATAGTAAGACTGGGGGTGGGGGTGGGGTGGGGATAGGCCAGCCCGGGCTACAGGAGAGCCTGCCCTTTGAAAGGGAAAAAGAAAACAAGAAAGTGGTCCTTGCTTTATATTAAGGGGCACCATGCCTGGAACGTTTCCATACCCCAGTAAGCCTCTCTGCGAATGCAGCCATCCAGACCAGACCAAATCAAACCGAATTAGAAAAAGCCCATGTTCAATGGATACAACGCTCCCAGATGGCCTTCCAGTCCCCCAGAGAGGAGATGGGAAAGGGAGACCAGAAAAACCACCAGTCTGGTTTTGGGGGGCAGTTTAAATACCCCCATGGGAGTGGTCTTGAGCATCTCTGGGGTGGGGGTCATCTTTTGGGGATGGAGCTTTCTGAGATGCAGCAGGGTTTGGAGGGAGAGGGGGGAGGGGCTTAGGCGGAACTTCCACCAGAACATCCCAGACTCTTTGGGTATCTGGATGCCAGGGGCTGGCCTCACCATAACAATGCGGATCTCCCACACTAAGTATTTCATATTTTATGATCATGTGATGATCACAGCCCTTGGTTTGTTGTTTCGCAGTTACTGTTTGAGACTCTCATTATGTAGTGCAGTCCAGCCTCAGACTCGCTGCCTCGCCCTCTAGAAATTACGGCGGTGAACAACCCCCGCCCAGCTGAAATTGATGTTATCCCACTTCACGGGGGAAACACTGAGGCGGACTGAGGGTGACACTCGCCTTGACTCAAACAGCTAGGATGGGGGAGAACCCTGACGGGAAGCCGGGTCTGTCACATATTCCAAAGGCCTTGGCCACCTCTCTCTCCCTCACCTCGGTTTTCACGTCTGCAATGGGTGGCTAGGAATAGCGAGAACCTCGGGGTTGTCCTGCGATAAAAAATGCTACTTCAAAAGCACTCCCAGCAGTGGGTACCACCTCTAAAGCCCTGATGGCCCTTCCAACACTGTCTCTGTAAATACTAATCATGGCGGTAGCTGCCACTTACAGAGTGGCCATTAGTTAGCAGGCAGGTGCTAAGTGTTGTCGCCAACCGGAGCAGGCTACATTCCGCTTCAGTAACAATTTGCTAATCCCGGTGGCTGAAAACAGAGGTATATGAGTCAGCTAGTGCTGCAATGATACTGTGTAACAAACCAGCCCCAAACTAAGGCTTAAGACAACAAGCATTCGAAGGGTGTGTGGGTTGGGCTGGGATAGCCCTTCCAGCTGGTTCCACCTAGAACAGGCTCCCCCGTGGACTTCCGCAAATCCCCTGCGTCACTGACTTCCCGGCAGATGTTTTCACCGCATACAGGGCTTGTGTTGTTGTTGAGGATAGCCAATGGTAGTGGCACTCCACTCGTGACTGAGGTGAGTCACGAGGCCAAAGCCAGCATCAACGTGGGAGTGTCACTGGAGGGGGGAGTGTGTATTTGCTGAATGAGCACACGTTCGCAAAAGGCTGGGGCGTTCCTTCCCTCTACAAGTTGAGCATAATCCCAAGAGGGTTTCTGCCCGTTCCAGGCAGGGATCGGCCAATTTCTTTGCCAAAGGGAAGTGCCTGGATATGCCTCACCTGCGTGGTTAAACGCTGTGACCCAGAAGTGACTTAACACTCACAGCTGCATGGATGGAGCTAGTCACATGGCCACACCTCACCAGAGTTAGACTCCTTCCCCGGGCAGAAGGCTGAGAGCTGGGTCATCACAGCAGCGATGACTGTGGCCGCCGTGGCCTTTGAGAGGCAGCCTCACTCTGCACAGTCAGCACTGAGCCTTCTCATCCTTGTCTTAAGGAGATGAGACTTGAGGCTCAGGGGGAGATGTTAATCTGAAGATCACACGGCTCAAGTGTAACAGAGCTTAAGATTTTAGCAGGACTTGATTGACATAGTGCACCTTTAAACACAATGCTTGGAAGGCTGAAGCAGGAGGATAACGAATTGAAACATACCAAAAGCTACATACCAAAAGCTTTGATCAATTTTGCGTCAGTAGTGGGGATAGACCTATGGCCTTAACTATGGTAGGAAGGTGCTCTACCACTGAGCCACACCCCCAGCCCCTCACTGGGGGATTCTAGACAGGGGCTCTACCACTGAGCCACACCCCAGCCCCTCACTGGGGGATTCTAGGCAGAGGCTCTACCACTGAGCCACACCCCTAGCCCCTCACTGGGGGATTCTAGACAGGGGCTCTACCACTGAGCCACACCCCTAGCCCCTCACTGGGGGATTCTAGACAGGGGCTCTACTACTGAGCCACTCCTCAGAGCCCTCACTGGGGGATTCTAGGCAGGGGCTCTACCACTGAGCCACTCCTCAGAGCCCTCACAGGGGGATTCTAGGCAGGGGCTCTACCACTGAGCCACTCCTCAGAGTCCTCACTGGGGGATTCTAGACAGGGGCTCTACCACTGAGCCACTCCTCAGAGTCCTCACAGGGGGAGTCTAAGGAAGCACATCACCATGGAGCTTCATCCCCAGCCCTCAGGTCGGGCTTCTCAGTGTAGCAGTGATGGCAGGAAGCCCAAGGACATCCAGAGAGGAAGTCCAACTCATAATCACTTTTCAAGCTTCTGATTGATTGCATCATGTGTGCTGTTGTCCCAGTGGCTAAAATCCAGAGTGAGGCTGAGAAAGCACGGTCGAGTGCTTGTCCTGAGAGGGGATGAACTTGGGAACAATGGGTCACCCTGGCTCCAGAGTTCAGTTGCTTAGTCATCACAAACTTGGAAGCTTAAAAATCACTAAGTCCACTAGGCATCGGTGGCGCACGCCTTTAATCCCAGCACTCAGGAGGCAGAGGCAGGCGATCCCTCTGAGTTTGAGGTCAGCCTGATCTGCAGAGCGGGTTCCAGGACAGCCAGGACTACTTTTGTCTCAAAAAAAACAAAAGAAATAGAAAAAAAATCATCGAGTTCAAGGCTGGAGAGAAGGCTCAGCAGACAAAAGCGCCTTCCCCAGCACATACCCACACACAAACACTTAAAGATTAATAAATCAAATCTTTAAAAAGACACACAACAGGATTTCTACTCTTTTATTTGTTTCTCTGAAACACGACACAGGTTGACCAGATTGTCACGTTTGTCTCCCATTCCAATAGACAGTTCCTTCATGAGCCAGCAGTATAGGACTCTCCCCTCCTATGTTGAAGAGGGTATGTCATCCACTCACCAAGTTTTGGAACCTGCTCTTGTGACAGCACCAAGACCAAGAGTCACTGCACAGTTGCAGTTCCAGCCTGGAGGGCTGACATTTCCCAGAATCTCTGTGTCCAGGCTCCTGGAGACCCGAGGTGCCTCGTTTGCGTATCATGCGAGCAGCCAGTGGTCTGGCCCACAAGGGAGACTAAGCCTTTTCTATCTGGGGGCTTCCAGAGATGGTTACTTCACTCTCTTCATTACTTACACCCTGGAAAAGCCCAAAATCCTAACGAAAGATTGAGGTACCACACAAGTCGCTCACCCCGGTAATCCCAGCACTTCAGAGGCTGAAGCATGAGTTTGAGGCCAGTGTGAGCTACAGAGTAAGACACCCTATCATGGAGGGGGGGGGACGGGATGGACGGACGGATGGACGGACGGACACGGACGGGACGGGGCTCTGAGCCAAATATAATTTATTCCATAAGTTGCTTACCTCGGGCATCTTGTCACACAAGAAAAGCGACCAGTACACCTTGCTAGGGACCATTTGTTGGTGACTTGCCCAATATTCTCTTAACCCAACTGGGTAGGACCCTCTGTCCCTGGGTCCCGTGTATAGGTCCCCTGTAATCCTGGAGTCACTCCATATCTGTGTTGTCACCCACTGTGGCCACTAATCATTAGCTACCCGATACGTAGCTAATGCCACTGAGAAAAATCAACTTAAAATGTTATTTGTATTTGACTGACACATCGCAGGTTTGGAAAAACCACGAAGCCACGAGGTGGTCCAGGCCTGTGAGTGATCTCAGTTACTCAGGAGGCCAGTCCAGGCAACTCAGTGAGACCGTGTCTCAGAATAAAAGATAAAAAAAAAGCAGGCTAAGGGTGTGGCTCAGTGGTACAGAAACCCATACATAGGTCCAGCATAGAGTGTTTGCCTTGAATACATGAGGCACTAGGTTCAAACCCCAGCATCGGGGGAAGCCTATGAAGTATGAGGCAACACGGGTGTGGGAATTGGGTTCTCCACCTATGAATTCAACTATTTCCAATTAGGTGTGTCACGGGAGCTGAGGCGTGCTGGGTAAGGAACACTACGGCCCTCAGTGAAAAGAACACCGGGCATCTCAATGAGAGTTGGAAAATGGGAGCCAGGTGCTGGGCTTTAGGACGGTAATCCAAGCGCTGGGGAGGCTGAGACAGCCAGAGCTAGCCAACCCCAACATCAGAAGGACTAGTATAGACCGGCCGGGCGTTGGTGGCGCATGCCTTTAATCCCAGCCCTCGGGAGGCAGAGGCAGGCAGATCTCTGTGAGTTCGAGACCAGCCTGGTCAACAGAGCGTGTTCCAGGACAGCCTCCAAAACAATACAGAGAACCCCTGTCTCAAAAAACCAAAAATAAAATAAAATAAAGAAGGACCTAGCATCCAAAGCCACAGAGAAACCCTGTCTCGAAAAAAAAAAAAAAAAAAAAAAAAAAAAGTACCTAGTATCAGGCTGGGTGGCCTGGAGCAGGGAATGAGAAGAGGTAGGGGCCAGACCGCAGAGTTCAGGGTCAGAACAGATTGAACAGTGAGATGGGGCGCTCGCTCAGCTCAGGTCGACCCGCGACTCTATTGTCACTGAGGATGGCCTTAAGCTTCTAATTCTCCTATCTCCCCCTCTCAAGTTGGGCTGGGGGTTGCACGCCTGCGCCTTGACTCTCACGGGGGGGGGGGCAAATCGCATCAGACAGGGGTGGAGCCCGACTACAAACCCCTCCCTCGGAAGCTCTTCCAGCTCTAAGCCTTTCTACCTGACAGGTGCTCGCCTCTCCCTAGCTTCTCCCTTTTTGTAACAAGAAACTGACCGCCTGAAGTCCAGGCCCTGCGCCAAGTGACCAATAAACTAAAACAGTAAATGCCAGGCACGTACCGTGTATCAGGCACCGCTCTGGGTGACAGGGTACACCTAAGGAAAGGACAGGCGCGGGGCAAGAGCCAACCAACAGGTGAATGAAAGAAAGAATGAATAAATAAATAAAGCCATTACTGATAGCGATGTGTACTTACAGGGAAAAGGTAAGGTCAGGGCCAGTGTAAGCCACTTGGGGTGACCAGAAGGCTTCTGAAGCAGCCGCTGCGGGGAGACCTGATGGATGAGGACTCAATCTCAAAAAAAAAAAAATGGGGAGGCAGAGCATCCCACGGAAAACCCAGAGTCCCGAGGTGGGACCCAGGCATCAGAAAGGACAACCCAGGCTTGCTGGAGATCGGCCTGGAATGAGAAGAGGCGGAGCCAGGCCACACAGAGCCTTGCTGTGTCGAGGAGCCTGCGCCCTGCATCTCGAGCCTGCGCCCTGCATCTCGGAGCCTGGCGGTCCCGTGTACCAGGCCCTCCTTTCCTGTTTTTGAAGGACCTTAGGTGGCACTTTCCACCCGCACAGAGCTGACAGCACTGCGGTTTCTGCCTCCGCCCCACCCCTGGCACCTCCCCGCGGCATCAAATGCCTGCTCAGCTGCCTCGTGGGAAACTCTGCCCACCGCAGCATCCTGTGCGGACCAGCAGTCTTGGGGAACCCCGAGGAGGCCACGCGGGGAAGTCTAGGCGGCCACAGCAGGACACCGCTGCCTTTCCAAAACAGCGGGGACGAAGAAGCACTCTGAGAGTTCAGGTCGTGATGACAGAAGAAACCGCGGTAAACTGACGAGAAGCAGGTGTGCACATGCCAGAGACCCTGAATCACCCAGCACCTATAAAGTGGGGGTAGTCACGCCCCTTCCCAGTAAAGCACGGAGAGGCAATTGCCGGAACCAACCCCAGGATACCAGGGGCTCATGGAGGTATTTCTGAAGTGTGGGTTTCTACTCTTCTACACCCCCAAAGATCCCATTCCCAGACTCTGGCCACCAGGAGGCCACCATGCCTAGACCTCTTGTCCCTTCCTTTCCATTTTTTTTTCCCGAGACAGGGTTTCTCTGTGGCTTTGGAGGCTGTCCTGGAACTCGCTCTTGTAGACCAGGCTGACCTCAAACTCACAGAGATCCGCCTGCCTCTGCCTCCCGAGTGCTGAGATTAAAGGTGGGCGCAACCAACGCCCGGCCCTTCCTTTCAATTTCGTAGGACAATGTTCTCTAAGTCAAAGTCTCGCAGAGCAAATGGTGGGCGATCCTACCAGGGGGTCTCCAGCAGACCCCTGATCTCCACGGGATTTCCCACCACCCAGGAATTGACAACCAATGTCCACTTTCTGGGGGGACAACTTACATCTTGTTTCCCTTTGGGACCAAGGGTTCTAACTCCCAATAGCACCAGGCCCACAGCCGTAGGACCACACACAGTCAGGCAGGAATCGAGGCTTCCAGATCTAGGGCCGGGTGTCAGCTGGAAGCCAAGAGGCTCCCCTTTCTAGGAGTCCAGGCCCACAACTCCCTTCACTACTTAAGCATCTGAATAGCAAACTAACAATGCTCAGACCCTTCTCCCATTCAGAACCCAGGAAATCCGGAGACTGTGATTCCAACCAGTCTCCTTCAAGTTCCTGGGATTGAGTACCACCCCTTAGTCTCAGAGGCTGTGGGGCCACAAAGTCACCAGACACCCCAGCTCTCACCACACCCCTCACTGGTTGGGCTCTGGGGGTCCCAGCACCGCCTCAGCGTCGGCCAGCATCTCATCCAGGGCCTGCAGCAGGACACCGTGGGCAGCACGGTAACCCAGCCCACCTGTCGCCGCTGCGCCACCCGCAGGCCATAGGAAGGAGAGCGCGCCCAGCGCCGCGCCTCCCGCGGTGCCCTCGCCTGCCCAGGACCCTAACCTGGCCTCCACCTCGGCGCGAGTCACTGGGCCTGGGAAGCGTGTGCGCGCGGCCAGCACCCCGGGGGCCAAGTTCAGGGCGCGCTCTCGGCGCGCCACTGCCGCGGGTTCGAGACCTAGCGCTCGGCGCCACTCAGCCAGCTGTCCCCGGAGAAGGGCCACGTCGCAAGCCCAGCCCAATCCTGGTATTGGGGCGGCCGCCGCCGCCAGGCTGGCTAGCAGGGCTGGCCTCCACGCTCCTGCCCGCAGCGCCGCTGCCTTCCTCCGCGCCGCGAGGGGACTTGCAGGTGGCAGCGCCAGCAGCAGCGCCCCGGCCTGAGCTGCAGGCAGTGCGCACTGCAGCCAGCTTCCCACCCCTGGGAGACCAGTTGGACGCAGAGGGAAGACAGGTGGCGGCACCTCTTCCAGCACCTCCCACGACTCATCCTCCGGGCTCCGAGCAGCCATGGGCACCGATTCCCCGGAGCTGGGGTTTTCTTTTCCTCGACTGCGTGCATCCCCTGAACTTCCATCGCTTGCTTTGCTGAGCTTCTCGGCCCTTTCTTCTTCCAGAGCCTCCGGGGGATCCTCGCCCAGGCCGTCCGTGCGCACACCGACGAGTGGAGCATCTGCTGACACCAATAAACGGACCTGGGCCCAGTCCTCTTCGGTGGGAGCCCCAGGGGTGACGAGGATCAGGGCATCGTAGCGGCTCGGGTGAGGGGTGGTGGCAGGGGATACGGCCGTGGGGCCCAAGGGAACGGCCCACAGCACCACGTTGGGGCGCTCTGGAGCCCGATACGGGGTGGGCGCAGTGGGATCCGAGGCGGGCGCAGCCCCTGGGTCACCAGGGTCCAGTCCCAGTAGCGTGTCCAGCACAAGGCCTACATTGGCAGCGCCGGCCACTGCCAGGTCCAGACGCGCGCTGCCCAGGCGCTCGAGGCCCGCGCGCACCCACGACAGCGCCGCCTCCAGGCCGCCGGTCTCGAAGGCCTCGCGAACAGCTTCCAGCTCTGCTGCACCCAGCACCTCGAAGCCATCCTGGGCAGGTGGCAGGAGCCTGCAGTGGGTAGGGTTGGGGGGAGGGAGGGGAAAGGTCAAAGACAGGAAAAGCGGGGCTGAGCGAGCAAGGACCTGGCCATAGTTAAATTTAAAAAAAAAATTCTGAATCCCAGGACCTAAAATAAGAAACCAGGTGGGGTGGGACCATAAAGTTAAGAGAGGTCTTAGGGCTACCCAGAGGAGAAGCGGAAAAGGAGGACCCTGTTAAGAATTCCCAATACAGCCCTCAGGACCAGGACTGTATCTGCATATCCGAAATATCCGACATGTGCTGGGCAGAAGTCTTCTAGGGGGTAAGGCTTAGAGGAAGTCAAGGACATTGGCACCTGTGTTGCGGCCTATGGTGTCCCCAGGGGCTTTTTTCCTACGGGTGGATTTAGGAAGGAGGGCATGGGAAGAGAGGCCGGGGTTTTGTCTGCTGACAGTATTTGCGTATGCCCGGGCCTCGTCTCAATTCTCACTGGAGGGGGCTTGTTAATGTCAGAGAGTTTGCCTGAGATAAGACCTTTGTGGCCAGCCCTCCAGTTGACCCTTTAACTAGCAGAAAATGCTCAAAAGGTGAACGCGTTTATGGTGGAGCCTCCTTGATCTCAAAATCCGTGCTCATGGGTGGGTGGGGGTTGGGGGAGGTCTAGGCATGTTAGAATAGAGAGAGCCAATGAAGTCTTGCCTCTAACTCTCGAGGCACAGGGCTGAGAACCTTAAAGACCACGGTGGCTGAGCTGGGTCGAGGCTAAAGGTATCGGGGTCACCGCCCCACCCAGCCTGAATCGTCCCCTCACCTCCGCAGCGCCTCCGCCTGGGATCGCAGCGCCACCTGCAGGCGCTCTAGCTCCTCGCAGCAATCACCGCTGCTGCAATCGGCCGGCAGCACAAAGACAAGCGCAGCTCCCAAGCCAGCGCTGTTCAGCAGCGCCGCAGTCTGATCCCGGGCCTGGGCTGCATTCTGGGACTCTCCAGGACGCAGATTCCTAACGGCCAGCAGCGGAGTCCCTCGGGCCAAGGCGGCCCGCGCTGCCTCTGCCAGAGCTGGGGTCAAGGGCTGCTCCTCGGTCTCCTCAGATCCTGGTAGCACCAACACCAGCAAATTGGCCTCCGCCGCCCAGGGCCCTGGAGCTGCGGGCGGGCAGCTCAGCTCGCCCAGGAAGAGACCCGGGGCCGCAGCTCTCAGACTGGGGACTCCAAAATCCGGCCGTCCTTCAGGGATCTCTACCGTGTCCACATTCTTGTCGCATAGTGCAGCGATCAGCGAGGACTTCCCCGAGCCCGGAGGCCCCAGGAATAAGGCAGTCACGTCACCCTGCGGCAGAGGCATTGCTGGAAAGCAAGAGGTGGGGAAAGACGGGTCAGAGAGCACGCGAGACGTTGTTTTTGTTTGCTCCCTTTTTAAAGAGTCTCACTGTGCAGCCCTGGCTGGCCCGGAACTCAAGAGAGCCTCTTGCCTCTGCCTCCCAGATCGCAGAGATTAGTGTGCACGACTACACCCGGCAACACCCCTTGCCACCGTAGATCCAGGCTTCATCCCTCCAGCCTGTCCTCCACTCCCGTTCTCCGGTGCAGGACCCAGGAACCCAACGCCCAGGGCGGGCCTATCCCCTGGAGAGCTAGAACGCATTTCTCTTCCTATTTCAAAAACTCAGAAATGCGGCTGCCAATCTCTCGGGGGACTCGAGGGTGGCCACCCTCCCCTCTCCCGGTCCCAAATCACCAACCGAGCCGAGCGTAGGCACGCCGGGATGGCAGCGGGAGCCCCGCCCCTTCGGACGAGCCGAAGGCGGCCGACGTCGGGACGCCTTGGGGTGGGTCTACCCTGACGTCATGCCTTCCAAGACCGGGCGTGCCTTTGGAGCGCAGCCGCGGAGAGACGGAGCTCTCTCGGTCCCCCGCTAAGGTTGCTCCCGCACAGGCACAAAGCAGCCCAGGCGCGTGCGCAGAAAGCTGAGGGGCGGAGCCCCCACCACCGCGACCGGCAACCAAAACGCCTGCGCAGTGAGTTCAGGCTGGCGCGGCCGCCATCCCGAAGCGCTGCGCCGGCGCAGTGAGCCTCGGCCCTGCACCGAGTGCACGGCTGACGCCATCAGCGCGCCCTCCGGTGCAGGAAGGACCTGTCCGCCTGCCTGCCGGTCCCGGCTGGCGTGACTGCGCTAGTGCCGCACGGCAGCCTTGCACCCGGCTCGGGGACACGCGTGGGGCAGCAGGCACGGAGGTCACCGGAGTCCGCAGACTGGGAAGACTCTGCCCGGCTCTCCTGGGGGCAGCGCTGTGGCGATCGGCTGTCAGGCGCCGCCGAGGGGCAGTCCTCTCTAGCCGCCAGGCAGAAAGCCCGAGGGCGTCGCGAGCTGGGGTGGGGAGAAGGCAGCGGGGGGCTGGGGGGGGGACAGCGCGATCCCCAGAAGAGACGGAAGCGAGCGTGGGCGGCGGTGGCTGGGGTGGAGGAGGACGCACGGGTGTCGGGGAGAGACGTGTCCTGGGAAGGGGCGGGCTGAAGTGTCTGGACCCACGCGAGGAATTCGGACTGGGCTGGTGTGAGCGATCGAGGCCTCCACCTTCCCAGGGGTCTATTTGGTGAGGATCGGAGGTCACAGGGGCTTGGGGACCGAAGAGTCACAAACCCGAGGCGTCTCCCGTGTGAGACGACGGGTGAAGCTTTTGTAGCGAGAGTGTCAGAGTTCCGTGGGTGTCAAAAGATTAACGCCCTCTAGGGCTGGTGACACATGGGCAGCCTCGCCCGCTCTTTTTTTCTTGACCACCACATAGGGACCTCTCTGTCTCAACGCCCCGCCCCGCTGGGTACGGCAGAAGCAGGTGCCACTCAGAGGGAGAAGGGGCTTCCAGGTGAGGCTTGGGGTGTGGCAGTGCGACTGGGGACATCTACTGGGAGTGAGCCCCCAACGTCCGTGTCCCAACTCATCCCTAGGCTCTCAGTGTGACTGGGCTTCAGTTTCTCATCAAAACGGTGCAACAGCCGGGCGGTGGTGGCGCACGCCTTTAATCCCAGCTCTCAGGAGGCAGAGGCAGGCAGATCTCTGTGAGTTCGAGGCCAGCCTGGTCTACAGAGTGAGTTTCAGGACAGCCAGGGCTGTTACACAGAAAAAAACCTGCCTTGAGAAACAAAACAAAACAAAAAAAGTCCTCTATTATTTTGTGGTACAAATTAATTCAGGGGTCTGGAGAGATTCTGGGGGTTAAGTTGCTCTTAGGGAGGAGTTGGGTTTTGTTCTCAGCACTTGAATAGTGGCTCAGGACCATACATAATTCCAGTTCTAGGAGATCCAATGCCTTCTTCTGACTTCTTCGGGCACCAGGCATGTACTCAGTGCACATACATACATACATACATACATACATACATACATACATACATGTAGCCAAAATATAATAAAAAGTATAAAAATAACCAAATTCAGGAATTTGTGCACGCTATGCAGGTGCTCGCCCACTGAGTCATGTCCCCCAGCCCCTCACTGGGGGATTCTAGGCAGGGGCTCTACCACTGAGCCACACCCTTAGTCCCTCACTGGGGTGTTCTAGGCTGGAAGAGTATTAAAGGGGTTTCTAGGGCTGGGTGGTGGTGGTGCACACCTTTAATCCCAGCATTCAGGAGGCAGAGGCAGCCCTGGTCTACAGTGTTTCAAGACAACCAGGGCTACACAGAGAAATCCTGTCTCAAAAAAAAAAAAAAAAGAAAGAAAGAAAGAAAAAGTGTGTGTGAGAGGGGGTTGGTTATAGGATTGGGCTCATGTATGGTTTTTGGAAGAGTTCAAAGAGTATTGATTGCTGAGGTTTGGATGTTGCCAGAAAGCAGAGGCATCCATGATTGGATTCCCCCCCTTTTACTGTGTTTTTCTGAGGCAGTGTCTGCAATTAAGTGCTCCTGAGACCGTGACAAGTAGCTCAGACATCTGGGAGTCAAATGTGTATCCCTGACTGTCCTATAGACCAGGCTGGCCTTGAACTCTGAGACCCACCTGCCTCTGCTTCCCAAGTGCTAGGACCGAAGGCTTGCGCCACCACGCCTGGCAATGACTGTATTTCTTACAAGCCTGACCCTGGAGAGGGAGTGGGGCTGAGGCTGAGTTTGGTACAGCCGCAGTCACTTGCGCTACCCAGTCACGCTCATGGCTTGGGCAGTATCCATTCTTGTCTGTCTCCCATCATAGCCTTGTCTCTAACTGATGTTCCGTGAAATTGCATCCGTTCCCTAGACAGAGGCCTAGCAGTGTCAACTCCCAGATGTCAGGGCTGCTTGTCACCGTCTCAAGAGCGGTAACTGCTGACATTGTAGCATTACTGTGCAGTTGCTACGATCAAGACCCTAGTTTTTGGATGTTGAAACGTCATCCTTGCCTGGAAAATGGAGATTCACCTCAGGCGGGGTCTTAATCACTGTGTACGATGCTTCGTCGAACCGGCAGACTGTGGTTCTAATGCTGGCTGCACCCTTTCAATTCTCTGTGCTTCAGTCTGCCCTTCCACACGCAGCAGATTACACACACACATACACTCACACTCACTGCATACACACACTCACACTCACTGCATAGAGTGGTCACCGGTGGCCGCTGACACGGTTCCAAGGCCCAGAACAGAGCTTGGAGATGGAGATTCCTCCTGGCCTTCCCCCTCTCCTCTCCCCGTATCCCTCAGGCCACCTAGAGGTTCCACAGTGCACCCACGGGAACATCGCCGGATGGGAGAGCACTGGGAAGACTTTGTGATGCCGAAGGGGCAAGCGGCCCTCTTCATTCTTCAGCTGTGCGAGCTCATTCCTCCTCCAAGGCCCTGATGGTCCAGCAGCCCAGCCACAGTCCTGCCGCCAAGCCCCAGGCAGCTTGACCAGGCCCATGATGCACACACCACCCCTGGCTCCTCTGCCTGGACTGAGTGTGGTCAGGACTTTACCCAGAAAGCTGGGCTCCATCCACACCACAGCGGGCATGTTTAGGGGCGCTCTGAGTAGTCACGAGCCCCCTCGGCAGTGACTGAGCTCTACAGCTGGGGATCTACCTGTGCCAGGAAGGCACAAAACGAGTGTCACATCTGCAGGTTTCGGAGAACATAGGGTCTTTCCAGAAGCAGAGACGTCAGATAAATAGATGTGTTGAGAAATCGGGAAGGAAAAATTATTCCTCTCTCATTCCCAGTTAAATAGCTTCAGATTCTATAATCACCTTTAATTTCTCCCAGATGGATGCCAGGGGCTGCAGGAGGAAATTGTCCTGGCTCTGTGCCGCGGTGGGGGCGGGGAAGTGAGGTACCGCTAGCCTGCAGTCTGGGTGAGTTGTCCCAGACCTGCATCGGGCCTTTGGGGATGGGGAATGAGCTGGACCCTGAGGTCCTGGGGGCGGGGGCGGCGTTACAGTCTTAGAGCCCGTCTCCTCCATCTGGATGCCAGCTTTCCCTGACTCAGGGGCAACGGCTCTGTAAGGCGCTACCCATTGCCCGATAATTTCCACCCTATCTTTACCACCTTTGTGTACCATTCTAGCGATGGGTTATTTTTAGATGCACAAATGAGGCGCCATGAGCAAACCATGAGAGGGGGTGTCTGAAAGCCAAACATCCATGTTACGGTATCTGAAGAGGGAGGAGCCCTGACTTCTGAGTGGGAACTGCCAGAGACACTTGCAAGCCGGGAGAAGGGGCACAGGGCAGAGCTGGCCAGCCCTGCACAACTAGGTCGGAATCAAACAGAGATGCCGTCTGCTTTGTCTTTTACTTGGCCAACACTGAGATTTCCTGTGGAGGCCCTCCCTGTTTTGGGATCTCCTGAATGGTCCGAGGAGGAGGCTGTCTAGGGATAGAGCAGTGAGTGTCATCCTTGCCCTAGGAATGAGTCCCAGTAAGCCTGTGTTATCCCTGAGGAATGTTTTTTTTTAAATTTGTTTATTATGTATACAGTGTTCTGTCTATATGCATGCATGCCAGAAGAGGGCACCAGATATCATTACAGATGTCTGTGATGGTTGCTGGGAATTGAACTCGGAATCTCTGGAAGAGCAGTCAGTGCTCTAAACCTCTGAGTCATCTCTGCGGCCCCCCCGAATGATTTAAAAGCCCAAAAGTGGCCTTTAGGTGGTAGTGCACACCTTTAATCCCAGCACTCAGGAGGCAGAGGCAGGTGGATCTCTGTGAGTTCGAGGCCAGCCTGGTCTACAGAGTTCCAGGACAGCCAGGGCCGTTACACAGAGAAACCCTGTCTGGAAAACGTAGTAATTATCCCTGTCTCTCAAGTTTTAGTGAACCAAACACTTTCCCTTGCAGCTGCCTGCAGCACTGTGACTGAGTTCTGGTTAATTCCCCAGGTAGAGTCCCCAAGTTTGGAAAAGAGGCTTACCTGTCCTGTCCCTTTCTATGTGGAATGTGGGCGTGGCTACCCAGCAATCTTCACCAAGGAGTCAAAAGCAAGGAAGAATGGCCAAGCAACAAGACAGCAGGAGCCTGGGCACTGTCACCGTCACAGAGCATTGCTACTATGTAACTGAGAAACCAGAAACTTCTGTCTTAGTTAAGCCGCCAGTATCTCAGGTCCCAGTCACGCACAGGAGAATTCCCGTTCCAGCTCGTTGCTTGGCTTCTCGGTTTTGGAGCGCGTGCGCGCGCGTGCACACACACACACACACACACACACTTGGGCTCACTGAGTTCCTTACTGCCTGGCTGCCTAGACGTTAGCAGAAGGCACACCACACCAACAGAGACCCGAGGCCCTGCATCATTTGACCTTTTACAGCAAGTGCCGGCCAGCCCTTGTCCAGCCCCTGGCTTCACCTTCTCCCGCCCAGTCTGGACAGCAGTTCTCACATGGAAATGTCACCTCCGGCTGGTTTGTGGGATGCGTGACAGCGCTAGCCTGGAGCTTTTTCTGGGGTGAGTGGGGAAATGGGCATGCAGCCATTTGGCACCTGGTGAAAGCCCCGTTTCTGCTCCAGGTGTTCCTCCAACCCCCACATCTGCTTCCCTAACGCCAAACTGATAGATGAAACCTCATGTGCTCTCCCAAGATGGTGGCCTGGTCAGGTACGCGCCTCACACCCCTCAGAGGTCAAGGTTGCCTGGACTGCATGGCGTCAGTGGTGGTCTCCTAGCTTACATCTACAGACGTCATGGATGAGATACAGCCACCTGAGTGACGAAAGGCGTGAAATGGGTTGGTGTGGTTTCTGTGGTCTCTTGCCAGCCCACTTGTCACCCTACTGGCGAGCTAGCTGTGCACTCTACCGTGTTCTGGCAAATTCCCATGCAGCCAGACTCCTGGCTGGTTCTCTTCCTACCACACCCACTTAAGTCTCTGCTACAGACACATCACCTTATGCATCCGATGGTACCCTACACGCAGCATCTCAAAACTCCATCACCTCCCTCCCAGCCATGCAATCAATTTTCTAGCCACATGCCTGGGCTCTCCCCAGGACCTTTACCTGTCCCGTGAGCGGCTCCGTCACCACAGGTCTCTGCTCTCGACCCTTGACCCCTCCTAAGAGAAGTCCCAGCCTGCTCAGCTGAGGGACTTGCCCTGGTTTAGCCCTTACCCTAGTTTCTCTGCAGCACTCGTCAGGGCCTGGAGTCGAAGTTTTGGAGCGAATGCTCTATGTATCTCAACTCAAGCTCCTAGAGATAACAGCGTGTTTCCAACCCTCACTACCTCGCCCCCCCCCCCCCCCGGCGTGGGGGATGCAGGCTCAGCTCAGCAGGCACTCTCGACTGTGCCATGGTTGCCTCAGAGCTTCAGCTGGAGGCCAGCCTTCCAAGGGGCTCGATGACACTAAGGCTTTCTGCAAACCACCAGGCATGCTTCAGTTCTGAGCTCCGGGTGAAGACAGGGTAGGATGCGGTGAGAGCCCAGGAGGGGCTGAGGTAGCCCACCTCGCCAGCAACAGTGGAACTCTGGGGTGTGTGAGCCCAGGAGGGGCTGAGGTAGCCCACCTCGCCAGCAACAGTGGAACTCTGGGGTGTGTGAGCCCAGGAGGGGCTGAGGTAGCCCACCTCGCCAGCAACAGTGGAACTCTGGGGTGTGTGAGCCCAGGAGGGGCTGAGGTAGCCCACCTCGCCAGCAACAGTGGAACTCTGGGGTGTGTGAGCCCAGGAGGGGCTGAGGTAGCCCACCTCGCCAGCAACAGTGGAACTCTGGGGTGTGTGAGCCCAGGAGGGGCTGAGGTAGCCCACCTCTCCAGGAACAGTGGAACTCTGGGGTGTGTGAGCCCAGGAGGGGCTGAGGTAGCCCACCTCGCCAGCAACAGTCCAACTCCAGCACCTTTCTGTACTCAGCACAGGAGCCACTGTGGCCCTCTTGAGGTGGGAGCACCAGCCGCACAGGCCCCTACCCTCCTGCTACCCCAGTCAGTCCTACAGTGGGACATTCTATTATTTTTATTTATTTATTTATGGTTTTTCCACATAGGATTTCTCTGTGGCTTTGGAGGCTGTCCTGGAACTCACTCTGTAGACCAGGCTGGCCTAGAACTCACAGAGATCTGTCTGCCTCTGCCTCCTGAGTGCTGGGATTAAAGGTGTGTGCCGCCAACTATTTTCTAATTTTTTTTAATGTGCAATGATTGTTTTGCTTGCATGTATGTCTGTGTGACGATGTTAGATCTTGGAGTTACAGACCGTTGTGAGCCACCATGTGGATGCTGGGAATTGAACTCAGGACCCCTGCAAGAGCAGCCAGGACTCTCAAGCACTGAGCCATCACTACGTCCAGGGGATTTGCTTTCATGTGCACCAAATGCTTGCCTGGTCCCCCTGGAGGCCAGCAGAGAGCACCGGATTCCCTAGGAGTAGACTTACAAAGAGTTGTGAGCTATGATGTGGGTTCTGGAAACCAAGCCCGGGACTTCTGCAAAAGTACTTTGTACCCCCTAGCCCGAAGTTGCCCAGGCTGCCCTTAAACTTGCGGCCCTCCCGCCTGGGAGTCTGGAGTAGCTGGCATCACAGACAGGCCTGTTTCTGCAGGCCTCCCCTCCCCCCTTTCCCAAATTTGAAGTCAGAGCACTGCCACCTGCACCTGTGCTCAGGACCTGAGACACGGTGTCCTTTTACCAGCTGTCTGTGCACTGTGGTCACGGGTATGTCCCCCGGAGTTAATTCGCTAGGCTCATTAAGACTCAGCACGACTTTAGAGAAGTGGTTCTCAACCTGTGTGTGTGTGTGTGTGTGTGTGTGTGTGTGTGTGTGTTCAAACAGCCCTTTCACAGGTCACCTAAGACCATCAGAAAATGGAGAGATTGCTCAGCAGTTAAGAGCACTGGTTGCTCTTCCAGAGGTTGTGAGTTCAATTCCCAGCAACCACATGGTGGATCACAACCATCCATAATGAGATCTGGCGCCCTCTTCTGGCCTGCAGGGATACATGCACACACATAATAAATCTTTTTGAAGAAGCGACGTTTACGTTATGATTAATGACAGAACAATGGCTATGAGGTAACAGTGAAAATGCTATGCTTGGGGGTCAACATTAGGAAGGGCGACGGCGAATCTCAACCTGACTGTACGGAGGACAGCCTAGGCGTGTAAAGTACAGCATAAGTGTGTCTGGGAAGCTGTTTCCAGACAAGATTAGGGGAGACGCACCTGAACGTGAGCGGTACCACCATGCTGGCCCTGGATACGGATAAGGGCTGAGCCATTAGCAGAAGAACAGCCTCTGCTCCTGACCCCATGACATGGCTGGATCTGCTCCACCACAGGCCCACAGAGCCAACCACTTTCCTCCCTTGAGAGGCTTCCTCAAACAGAGCCAACCAGGGCACACTGAAGCGTGTCTGACCTTGGCCTTCCTAGTCTCCAGAACTGTAATAACTTTGCATTCTTTAATCGCCCAGCCTCAAGCACTGTTATGGCTGCACAAGTGGACCGAGATGCCTTTTTCGTGAGTATGAATTTGTTGCCAGTTCTCAGATGCTCAGCTATTATCAATTATAGGAAGAGTGGGTTTTTTTTTTTTTTTTTGGTTTTTCGAGACAGGGTTTCTCTGCATTGTTTTGGAGGCTGTCCTGGAACTCGCTCTGTAAACCAGGCTGGCCTCGAACTCACAGAGATCCGCCTGCCTCTGCCTCCCAAGTGCTGGGATTAAAGGCGTGCGCCACCAACGCCGGCTAGGAAGAGCGAGTTTTAAAAGACATTTTGGGGACTGGAGACATGGCTCAGGGGGTAACGAGCACTGGCTGCTCTTCCAGAGGAACCGGGTTCAAATCCCAGCAACCACATGGCAGTTTACAACTGTAGCTCTGTTCCAGGGAATCTGACGCCCTCACATGCAGGCAAAACACCAATGCACACAAAAAAAAGCTTAAAAAGTAAAGAAATTTAAATAAACTGCAAAGGACACTTTGGTCTGTGAACTTTCAGGTACGGTGGTTGACAGGCCTGATGATTGGAGTCTCACCCGGGAACACAGTGGGAGAGAAAACAAGATGTATACACACACACACACACACACACACACACAGAGCCTTTTCAAAGATTTTAAACCATGTGTGTGGACAAGTGAGGCCAGAAGATGGCATAGCTTCCCTGAACCAGAGTTAAAGGCAGTTGCCCTCTGATGGCAGACTCCCAGTGAAGGAGCCTGGCTCCTGTCAGCCCCAGCCTGCAGTCTCCTACATTTACAATGCAAAGCTCCCCGCTGAGGCCTCCAGGTGAGGACCAACAGAAGGGCCCCTCCCCGGGAGGTGACCTCTACATGGTGAACCACTGACCATGAAGACTGTGGGTTCGACAGTCTAGGTCTATACTTCTCTCTCTGTGGCCCTGGCTGTTCTGGAACTCGTTATGTAGACCAGGCTGGCCTCAACTCACAGAGATCCTCCTGCCCGACTCCCGAGTGCCAGGGTCAGAGGTCTGTGCCACCACGCCCAACGAGATCTCCATTTTCCACAGCTGCCAGAAAGCCCTGCCTTTGCGACATTGCTCGCCTTTGGCGGAGCTGGTGTGGAGAAGGGCCGTGGCTCTGGCAGACCAGACCCAGCCTGTGAGGCATGGCTTCTGATTCAGCGGTCAGAAAATGCAGGCTCTGCTTCTTAATGGCCACGGACACTTCCCACCTGCTCAGGCTGTCCCCGTTGTAAAGGGCTGGAGTAGCTCAGTCCGGAGCGACTGTCTAGCATGGGCGAGCAGTCCCCGGCACTGCATAGGTGGGCTGGGGGTGGGGCTCACACCTGTGATCTCAGCACTCCGTGGGGTTAGGGAGGTGTTGTGTTCCAGGACAGCATGGGCCATGAGACCCTGTCTCTGAACAGAAGTAAAACAAATGTCTGTAGAAACCAGCCCCGTGGGAACTGAGGGTGCAGCTCAGTGGTTGAACACTTACCTATTATGCACGGGGATCCTGGGTTCAATTCCTGGTAGCGAAAGCTGCCTGGCCCCTGCTGTCACCGGGTCTCCTGGAGTCCTCCGCTCCCCCTCAAGTGTCTCAAGCGGGGCCCTACCTCAGACTCCCACAGCTCTCCCTCAGGCGACCCTGGCCACAGTTTATCTGTCGCTGAAGTACTCACCTTCAGTCTGATTCTGCAGCCCAGGCTGGCCTTGAACTCCTACTTCCCTCCAGAAATGCTGGGATTACAGGAATGTGTCATCATGCCTGCCTCCATTTTCACGGTCTGTCTCAAACAAGCTTCCAGTCCCCATCAGGACATAACCCTCAGGGGCTCAGGCAGGTCTTGGCAGTGCTTGTGCAGCTCCCCTGAGCCCCCCCACCCCCAGAACCTCACAAACCAGGAGACAAAGCAGGAAAACAGAGCTGTTTGAGGCGAGCCTGACACATAAACCTAGTCTCAAAACAACAAAAAACCCAGGGCCTCTGTTCACCCAGGCGCGATCTCCACATGGTTCACTGAGAGCTCGGTCTTCCCAATGCCATTCTGTCATTCGGGTCCTATTTATTCCGAGAGGCTCCTAGCTTCTAGGAGCTAACGCGTGTGTAAAGTGCTTCAGAGTAGGGGTTGGCAGCAGTAAACCCTTGGGAAATGGGAGCTATCAGCATATTCAGCCTTCTACTTTTTGTTTGTTTTTTGAGACAGGGTTTCTCTGTATTGTTTTGGAGGCTGTCCTGGAACTTGCTCTTGTAGACCAGGCTGGCCTCGAACTCACAGAGATCCTCCTGTCTCTGCCTCCCAAGTGCTGGGACTAAGGCCTCACTTCTTTCTTAGTGTCTGTGTACTGTTTTTTTGAGACAGGGACATTACTCTGTAAGCCCAGGCTAGCCTTGAACTCTCTCAACAGCCTGTTCTGAGCTGGAATCACCTGCACGGCATGGTGACACCCAGTTTTCAGAAGGTTGTGTGTGACGAGTGGGCCCTCTGCTGTCCTCAACCTTGGGAACCTCAGTCCCCAGCCGCCACTCTGGCCTTCCTAATCATCCCAGGCGGGCGCCTGCCTTGTCCAGCCTAGAGAATAAACAGTTCACTCCACGCACAGCTGCCTCCCTCCCGTTTCCCTCCCGGGCAGAATTAGACTAAAACCACAGTTCTTTGTGCTCTTTAAATGGGGCCCACAGGTTCATGTATTTGAATGCTCAGTCACCAGGGAGCGGCAACTGTTTGAAAAGAGTAGAAGGTGTGGCCTTCTTGGAGGAAGTGTGTCTGTCTGTCTGTCTGTGGGGGGACGTCAAGCCCAGTGTCTGTCTGTGACTTCTGCACCGACCTGCAGCACCCCGCCCACCCGCCCGCCATGGTAATGATTAACCCTCTCAGCAGCAGGCCAGCCCCCAATTACATGCTTTCTTTTATGTCTAAGATCCCCTCCTACAACAGTTTATCCTTCTCGTTTTCACTCTACGGCATTTACCCCACCTAACATACGATGCCGTTTTCTTCCTGTATCTCCAGTGTCAACCCCACAGGGCCCACGTCAGCTCTATGGCTAGCTAGCTTACAACAGCCTGTATTCCAGGGAATCTGACGCCCTCTTCTGGCCTTCTTGGGCAACACACACACACACACACACACACACACACACACACACACACACACACACACACACACACACACACCTATTTGTGGTCATGCACAAGGGCAGGACAGGGTTGCTGGGATCACATCACAGTTCTACTTTAGTGTGAATTCCTGAACTCTGACTTCAAATAGATAAAGCCCGTGGCCAAGTGATGCACGCAGGGAGAGCTCGCTATCGCGGTAGTCCTCTTTGTAGGAGGATCAGGGATGCCTTGGTAGACCACTCATGGCCTTTATGGACCCTGCGAAACCCGTCCTGCTCTGAGCAGAGCGGCTTGGGCAGCTAGCCTTTCCTAGGCTTCTTTGCAGCTGGCCGTAGCCATGCAAATGGCTTCCCAGCAGGGGCGCTGTGGGGAGAGCGGCCCCGAGCTGCTGGCAGGCAGACTCTCTGTCCTCTACCAGTAAGCCAGGCAGGACACCCAGCATGGCTCATAGGGGTGGTTTCAAGCTTCGGGGTGGCCTGAATCCCAGGACTCCTAAGTGTGGTGGCTTTGTGCCTGTGATTCCAGCACCTACGCAAAGGCAAGAAACCCAAGTTCAAAGCCAGCAGAGCCCTGGCTCAAAGGAAAACGACGCCAAACAAAAAGGGTTGGGATGTACCTTGCTAACACGCTCAAAGCCCGGGGTCCAGTCCCTAGCACCACACAGAATCAGTCACAGTGGTGCCTGCCAGTCACCCAGACTCAGGAGCCCGAAGCAGAGAGACGCTGGTGTAGACCGCACTCACCGTGTTCAGTCACACACATGCATCACAACACACACAGAATCCGGCTTTATTCCGCCCTTCACACATCTACCGCTAAGACGACACGCACTTGCGGGACCCCCAGCCCCAACCCCAGCTTCCTCAGCCCTTGCTCCCACCCCTCCACGGGGCCCCTGGTGGCCCCGCCTAAACCTCACCGCGGGCATGCAGCATGAAGTGGCCATGCAGCTCCCCGAGGTTGTCAAAGGAGTCCTCACACTCCGTGCAGTGGTAGGTACCCCCCTCCTCCTCGTCCTCATCGCCATCCCGCCCTGCTGGCCGGCTCTCCCCAGTGCGACACGGCTCCTCCTCTTCCTCGCCCAGAGCCCTGCCTTCAGGGGCTGGCGCTTCCTGGGTGGCTGTGGCAGGGCAGCAGAGTCGGCAAGGCGGGGTCCCGGGTGTGGCCTCCGCCAGCGGGGACCGGCCGCAGAGCTGGCAGGGCTGTGCAGGCGGGCCAGCAGGCTGAGCCGCTCGGGGGGCGCGGCGAGACGGCCCCCCTCTGCCCCCTCCGATGCGCTGTTTCACCTTATAGCCAGGGTCATATTCGGGGTCGTCAGTGGTCTCCTCCTCCTCCTCCTCCTCCTCTTCCTCCTCAGAGTCGGGCTCTGAAAGAGTGTACTCAGAGTCAGAAGAATGCTCCGGGCCTGTTGGGGCAGGTAGGAGAGACATGGCATCAGGGCTGTGTCCAGCTGCCCCCTCCAGCCCCTTCCAAACTCACTGTATGGGCAGGACAGCTGCAATGTGTCTGTGTGTCTAGTAAATGAGTGTCATCTGTCATCTGCCATGCTAGTACTCGAGGAGGCCGAGGCAGGAGGATCACTGCAAGCTCCAGGCCATCTGGTAGAGAGAACGAGACACTGTCTCAAAATAAAAACGAGACAAACAGATGGGCATCAGCAGTGGGGTAGACAGCAAAGTGTGTGCTCACCCAGCTTCACTGCAACATCTGGACCAACGCGGAAACCAAGGCACAGAGCAGGTACGGGACTCACCTACAGTCCCACCGGCTACCGCAGAGAGCTAAACATGGCAATGGCCTGCGCTGGACCACTCCAGGAAGACAGGCATGAGAATAGGCAGCTAAGTAGTAAATTAAAATATAGTAAATGAAATAAGAAAAACGGTTTCCCCATTTGTATATGTGCACATGTGCACGCAGAGACTTGTGTGTTCTACAATACTAGTTTATGGGGCTGCAGAGACGGCTCAGCAGTTAAGAGCACTGGCTGCTCTTCCAGAGGTCCTGAGTTCAATTCCCAGCACCCACATGGTGGCTCACAGCCATCTGTAATGAGATAGGGCGCCCTCTTCAGGCCTGCGGCATACATGCAGGCAGACCATTATATGCATAATAAAATAAATCTTGAAAAAAGAATATTAGTTAACAATATGTTACATTCATTTATGCTGTGGAAATATTTGCTTAATGATTCAAAGAAGTGTTGCATTTGTTTAATTCTGTAAAGCCATGTTACTTTGCCTGTCTGAAACACCTGATTGGTCTAATAAAGAGCTGAATGGCCAATAGCAAGGCAGAGAGATAGGCAGGGCTGGCAGGCAGAGAGAATAAATAGGAGACATCTCGGAGAGGAGGAGGAACAAGAGAAGGAGGGGCGGAAGGAAGTCAAGGACCAGCCACCCAGCCAGCCAGAGGACAGAAAGACAGAATGCAGAGAGGTAAAAAGCCCAGAGGCAAACGTAGTTAAAGAGAAATAGGATAAGTTACGATAGAAAAGCCTGCTACACACAAGCCAGGCTAACGGGCATTCGTAAGTCTCTGCATGTATCTGGGAGCTGAGTGGCAGGCTGCCAAAGGGTTAAAAACAGCAACACCCGTGGCTGTGGAGAGGCCAGAAGTCAACACTGGTGTTTTCTTTATCACCTGCTGTCTCTGTCTTTCACATGTGGTCTCTCAGTGGCCCCAGGGCTCACCAATCTGAGCAATCTGACAGGCCAACCCTAAGACCATCCTGCCCGTGCCTCCAGCAGTGGCATCCTAAGTGCAGATACTACGCTTGTTTTTTTTTTTTTTTTTTGGCTTTTGAGACGGAGTTTCTCTGTATTGTTTTGGAGGTTGTCCTGGAACTCACTCTGTAGACCAGGCTGGTCTCGAACTCACAGAGATCCGCCTGCCTCTGCCTCCGGAGCACTGGGATTAAAGGCGTTGCACCACCACTGCCCACTGTCTGCTGTGGGAGCCCCAGGGCCGTGGCATCTGTGCCCAGGTCCCTCCGCAAACCCGAGCCAACCCTCAGTGTCCACTGCGCATGCCCTCCCAGTCTCAGGGCTGTCTCACTGTCCCTGGCTGCTCTGCTGCCCTGTCACCTTCTACAGATACTCCCTGAGGCCTAGGTGTCTCCGCACACTGTCCCACACCATGTCCACTCGGCCCATCCACTCAGGCTTCAGGACCCAGCCCAGGAAACCCGCTGACAGCCACTGCCCTGGCTATCGCTGCCCCCATCACTGGCTAGAGGCTGTGGACTTCTAGGCCCGATGTCTTTCATCAGCCTGGGAACTCAAGGGCAGACCTGATTGGGTGCGCACCTCGGTCTACAGAAGACACATGGGTCATAACTGATGGTGAGCGCGGGCTCTGAGCTTCCTCCTCTGGGCTTTCCCCCTGCTCCTCCCTGGGAAGACCCTTTTCTGCGCTACCAGCAACTCCATTGTGAGGCCCAGCTCAGGGTCACCTCCTCTATGAAGCCTCTCTGGCCCTCAAGGTGGTCAGTGTCTCTCTCTCTGGCCTCCCCCTGCCCCCGCAATAAACATCACCTAGGCCTGAAGACTCCTCAAGGCAGGCCCTTGGTGACCCCGGCTCCAATTTTCAGCCCTGCCAAGGCTGAGTGGCTGTGACTCCATTTCCTAGCAGGACTTGTGCCAGCCCCGCCCCCCCTTCTCTCCCCTCTGGCCTCACCCCTCCAGGGGCTTCAGTGCCCACTATGACCTCATGAAGTTGCTTGTGATGAACCACCTGGCTGTTGTCCGTGGCTACCAAAGCTCGCATGTTTACCATGACTTCCAGGAGCTCAAGCCCCTCTGCACTCGCCATGCACTCTCCATCAAAGAGATCCTCCAAGCCTGGCATGGCTCCGGCACCCACTGGGCCCCCCATGCCCACCACAGCTCTCTCGCCTCCAGCTTCCCTGAAGACCACCAAAGCAGCAGTGTCCAACAGTCCCTCAGTGCATCCGAAGTCCCCTAACTTGGTTATGAGTCCTAGTAGTTCTAAGTCTACCAGATCAACGGGTACCAAGACAGCTCCTTCTACCCGGCCCAGCAGCAGGTCCCAAGGCCACAGCAAGACGAGGACGCCCAGTCGCCTGAGCACTGAAACCAAGACCAGGAAGGCCAGCAAGGGCAGGAAGGGTGGCAAGAGCCGCATCATGGGGCGACACCAGCAGAAAGGCACACGCAGCCGGGGGCGGACTCCGGGCAGGAGGGGAAGCCACAGCTCTAAGATGTCCCCGAACAGGAAGAGAACTCATTCCGCCAAACCAGGTATGGCCAAGAAGGCGAGAACCCCTACTTCCCACCGCAAACAAAGCCGCGGCAAAAGTTACAGCCGACCCAGAGCCAGTACCCAGGAGAGGGGCAGCAGCCAGCCTAGAAACATGCGCCACGACAAAAGCCCCAGGCTGTCAGGAGTCTCAGACCAGGGGAACAGCTCTACACTACCTGTAAACCCCAGCAGGGCCAAGAGCCACAGCCTAATTAGGACGGCCTGCAAGAGCTCTAGCAAGTCTCCTGTGGAATCCAGAAGGGCCAGGAGCTACAGCCAAGTGATACGCCCCAGCAGGGAACACACTCATACCATGACTGACCTGACTGACATGTCAGGCATGTTCAAGGGTTTCAAGAAGGACAACAGTCGCTCTAGGACCCGAAGTCACAGCCACTCGAGGACCCCCAGCAGGACCCGAAGTCACAGCCGCTCGAGGACCCCCAGAAGGTCAAGAAGTCACAGTCACAAGGGGACCCAGAGCCGGGTGAGAAGTTACAGTTGGAAGAGAAATCGTAGTCGGGCACGGAGTCGTACCCGGAGGGGCACGCCCACCCAGATGAGAGACAGCCGGTCCAGAACCCGCAGCCTGGGGAAAAGTCACAGCCCACGGAGAGCCTCAGGAAGAAGAGGTAGAAACCAAGTGTGGCCTCGGACTTCCAGTGAGGAAGAAAGTTACAGCCGGTCCAGGAGCACCAGAGGCAGAGGCCACAGCCGCCTAAGAGCCATCAGGAAGAAGGGGTATAGGCGGTCTAGGATGCCTAGCCCCGACAGTGGGGGCAGCGAGTCCAGAAGCCCAAGCACAGACACAGACCGCAGCCGGTCTAGAGCCTCCATCAAGAAGCGAGCACGCAGCCAATCCAAGATCTCCCACAGGGAGAGCCACCATGGCCACTCCAGAGCCACCAGTGAGGAGAGCTCTGGAAGCCACTCTAGAACCCACCACAGGGACAGAGAACGCAGCCGTTCTAGAACCTCCACCCAAGACAACCAACCCACACTCCCCAAGAGCCTCCCGAGGAAGCCATCTCCCACCAGGACCAGGAGCTCCACTCCGAGAGCCCACAGCGAGGAAAGGGGTCACTCCTCATCACGGCCTCCCAAGGGAATCCAAGCCCAGGATGACAGCTTCGTCAACGCCATGACTTCTAAGGCCACCTCACCTGGGGAGAGGTCTTCATCATCTTCCTCCAAGCTGGCGTAGCCTCCAGTCTCAGCGGGCTCGCGGGTCTCTGTCATGGCCAGGGGAGGGGACAAGAGACAGGAGCAGAGCAGCCACTGGGCAAGGTCCTTCCCTGGCCAGTTCTCCCAAGGTCACACTTCCGGCCACAAGCTCTTCTAACACAGGATGTTGGCAGGTAGAGAGGGGTGCTGGACAGGGGGAAAGAAAAGGCCTGTGGTGACTCAATACATTTTTACATAACACTTGTCCCCATTCCAAGACCTCTGTGTGCTCAGTGCGGCGTGGAGGCGTGGGGGGCGGGGTGGGGGTTGGGGAGGATGAGGGGGTGTGAGGAAATGTTGGCCTCTGTTCTGTCTTGACCGTATAAAGGGCCCTGACTCTGCAGACCCTGCCTCCTGGAGGCCTCCACCTCCGTATCTGGGCAACAAGACTTTGCGGCTCTCACTCAGCAGGGTAGGGAGAGATGACATCCCTAGTTATTCAAAGCTCGGCACTGGCATGGGCACCAATCATAAAGCATTAACTCTTTAGCTGCTGAGTGGTAGGGATGTCAGGGGCTGAGGGAGGAAACCTCATCAACTACTAGGGACAGAGAAAACATGGTACAGTGAGACACTAACTATCCTGAAAGTGTTTTGTTTTCATGAGACAGGAGCTCAAATATCCTAGGCTGACCCTGAATTTCTGATGCTCCCAGCTCTACCTCCCAAACACTGGAGATCAAACCTAGGGCTTCCTGCATGCTAAGGCAAGCACACTACCAACTGGGCTACATGGACACCCTTCAGTTTTTCCTCGATTGAAATGCTCCCCCCCACCTCCTGGATTAGCCTCCAGGTCACTAGGTAGCCTCAAATGACCCTGATTTCCAGATCTTCCTGCCAAGTCCCAGGATTACGGGTGCACGGTCATACCTAGAGTGTGAGGTATCAACCTACACTAATTTGTGAAAGTCAGCCTTGCCTAGGTTTTAAACCCAAATCTGTCCTTTTCGGGCTATAGATCCAAACAGGACCCAACTTCTCTTGTCCGTTTCCTTCTCTGGAAAGCCAGCCACAGCCTTCATTGATGCACTGAGCACCCTCGGAGCAGAACAGGAAATAAGGAACAGAAAGGCCCCGCAGGTGGTCCAAAGCCCAAGAGCACGGGTCACCTCACCAGACTGGGGGTTGAACGTATTCAAAGCCATGCTTTGAATATCAATAGGCTCAGACTCGAGGCAGTCTACACCTGTGACCCAGCCCTTAAGGCTGGAAGTTTCAAATCAAGTCTAAAGTCATCGTTGACTACAGCGTCTGGGCTACAGGAGGCCGTCTCAAAAACAAAACAAAAATTAGCAAACGAACAACAGCAAAAGCCAAACCAGGATTCACAGAGCTTGCAGCTGGCGGACCTAGCCCATCCCTCCAGCCACCCCAGACTCCCTGAGGGTGCATACAGGCCCCTTATAGCTAGAGGGGGAAGGGGTCCCGGTGCACCCCGCAGTTGCCATCTGGAATTCTCTCCTTCCTCTTTGTGGGCCCGGAGAACTAATTTTCACCTTGCAAAACCCACCTATAAACATACCCTACACTTCTCAGCCCTAATAATCCCTGTCTCTCCCAAAGCACACATTCCCCTCTTATTGCACTGAGAGAGGGCCCTACAGATCTGACAATCAAAGTATCCTTACACTCTCCGTAGACTGCTATGCACTCCAGGCTGGCCTTGAACCTGCAACCCTCCAACCTCAGCCTCTCCGGCACAGGGATTATAGACGTGCACCACTCCACCTGGCTTAGCCTCACTAAAAATGTGACAAAGCCTGTCTGTTAGGCCCTGGGGACACAATGTAGAAACGGCACTGTCTTTTCAAAGCCTAGATGTCATGTACACTGTCAGGGCTATGCAGCTGAAAAGGAAGAGTAATGGCATCAATGGAGGGGGAACTTAAAAGACCCCTGGATCCTGGATCCGACCTTTCAGGGACAGAGAATTAGTACTTGGCAAGAAGAGCGCTCGTGATTATCCATCACGTGTAGGACCCCCCCTAATTCCGGAGCGCTACATTACGCCTGGGAAAACTAAAAACAGCTACAGCTGGTTTCTATTCTAGAAAAATATTTAATATACATGTTCCATGCAGTACCTCGCACTACCCAAATTCATTCTCCTGTTTTGAGATCGGGTCTCACTTTGTAGCCAGAACTGAACCTAGAATTCCTGCTTCTCTCGCGCCGGCCTCGGGGTGCGGGAATTATATGTGACACCACACCGGGCTCTGTCATTTTACCAGGGATCGCCAGGAGTTTCTTCGGGGTTACTTGGGGACAACCATCCCTTTCGAAACCCACGTTACACAGGGCTCCTTCCAGAATGTTCCGGGTTATCGGGTGGAACCACCCTCCGTACACAGAAATCCTGGACGCCATCACCAGACTGACTTCCAAGACATTAGGGGGTACAAAAAAAAAAAGGAAAAAGAAAACACCCTCAGCCCTACTACAGGTGAAAATCAGTTGGGCGTGGTGCTGCACCCCTGCAAAGTCAGCACGGGGGAAGACTAGAAATCCCAGGTCAACACAGTCAGGGCTGCACGGATCCGTGCCGTCCCCCGCCGCCTCCCGCCAAGGCAAACGCCGGGGCGCAGGCCGCACCCCGCACTGAACCGACGCGGGTGAGCACAATAGACAGCCATCCCTGCACAACGCTGGGGGCGAAGCCCGGCGCCAAGCCAACCCCGTGACAACTGCCCGCGGTGCCTCGGGCCTTCCACAAACGCCCGGCACCGACAGACGGCGCGTGCGACGGCGGGGCGGGGGCGACCCAGGCCCCTCCCAGACCGCCCCAGGCCCGCGAGGCTCCGAACCCGCGCGCGCCGCGAGACGCCGCCGGGGACTCTCGGGCTTGGCCACCCGGCCGAGCCGCCGCGGGCCGCGGGCTCCCGGCATGCAGCGGGGCCGTAGCGCCCGCTTCCCGGCATGCCCCGCGCGGCCCCAAGCAAGCCCGGGACACTCACCGGCGGCGGCGGCGGCGGCGGCGGCGGCCCCGGGCTCGGCGGTGGCGGTGGCAGCGGCGGCGGCAAGCCCGGGCACTGCGCCTGCGTTCAGGGAAGCCTAGGAGAGCGAGCGAGCGAGCGAGGGAGCGAGCGGAGCTCAGGGCGCGTGCGCGGCCGGGCGGACCATCCCCGGCCGCGGTGGGAAGAGGGGCTCGGGAGGACCGCGCAGGCTGCGGCGCTCGCGCGGCCCCGCTGGGACTTGGTACGGTCCGCGGCGGGGCACGGAGCGCCCGGCGGCTCCAGGGACCGAAGACGGGGGTCGGGCGCGCCCAGGGGCGAACACACGTTATAAACACGGGGAGGCGGGGGGGGCTGCGCGCTCGGCGGGGACCCCCGGGAGCCGGGCCCGCTCATTTGCATAGTCCGCGCGCGGGACAAAGGCGGGCCGCCCGCCCTGGACCGGGGTGTGATTTGCATCTTCCCGGGCGAGGCTGTGCCTCCCTGCGCGGTGATTAGCATACGGATCCGGGCGGGCGGGCGGGGGGCAACCCGAGCGATGGCGCATGCGTGTAGCGACTGCAGCCTGGACCCCCCCCCCCCAGGCTGGCTCAACCTGGTCCTGGGTCTACGGAAGGTCTGGGACCCGGCTCACGCCCCCACCCCACCCCCGCCGCCCAGAAGTAAGGGGCTTTATTGCCCTCTGGTGAATTAGGTCAGCGCGTGGTTTCTGCGTTTCGAGAGATCTGGTACCCTCGGTGGAAGGCAGACGATTGTTTAGACGCATGTCTAGAACTGCGGACCTGGAACTGCGGCCGGTGGGAGGCTGTGGGTGCCCGCAGAAAGGCCTGCCCCAGGCCCGGGGTTCTGCAAGGACTTCCAGGGCTGATTTTTTTTTTTTAAGCCAAGCCTGAACTGGAGCCAGCTAGAATGGGAGTCTCTTGGCAGAGGGAATAGCTGATGCAAACGCCCAGAGGCAAAAGCGTGTCTGCATCCCTAGAGGAAGCGAAGGCAGCCTCTTCTGCGTGGAACACAGTTGGAGAGGAGAAAAATCTCTTAAGTGGACTCCTGTAGCTCAGGCTAGCCTCTAACTCCCCGGGTCAAAGAGAATGACCTTGAACACTGCCTCTCCAGTGCTGAAATTACAGGCATGTGTCCGCAAGCCCAACTCCTGTAGGTGATTTTTCAGGAGCTATAACTTTATGCTGACTCTACGTAGCCACCCCAAACTGCTTGAAAGAACTGCTTCTATCACTAGCAACCTACAACACGCCACTGGAGTCCCGGTACAAGGTAGAAAGCGAAAGTTTAGCTTTGCTTCTGAGACAGTCCCCCTGTGTAGCCCGCGATGGCCCGGAACTCACTGTAGCTCCACTCTACTTTTCACGCACTTCCTGCCACGGCTTCCCAAATGCCCGGATGGCAGGGCTGCGTCGCCACACCTGAGCTTTCAAAGCTCTGACCCTGATGCTTTTTCTGAACCCGCCCCAGCTTTTTACCAGGTCCAGATCTCCGGCACTTCAAACAGTCATGTCTTTACTGTCTCAGGCTTTGATCTCGCTGCTCGCTTCATCTGAGAGTGCTTTTCCCCTGCTGCTCTGCACTTACTCTGTCTTGGCACTGATGCCCACCCGAGGGGCCTTCCTTGTGATACAGCACCTGCAGACCGAGTGGATTAGGGAGACTTACGCAGTGCCTGTTTCAAGAGGAGCTTCTGATGGTGGGTGAAAGCAGGGTGAACAGTGCCTGCGACTTCGTGGTCCTTTCAGCTTTGGATGGAATTGTCCATAGTAACAAAATAAAACAGTATGCCACATCGTGTGTGTGTATGTGTGTGTGTGTGTTTTAGGCAGGGTCTCACTATATAGCCCTGGCCTGCAGCTTGCTATGTAGACCAGGCTGGCTACAGAAAACTACCTGCCTCTTGTCTCCCAGGTGCTGGGATTAAATGTGCATTATCTTTTTAATTTTTGATATGTTTGTTTGAGACGGGGTTTCTCTGTGTAACCTCAACCGTCCTGGAACTCGCTCTGTACATTAGGCTGTCTTCAAACTCAGGGATCTGCCTACCTTTGCCTCCCAAGGGCTGGGATTAAAGGCCATCCAGCTTCTATTTTATTTTATTTATTTTTGGTTTTTTGAGACAGGGTTTCTCTGAGGCTGTCCTGGAACTAGCTCTTGTAGACCATGCTGGTCTCGAACTCACAGAGATCCACCTGCCTCTGCCTCCCGAGTGCTGGGATTAAAGGTGTATGCCACCAACGCCCTGCCCTTTATTTATTTATTTTTTGACAGGAACTTAATGTGTAGCCCAGGCTGGCTTCAAATTCAAGAGTCTCCTACTGCAGCCTCTAAAAGGGCTGGCATTTTAATAGGTCTTTACAAATTGAAAGCAAGCTGTAGGCTTTTTTGTTTGGGCTGGGAGAGGCAACACCCAGTCTTGCTAAGTAGCTAGGAGTGGCCTGGGGCTGGCTGTCTAGACCAAACGCTGTGGGCCTTGCTTAGACCCGTGTACCTCCACTCCCTGAAGACGCAGGTGTACCATGTGCCTAGCTCTGACACCGTCTTCTGTTTTTGTATTTCAAAACAGGGCTTCTTTATGTATCCCTGGCTGTCCTGGAACTCACTCTGTAGACCAAGCTGTCCTCGAACTCACAGAGATCCACCTGCCTCTGCCTCCAGAGTGCTGAGATGAAAGGCGTGCGCCACCACCATTGAAATTTCCAGCAAAATTGTTTTGTTACCTTGCTGATAATCTGTTTCCTTCTTCAAAGTTTCCTGTGGGTCAGCATAGGGTCCCCTTTCACCCTGAGTCCTTAGAGCCTAGAACAGGATCAAGTTTCAGATCCCTGTGAGTGTGTGTCTGTGGAGGGCTGTTTTATAGCTGGCCATCCCGAAACTTAACAACCAGCACACCGCAAGCGGTTATTGTTTGAATGAAGGTCTCACTGTATTATATATCTCAGGTTGGACTCAAAACTCACAGCGATCCTCCTGCCTCATCTTCCCAATTGTACCACCATGCCTGCTCTCATTATGTTGCTCAAGCTGACCCTAAACTCTTAGGTTCAAGCAGTCGGCAGGGCAGTGAAGGGCACTGGCCCGCCCCTGTCACCTCAGAATGCACTCAGTCAGCACCATGGTCAGCCCAGGGTTCCATGGCTACATAGTCTGCACGCAGGTGCAAAGGAACCTTTAAAAGACAGACCCCGCCCACCTACGCTCTTCGTGCTCTCTCTTTCCTCCGTTCCCCGGGGGCAGACAGGACTTTTCCCGTCTCCTCTTCTGTCCTCTCTGTCTCTGTGTCTCTTTCCTTCCCCTCCCTCGCTTTATAAAACGTCTCACTTAAGCTCCGTCTGCCTGGCGTGTGTGTGTGTGTGTGTGTGTGTGTGTGTGTGTGTGTGTGTGTGTGTGTGTGTGTGTGTCCCACCCCGGTCACCGTCACCCGCCACGGTTCCCCTCGTGCTTTATCATGACAGGCGGGATGAAATGGAATTGAAAGTGTCTCTAGAGAATAGTGGGGTTGGGGACACAGGTGAGGCTAGTGTCTAAGCCATGAGAAAGGAACTAGGATAGGCTGAGTGACCGTCTTAGTGACTGGATGAAGACAATGTCTGTAAAATTAATAAATTTCTGCCGGGCGTTGGTGGCGCACACCTCTAATCGCAGCACTCGGGAGGCAGAGGCAGGCGGATCTCTGTGAGTTCGAGGCCAGCCTGGTCTACAGAGTGAGTTCCAGGACAGGTTCCAAAGCTACACAGAGAAACCCTGTCTCAAAAAACAAAAAAAAATCATACACTTCACAAAACAAATTCTCACTACTCCTCCCTTACCCCTCCCCACTACACAAAAAAGAAACAACCAAATCTGGAATTTGGGGGAGAGGGGGTAGAGATGGCCTTGGTGAGGCCTGGTCCCTTTACCTTCCCGCGTGTCAGAGTTCATACCCCCCAGGTGGTACCACAGTGGACAGAGGGACAGACACACAGCCACCCCAGACACTTGTTCTCTCCTCGGTTTAATGGTGGTTAGTGCGATTTCCAAACCCCCCTCCCTGTCCCCTCCCCGCCCCGTACAAAAATGTGTTTTGTTTTGTTTTTAACAAGAAAAAGGGGCAAAAGCCAGGAATGGGGGAGAGGGGTGCAATCTGATATTTTTCATACAGATTTTTGATTTTTTTAATATATTATATATAAAACCATAGAGACCACACATCCCTTCCAAACTCCTTTCCCCCTCCCCGGGGGGCCTGGAGGAGAGATGGGGAAGGCCCCCCAGGAGTGGGTGAACAGACAAAGACGGGATGGGAAAGACATGTGGGTTGAGATGAGGGAAGGGGAGCCGCCCAGGAACCCGGAGAGGGGGACTGGATAAGGGTTGGGGTTGTGTCCCTCACTGCCCCCATCGGTTTTCACACAAAGACACAGAATTCCCGTTTCCACGCCCTCCCCGCCCCTCCCCCCACCGTGCAAACATGGCTTTGCAAAGAGGTGCCCAGAGCTCTGTGGAACTCTTACAAGGGCTGGCATGGGGTCTGGGACCCCAAAGAAATCTGTGTTCCCCTTCCCTGCCCACCCCACCCTTCCCAGAATCTGACCCCTCCCCCACAAGACCTGGTTCTGTTGCCTAGGGGTTCTGGCCAGCCCCCGGTTTTCTTCCCCCAACCCAAATCCCTATTACCCCTCCCCTGGGGCCTTGGGGGTCTAGAAGGGACCTTTGGTCCCTGTGTCCTCTGGGGGACCCTAAGCCTCTGGACCCTAGCCTTTGACCCTGGGAGAGGTCCAGGCGTCCAACACCCGCAATCCCTGCCCAAGCGCCTGAGGTGTTAGCCGCGGGGGGAGAAGCCCACCATCCCGGACTCTGGTCAATGTCTTTGCTGGTTCCTTGCAGCTGGCAGTGGGGAGGTGGGGTCAGATGAAGAATTCCTCTTTCCGCTTGTGTCCATCGCTGCCGTTGAGGAAGGCTTCCCTGGCTTCTCCTTGCTCGTCCAAGCCACTGGCCTCGTGGGTCAGATAGGAGCCTGAGGGCGGGAAGATGCCCCCAGCGCAAAGGGGATGTGTATGCAGACCCCGGAAGTGGAATAGGGAGAGGAGACAGGCGGGAGACACGCGATACGAAGGAAGGGGAAGCCAGGGAACCAGTCAAGTTCGGTGAAGCCCAAGACAGAGGCAGAGAAGGAGATAAAAGTAGAATTAGTTAGACTCCAAAAGTTCACAAAAAGAAAAACCCATCCTATCTCCCAACTGCCCCGCCCCCGTTTTTGAGACAGGGTCTCCAGTTGCCCTGGTTACCAGACTCAAACTCCCTAGTTTCAAGAGACCTGGAATTTTGGATCCTCCTGCCTCCACCTCCCAAATACTGGGGTTAGAAGCAGTCACCACCACGCCCCGTTTTGTGTAGTGTTATATGAAGTTCATGGCTTTGCGCATGCCCGACAGTCTATCCCCTGGGCCCTATCCCCCCACCCATTTCTTTTCCGACAGTATTCCCTTCCGTCTATCCAGCTATTTGAAAAATAAATTACTCAAAATCCCTCTCCTTAATTCTGCTAAATTTCGGCCCTTTCAGAACCCAGGGGCCAAAGCCCCACCCACACAGTAATAGTCTAAAGCATGGCGCGATTTCGAGTCTAATCTAGCGTCTAAGCTCTGCCTCCTTGCTATCCAGAATCAAATCGGCCGCTTACTTCGCAGACACCAGGCGCGGCCTGCCCCCGACCAAGTCTTGGCCCCGCCCACCGTGACTCTGGCCCCGCCCCACATGCTCCTGGCCCCGCCCACCGCCCCACTTACCCTTCTGTCGGACGGAGCACCAGACCATGCCCACTAGCACACAAATGATCAGAAACACTAGTAGCGCCAGGATGCCGCCCACAATGGCGTAGGGAACGGATGTCTGGGCCTCTACCACTGCCCCGGGGTCTGTCGGAGGGCAGTTCAGAGTCAGAGAAGGTCCTAATCCAGTTTCCTGCCGCCAGGCCAGTAAGCTATCTATTCTGCACGCAGCCTCACGCCACAACAATGCCCGCAACTTTGTAGACCCTTTTCTTCAGCTCCAATTCCTCCGGGGATCCTTGATTTTACACCGGTGGGTCTTCCGTTGCTACTACCTACCCATCCCCCCACCTATCCACGCCTAAGCTAGAAGTAACACATCCCACTCTAGCTTTGGGGGTTTTTACAAAACATTTTACTTAGTCTTGTGTATCTGCTTGCATGGATGTATGTGCACCAAGTACATGAGGCAGCTTGAGGAGGCCAGAAGAAAGAGGACACTGGATCTATAACGGGATTTATAGAGAGCTGTAGGCTGCCACGAGGGTGCTGAAAACCCAGCCCTGAGCCTCTGCAAAAGCAGTAAACACGATTGCTTAATGGCAGAGTCATCTCTCCAGCCTCCGTTTGCGTGTTTATTGAGACAGGGTCTCACTATGTAGCTCCAGCTAGCTAAGATTTAGGTTTTTCACCAGTCAGGCTGCTGCTGCTGCTGCTTCTCCTTCTTTTTAAGAGAGTCTCCTGAATTATCGACTGATCTAAAAATTGATGAAGATGGGGCTGGAGAGATGGCTCAGCAGTTAAGAGCACTGTCTGCTCTTCCAGAGGACGGGGGTTCAATTCCCAGCACCCACAAGCCAGCTCACAACCGTCTGTAACTTCAGTTCCAAGGGATCCAACATCCTCACAGCGATGCATGTAAAGTTAAATTAAATTTTAAAATAAATCGATGACGATGGCCTTGAACTTCTTATCCTCCTTCCTGCACCTCCAGGGTTCAGGGATTGCTGGCATGGATTTATGTGGTACTGGGAATTGTATCCATGCACCCAAAGCAAGCACCCTATTAAGTGGGCTACACCTTCAGCCAACACCCGTCTCCCCACCGCCCTTTTTGGTTGACTGGTTATTTAGTTCGGGCGCCTCAACCTCCAAAGCACTGGGATAGCATTAGAGTCCCGCCACGGTCAGCTCCAATGTTTCCCCACCCCTGGGTAAACCACTCAACTGATCTCTGGGCTCAGGCTCCGCCCTCACGCCCTGTAGCCCGCCCCTCCCCGCCCCCAGGCTTGACACGCTCCGCCCTCACCGTAGACCACAAGCACGTAGAGCGCCCTCGCGTGGCCGTGCTTGTTCGCCGCCTCGCAGGTGTAGGTGCCGTTATCTGCGGATACTAGGCCAGGCAGGGTGAGCGTCTCACCCACCGCCTCTGCTCTCTCCGGCAGAGACTCATTCCCGCGGTTCCAGCGGATCTGGCTTGGCCTGGCAGAGGGTAAAAACAGAGGGAGGAACCCAAGAACCCTGACTTCTCAGGAATCTGCATATGCAGCTCCGATCCAGCATTAACTTCTAAAGAAGTGGCTGACATTGCTGGTGTGTGTGTGTGTGTGTGTGTGTGTGTGTGTGTCCCAATGGTAGACCTTTTGCCAGCTATGTGTATAAGATGTCAGGTTCGATCCCCCAGCAATGTAAAGGGGCGAGGAAGATCCCACAACTCTGCCTGTGAGATACTTCAACGGGCGGACACTTGCCGACAAGCCTGATTGTGAGTGAGGTTCTGGGGACTCACATAGTGGAAGGACAGAAGGAATTCTCACGAGTTGTCCTCTGACCTCCCTACGTACAGTGCCCAAGGCTCGCAAAAAATACAATATTTTTTAAAAAGGTTTTCTCTGCACGTATGTCAATGCACCTTGGGCATGCAGTGCTCGGAGAAGCCAGAAGAGGGCGTCGGACCCCCTGGCACTGAAGCTACAGAGGACTGAGAGTCATAAATGGGTGCTGGGACTCGAACCAGGAGCTGCTGGATGGACAGCTGAGCCATTCCTCCAGCCCCACAATTTGTTTTGTTTTGTTTTTCAAGACAGGGTTTGAAAGTGTAGCCCTGGCTGTCCTGGAACTCACTCTGTAGACCAGGCTGGCCTCGAACTCACAGAGATGCCCTGTCTCTGCCTCCTGAGTTTTGGGATTAAAGGTGTGCGCCAACATGCATATATATATATATATATATCTCAGGCCATCTCTCGGCCCTTTTCTTGTAGAAAACAGCAGGTTCTAGGCCAGCTTCTGCATGTAGCCAGAGCTGTAAGAATTCACCCCTTCCAAGCTCTTTCATCAGGAGTCTGGCTTCACTACCTTTTTTTCCAGGGCCCAGAAGTGCAAGGCCCAAGTCCCCTCACCCTTAGGAGCCGGAAGCCCGATCTCACCTGGGGTTCCCTGTGACGGCACACGTCAGGACCAGGGTGTCTCCCTCCCTCACCACGGCTTGCGAGGCGTGGATCCGCGCAGTGGGCGAGTCTGCAGCGCAGGAGCAAGAAGTGACAGGTCACCCCGGGGGCTAGGGGACCTCTGGGGGCGGCCGGCCGGCGTGCACACAGACCCCAGACACTTACACTGCACATCCAGCACGTACTGCGTCTGCTTGCTGTGTCCCGAGGGCAGCGCCTGGTTCTGCGCTTCACAAGTGACGATGCCGCCGTCGTCCTTGCGGTCCACGCGGAAGCGCACGGTGCTTGCCACGCTCCACACTTTGCCGTTCTCCTGGCCGCTGCTCACTCCTGCCGGCCCCAGCCCGGAAACGTCAGGCTAGGGGTTGTGTCCCGCCTCCTGATGCCAACGCAGGCTGCTGGCCGGGCCACGTTCCTACTTCTGCGTCTCGCTTATTCACCCAGCCACAGCCCCCCCCCACCCCCACCCCGTCTCTCCCACGCCTTAGGAGTCTGGTCCTGTTTCGCTTTGCTTTCTTTGAGACAGGGTCTCAAGCGGTCCAGGTTGGCCTTGAACTCGCTACGCAGTCGAAGATGACCTTGAACTCCCGATCCTCCTCCCTCCACCTCCCAAAGGTTGGGATGAGAGGCGTGTGCCGTCGCGCCTAGCTCAACAGCTGAACCGCGAAGGCGAAGTGTCAATCAATCAGAACCGCTGCGCAGTTCTCCGGGCCACGCCCGCCACTAACCCCGCCTCTTGCCTAAGCCCCGGGTCCCCCGCGCCGCCACCCCGCCTAGCCCTGGGTACCTTTCAGCTCCTTGCGATCGCGATACCAGCGCAGGACCGCGGCGGGGCGCGACCGCGGAACCAGGCAGCTGAGTTCCACCTCGCCGCCCTCCACCGCCTGCTCTCGGACCTCCACCACGGGATTCTCTGGAGCCACTGCGCAGAGAAGGGGCGCAGATGGGGGAGCGGGGTGTCAAGGGGGGGGCCACCGAGGCGGGCACAAGTCGTTCTGGCTGCTAGATCCTAGGGACCAAAGGGAGCCAGGGTCCCACCGGTGGCTGGGGTCATACGCAGAGGCCTGGTGGACCTAGATGTCCAGGGGGTTAAAAACATCCAGGGCGCCGGGCGTTAGTGGCGCACGCCTTTAATCCCAGCACTCGGGAGGCAGAGGCAGGCGGATCTCTGTGAGTTTGAGGCCAGCCTGGTCTACAGAGCGAGTTCCAGGACAGCCTCCAAAGCCACAGAGAAACCCTGTCTCGAAAAACCAAAAAAAAAAAAAAAAAAAACCACACACACACACACACACACACACACACACACACAAAATATCCAGGGCGCATAGGTCTCAGGACCCGTGAGAAGCAGGGAGTGAGAGCCGGGCTCTGGGGGGCGGGAAGCCTGTACCCAGGACAGTGAGCGTGGCGATCTGGTGGTGGGTGTCCTCCGTGTAGAGCTGGCAGAAGTAGCCCCCCCTCGTCCTCCAGGCGGGCGTCGGAGAGCCGGATGCGCACTCGACGCGGGGAGAACTCCTCCAGCTGGAATCGCTCGTCTTTCAGAGCTGCAGTGAAGAGGGCTTCAGCTCAGGGGCTTCTGGTCTCCAGAAAACCACCCTCCAGGACAGACGCTGCCCCCTGCCTTTCTGCAGACACGGCTCTGAGTCTAACCTATCCAACTGTTGGTTCCCTTGGGAACCCATTCCAGAGGCCTCCCCCTCCCTCCCCCCGACCACGGGAGTCCAGGCTCCCGGGCCCCCTGTCACATGTTGACATGTGTCCTCTCTGAGGTCACAGGTGTCCGGGGTTCCTGCACTCACCTCGGGTGCCGTTGAAGAAGAGGGTCTGCCGGGCTGGGTTCTGGATGACGACAATGGACCCATCGTACTGATGCAGGCGGCAGGTGATCTCAGCCACCCCACCCTCAGCCACTGTCACATTCTCTGTCTGCACTTCCTGTCCCGTTCCTGAACCAAGAGAAAAAGACGGGAGAGTCCCTGAGATGACATTCAGTCGCGCGCGCTTACATAAGTGGGGGAACATGGGTATGTTTATATGCATGTGTTGACATGTGGGGTCTTCTAAGGTTCTCCATCATATTCATTGAAGCAGGGTCTCCCAGTCGAACCCAGGGATCACCGATCGGGGTTGGTATTGCTAAGCAGCAGCTTCCCTTACTCTGAGGATCCACTTAATCTCTGCCTTTGGTGCAAGCTTCCGGGACCACAGTCCATTTACTGGGGGTGCAGGGAGTCTGGACTCTGACCCTTGCACTTGCTTGTTTTTTGTTTTTTCAAGACAGGGTTTCTCCATATTGTTTTGGAGGCTGTCCTGGAACTCACTCTGTAGACCAGGCTGGCCTCAAACTCACAAAGATCCGCCTGCCTCTGCCTCCCGAGTGCTGGGATTAAAGGCGTGCGCCACCAACGCCCGGTCCCTTGCACTTGCTTGAACACTCCCTAATTCCTGCTTTGTCAGTTGTTGAGAACAGTCTCTCACCCGGTAGCCCAGATTAGCCTCAAACTCATGGCAATTCTCCTGCCTCAGCTTCACAGGTCCTGAGACTGCAGGTGTGAGCCACTGACCTGGTCTTTGGTCCTCTCCATCGGGAGAGGCAGAATGGTCTCTAGAGCGGAGGCGTAAGGGGCGAACTAGGAGGTAGAGCGGGGGGGGGGAAGAAGGGAGCGGCCCAGCAAGATGGACTGTAATTGGAGGCTCTCACAGAGACCCTTTGGATCTCAAAGCTGGAGCTCAGTCAGCGTGGGAGGCGCTCATCTCTCCTACCTGGGTGCCCACTGAGGCTCATCAGACGGGTTGTGCTCCCACATCTGGAACACATAGCCCAGGGTGGCTGGCCTCACATTTACAGCATCTTCCTGCCTGCGCCTCTCCAGTGCTGGGGTTATAGGCATGCCATCATCACATCGGCTACAAATTCCTCCCCCCACCCCCATTTCTTCTCTCCCTGTGTCCCAAGCCAGCCTGGTCTACATCCAGAGATTCTCTGCAAGCTGGTTCAGCTGACCGGCCCATTCAGGAGGCTCACCTCCCTGAATCTGGGCTGACTTATGACTTACAGTGACATGGCCCCGAAAATTCCAGGACTTGGGAGGCAGAGGCAGGAAGGGTCTGGAGTACAGGGCCAGCCTGGGCAATATAATAAGATCAAAGCCTGGGTGTCTCAAAAGCAAGACCCTGTCTCAAAAGCAAAAGATCTCTCTCTCTCTCTCTCTCTCTCTCTCTCTCTCTCTCTCTCTCTCTCTCTCTCTCTCCTGCCTGCCTAGCAGGCTCTGGGTTAGGCTCCCAGCACAGCATAAACGGCGTGTGGTCGTGAATGCCTGCAATCCCAGTGCTTGAGGTAGAGGCCCGAGGGTCAGAAACTCAAGGTCACCCTCAGTTTCATAGGGAGTAGTAGGATAGACACCAAGCTAGGGAGGGAGAGGTGTTTTTGCTAGAAATAATCTAGTAAGCGGCGTCACAAAGCACAGGCTTAAAGATGCCTAGCAGCTTCCTGTGTGCCATCTGCTACCCAGAGACTGTTGGCAAAGACGCCCAGAATAGCCTCTTTGAGGCACCTGCCACCCTCCTGTGAGGGAGGCCACCTTGAATCTTACGCTTGCTCTAAGAAGCCCAGGTGACCCCAGAGTAAACAAAGAGAAGCCTGCCCACCTGACCCAATCTAAATCCCCCAACTGTTTCCCTGCACCAAAGCCTTGGTGTTGGCAGACAAGGCCTCACCGTGCTAGTCAAGTTGGTCTTGACCTCCTCCTAACCCTCCTGCCTCAGTTTCCACAGTGTGCGGTTACAACTGTACCCCCCCCCCCACGTCGGCGGTCATTTTCCTAAGCCACTGAATTCTGAGTAGTCTGTCCCACTTTAACGTCGCTGGCTCTGTCACACACCTATGGGACTTTCCCCCAGCGTCCCTGAGGCTGGGTGGAACCACGTGATGGATTTGGGGCCAATGGATATAGTACTGGATATAAGTCTTCCCACCTCCTACAATGGTACACATCTGTGGGGTCAGAACAATCTAAGAAGGCCATGGAAGGGCAGGACCTCTCATAAGAAAGCGCCCCACATACCTGTCCTCTGTGACTGTGGCTGTGATTTTTTTTTTAATTTGTTTGTTTGTTTGGTTTTTCCAGACAGGATTTCTCTGTGTAGCTTTGGAGGCTGTCCTGGAACTCGCTCTGCAGACCAGGCTGGCCCCAAACTTACAGATATCCGTCTGCCTCTGCCTCCCAAGTGCTGGGGTTAAAGGCGTGCGCCACCAAACCACCTCTGACTTGGTGGTGCACTCTGAATGCTTGGGCAGGTGGATCTCTGAGTTTGAGGCCAGGCTAGCCTAAAGAACAAGTTCCGGGTCAGCCAGGGCTACACAGTGAAACCCTGTTTGAACAAACAAATAAACAATGTCTGGAGAACTAACAAATAAATAAAAATATTTTTTAAAAAAGATGTACACCGGCCGGGCGGTGGTGGCGCTCGCCTTTAATCCCAGCACTCAGGAGGCAGAGGCAGGCGGATCTCTGTGAGTTCGAGGCCAGGCTGGACCGATAGCCTCCAAAACAATACAGAGAAACCCTGTCTCGTAAAACCAAAAAAAAAAATGTACAGCGAGCCGGGCGTTGGTGGCGCACGCCTTTAATCCCAGCACTCGGGAGGCAGAGGCAGCAGATCTCTGTGAGTTCGAGGCCAGCCTGGTCTACAAGAGCTAGTTCCAGGACAGCCTCCAAGAGCCTCGGAGAAACCCTGCCTCAGGAAAAAAAAAAAAAGATGTACACTGGGGCTGGAGATATGGCTCAGGGGTTAAGAGCACTGACTGCTCTTCCAGAGGTCCTGAGTTCAATTCCCGGCAACCACATGGTGGCTCACAACTACCTTGAATGAGATCTGGTGCCCTCTTCTGGCTTGCAGGCAGAAGGCTGTATACACAATAAATAAATAAAATATTTAAAAAAAAGATGTACACCACAATGCCCAACTCAGATCTCTGAGTTTTTGTTAGCACATTAAGAGTTCAGGAATACTTGTGACAGCAGTTATCCCACTTGGAATAACCATCAGAACAAATTACAGGGCTGGAAAGGTAATATTGGGCTGGGGGTGTGGCTCAGTGGTAGAGCCCCTGCCTAGAATCCCCAGTGAGGGGCTGGGGGTGTGGCTCAGTGGTAGAGCCCCTGCCTAGAATCCCCCAGTGAGGGGCTGAGGGCGTGGCTCAGTGGTAGAGCCCCTGCCTAGAATCCCCCATTGAGGGGCTGGGGTGTGGCTCAGTGGTAGAGCCCCTGCCTAGAATCCCCCATTGAGGGGCTGGGGGCGTGGCTCAGTGGTAGAGCCCCTGCCTAGAATCCCCAAGTGAGAAGTTGAGGGCGCGGCTCAATATTTGCTTGATCTGGGCAAGGTCATTGGTTCCATTTCCATTAGCAAAGAAAGGAAGTTGAAAGCCAACCCTAACCAGAAGTCGTGCCCTCAAAAACCTCAGTTTCTTCTCCGAGATAACAATGCTACCACTGAGTAAGCATGAGCTGTTGGATCTCCTGTGGTAAGGGCATTGCCATGTGGTTGAATCCTCATAATGTGCAGAAAAGAGGCTTTTTTTTTTTTTTTCGAGACAGGGTTTCTCTGTGTAGCCCTGCTGGTTGTCCTGGAACTCGCTCTGTAGACCAGGCTGGCCTCAAACTCACAGAGATCTGCCTGCCTCTACCACCAGAGTGCTCACATTAAAGGTGTGCGCCACCAGGACCTGGCAAGGGGGTTCTATTTCAATCCCTGTTTTCCCAGTTCCCGTGATAACGAATCAGTGCCAGAGACGGCACCCAGAAGCTCACATCTCAAGTCCTACTGTATAGGTGGGGAAATTGGCCACAGTCAAAACCTCTAGGCCTGCCTTCACGTCCCTTCGGGCCATCTGGGTAAATGTCCCAGCATTGGGGAGGGTTATGGAGTATTGTTGTGACACGCTTGCCTTGGCAAGAAGCTATCTTGGTTTTTGTCTGTCTGTCTGCCTGTCTGTCTGCTGATTTCTCTAGGTTTCCCAGAGGTTCTGAATTTGAGGACTCGGGTGATGATCATTCTTTTTTTCTTTTTGGTTTTTTTTTTTTCGAGACAGGGTTTCTCTGTATTGTTTTGGAAGCTGTCCTGGAACTCACTCTGTAGACCAGGTTGGCCTCGAACTCAGAGATTCACCTGCCTCTGCCTCCCAAGCGCTGGGATTAAAGGCATGTGCCACCACCGCCCGGCAGGTGATGATCATTCTTGTCTCAGCCTCTCTGGTTACGGAATTAGAGACGTGTATTACTGTGGATGGCCTGTTACTTGAGTTTATTTATTTTTTAACTCTTAATTTTATATGTACCAGCGTTTTACCTGTATGCACCATTTGTGTTGTCTGGGGGCCACAGAGGCCAGAAGAGGGCACCCAAACCCCGGAACGGGGGTTACAGAGGGCTGGGAGTCACCATGTGAGTGCTGGGTGTGAAACCTGGGTCCTCTGGAAGAGCAGCCAGTGCTCTTAACCACTGAGTAATCACTCCAGTCTCTGGGTTTATATTTACAATTTAGTCAGCCTCTCTCTCTCTCTCTCTCGCTCTCTCTCTCTCTCTCTCTCTCTCTCTCTCTCTCTCTCTCTCTCTCTCTCTCCCTCTGTGTGTGTGTGTGTGTGCGTGCGCGCGCGCGTGTGTGTTGTGTAAGTACTCATGGGTGAGTGTCTGTACAGAATCCAGAGGAGGGCATTGGGAGGGCATCTGTCACCCTCTACCTTAGTCCTTGGAGGCAAGGTGTCTCTTTGAACCTGGAATTAATGATTCGATTTGGTTTTTCCTGCAGGGTGGCAGCCTCCACCTCCTGAGGGTTGTGAGGTAGTCATTTCAGTTGCCTTTAAATTATTAATGGCTGGGCATGACAGAGCACGCCTATAATTTCTGCGCTAGGGACACTGAGGAAGGCGGTTTTCCAGCCCACCCAG